ATACAGCTGTACACCGTAATTACCCCATTACTCATACTAATGGCAGCTGAAGATAACCTCCCACGCAGAAGTTCTCTTGGCTCTCTACGTTTTTTACCTCTCGGTTCCAGCAGACGTTCGTAGGGCAGGAGCGCGTTACGAACCTTTAAGAATGTCTGCGTGGGAGGCTACGCTGAAGATTGCCTGCTTTATTTTATTTTCGTGTACTTTCTCGAAGGTATGGTTGCAGTTGATAAAAGGAAACAATAAAATACGACAAGAGCTTGACTAATCCTACCTTCAGGCCTTCCACCATTAGGTCGCTGTTTTATCTTCTCCTTGTAAGTTGGGTAACCTGTCAATCAACGTATAGTAGGCGGTAATCAGCGGTTTTGTTATGGCCTTTTGCAGATAAAGAAAATTCATGTGGGAGTAGAGGGTATTTTAAATTATGGGGGGATTTTGACCACGAGCCACGAGGTGACCATACGAACTGATAGTGTTTGTCATCCTATTCTTTCATTATTTAATAATTATTTTAATAATAGTGATTTAAATGGCATTGTTGGCACTTAACGGACCCTTCAAGCCCCAAAAGTGACCAGCAACAAATTTCTCCCAACAATATCACTGCCAAATCAAATGTACAGGTCAAGAGAATCAATGGAATGATCAGCACTGATAAAATGCCTTGATTTTTGAACCAATTCTCTCAAGCAGTGTAAAAGGAAACATGGAGAACAGTAAGGAGAATATACATGTTGATATCGGGCCTTAAGGGGTTAAAATTTGGCTTTAACCTACCGGTAAGTAAAAAAAAGCTGAAAATATGACAGATGACTCTGATTGTAAGCAGTGACTACTATACATCCAACTATAGGTTACCCTCTATTCCCAGCCGTATCTTCTTGAGGCCCCTTTCTTTGAGGACTTCTTTAGCAACATCACGGTTTTCAAAATACTTGAAGAACCGGTACAAAGAAGTGGAATACACAACTGAAAGAGAGTGAACAATGTTGAATTTATTGGCTGACATACTTGCTCATCAAACATGATGCAAAAAAAGTAATGGGAACTCTCCAAGGGACAGATTACACTAACTGGGCTGGCTATGCTGAGCTCGCTTGCTTTGCTCGGGTGACTTTTCTCCTGGTATTACATGATATCAGCCAGCCTGGAACTATAATGTTTACATAGATTGGAAGTATTGTGCATGAGCAGTGTATTACCCATACCCCCCACTGAGGTTTGAATCACTGGGCCCCGCTTGGCTAGCTTGTTTACTCAAAAAGTGTCTAACCTGGTTTAGCAGCATCCCGGCAACATGCTACAGGGATATGGGCTTAATTGGTTGGCTTGGTTGGCATATGTAATCACAATGCTGATTTTTGTCATGTTTAATTAACGTGAAAGTTCTCGGCCTACATGTAGATGTAGCACACCAGCATGCCACACTGGGCCAGCCCAGGGTGATTCCAACCCTGACCTCCGTGATACTGGTGCAGCGCTCTAACAAACTGAACTAGCAGCTGGGTGCTGGTCATTAAATTGGTTCATAATATACCCGGCAAATACGAAAAAAGATGAAGATGAAGTAATGAATTAATGAAATTCACATTTATGGATTATGCAATCAGATGCACAAGTTCCCTTAAGCACAACCACGCAAACACAGAAGCCACAAATAGCAAAGTTTAACTGCATAATAATTGAGTCATTGTGGATCATTATACATTTCTGGGAAATTGCCCACCTACCCCTCCTAAGCCAACATTAAAACTTACTTCTCACCTAGGGCAAAATGTTGGCTTAGGGGAAGGGTAGGTGGGCGGTTTCCCAGAAATGTATAATGACCCGTTGTACTTACTATGAGTATATTCCTCTCCCATGCTTGGAGGGTACTCCTCGTCCCAGTCCACCACATCATCATCAGTCAGTATTACTATGTGGCATTCACGATCCCCTTTCTACAAAATACAGAGAATAGATGTACATGTCTGGTTTAACTTTATCCTTGGTTTAAATTTTACTTCCCTTTGTTTTAACCTCATACCCCAAAACAAAGGGAAATAAAATTCAAACCAAGGATAAAATTGAACCACAACATACACAGGAGTTTCAATAACAATAATAAAGTAGCCAGCAGGTTTGAATAGAGTAACCAACCATAGCCGTTAGTCCCTTTCCTTGACGGAGGTCTTGGGGCATGCTCCGCCAGAAAATTTAGGAATTTCAAAGCCCTAAAATGCTATTTCCATTTTTCTGAGGACTAAATTGAGTACAAAAGAGTGTGTTTTTCATTCAAGAAAATATAGCTTTCATTCAGGTTTCATAGCCACACAATCAATTCCTACAAGCAGTGAACAAATGTCAATATTCAAAATTAAGTACATTTGCACATAAAAAAAATCTGCATAAACCAAAGAACAAATGTGAGAAAATTTACTGAAATACAGCATTTGTGTAACTAGAGCATTACATACATGTAAAACCAGTGGTCCTTGTAAACACATCATAATTATCAGTAGGCTTACATTTTCTTTTAGATCTTATGATATTTTTTCTTGTTTACAACATTATTAAAACTAGTTGCTTCTAGTAGCCTGCATGTTTCATCAGTCATCGGTGCTCATTGAAACCCCTGTGTACAGTTACAGTAACAGTGACAGATACATGCAGGGAGAGGGGCCCAGGGTCCAGGGGCCACAACACAGTTTGTGTTTGGATACTAAAATTGTCAAAAAAATAATCAAGTTTTTCAAAACAATGTGCAGGGGGTGGGACAGGGCTCAACCTCGTCAAGAGTCCCACCGATTAAAGACCAATCATAAAAGCTTATAGACAATGCTACACTTCAGTTGTCATAAAAATTCTGTTTTTTAAATGTTGCCTTGGTCAAAAGATGCTCTTCTTGTATCTACAGTTCATACTTGTCAGGCCTAAATATTATTATTATTTTTATTGTCACAGTGTTCTCACCAGGCCGCTGAAGTGCGGGATTCCCACAAGAAAATCTGAGATGGCGCAGAAAAAGCCAAGAAGATGCCCCCAATGGAGTGCAGAGGCATTCTACGAGTCAAACAGACTTAAGAACATCTACAGCTAAGTAGTTTTAATGGTCAACCCAACACCCCAGCATTTTACTTGGTTGAATGAATTAAAATCGTGCTATCAAAAGATTCAAAGTCTTTAATTTTATTTCCTTAACTTTCGTTGGTCCCATGTGCCTTGCAAAGATTGGTGCATGCATCGTCATCGAATCGTACACACCCCATCCACTATACTGGATCAAGTAGGTTCTTCACATAACAGATCATTCTGAGTGCAGGCTCACTTTGTCCCCTTAAGGGGGCCCTGTGACTCCCCAATGCAAAATCCTGGTGAGAACACTGTTGTTGTTATTGCTCTTGTTGCTGTTATTATTATTATTTATTTATTTATTTATTTATTAATCAAAACAACGACCTGTTAAAAAATAGCTTCATCTAGGCATTTCAGGTGCATTATACAGTTTGTAAAGGGTATTTCACCTTTGCGGAAGAAACCATTACAGGGAGGATGAACTGCTCTACAAAATACTGAAACTGATCTTTGGCGCCATCATTTGACAGTTCATGAAGAAGATCCCCTAAACAAAGCAGAACAAAAACATTCACTGATGATTAGTTCTTTTTCACTTCAGTGGACACTTCTTTGGATTTTCCAGAAAATTTCTGGAAAATCCAAAGTGTGCTTCTCTCAGCTGTGACTGAGATACAGTGTATTTATCAGAGGTAATTCAAAACTTCAGGTTTGAAATGTTATGGCCAAATTCGTTGTATCGCGCTGTGAGTTTTGCAAACTTCGAGGGAATTTAGGTTTTTTCTGTTCCATCAATCATCTTAGCGGACCTCTTAGGAAACACTTGCTGTAAAACTTCGAATTCGATTTTCCTGCCAAGTTATATCGCGGGTATCGTATTTTGCATAAATTAACCGCCAACCACACGATGCCTGTTTTTGTAAACCAAAAATCGTTAATCTGCTTGATAACTGACTGTAAAACGTAAAGGAATGCAATCTATAGGAACCATCCGATTTTCTTGCTTAACATTGCCCCAATGACATCATTTAAAAGAAAAATAGCGGCGAACAAAAATTTCGAAAATTTACTATTTTGTGTCAGGTATACATGTTCATTTGATTGGCATGCAAAAATGTATCGAGTACCCGCGGATTTTTAAGCACGAAATGGTTCACAAAGGGTGAAATATTTACATCCTGTTTCAATTTTGATCTAAATGGGAGAGTTAGTAAGAAGAAAATATGTTCAAAAATGTCCATTTGTTAGCCTTTTCAAAAAACGTCCCCCCCCCTGATGCCCAGTGCAGGTTTTTTTTAGAAGTCAAACAAATGCCACAGTGAGTAGTTTCATCTGAAGTACTAACTACACACAAAGTATGAGGGAAGGTTTTGTTTGACCATTTCCAATTTTGCTCATTCCTTAGCGACATTCGTTCTTAAAAATTCACTTGATTACGCCAAGAGAAATTCAATTAAAATAAATGTGATTATGCTTAAAACTAAAGAAAAAAAAAACTCGCTTTAATATTTGCTAGGTTGGTGAGCAAACTGAGATAACTGAAGTGAATAAAATAATGATTAATAATTGAATTAATGGCATTGTATTCATTTTAGCACCAGAAGAGGAGGAAAAGATTTCATTGGTGTCAAATGCGACAGATGAGATAGTTGATTGACTTATTTCATCGTTTCTTATCTACTTGTGAAACCTGAAATAGATGAGATAATAAGTCAAGGGATTACGAAACCATCATGCAGTGATCTTTTAGCAGGTGAAAATAATTCAATGGTGGAACTAGAGAAACCATCCACGTTGCTGCCTCCTCTTAGTTTTTAAAGTAGCGCAGGGACCAGACGGGAGATACTTCGTTTCCGTAAAATGTTCCCACCTCTTAAATTCCCGTCAAGGTCTGCATCCCCCGTTTCCTTGAACACGGGAAGCAACCGGAATCAGGGATAGAAGAAACTGCATTCTTCGACTATGATACTCAAGGGAGGACGAAGTTCTACCATCTTGATGACTTGCAAAGTAAACCCTCATTTTAACTGACTGATGTTGAGCGATGTACTGTCGGGATGTGTCTAAAATGACTCATAACTTGTACATAGGACTATAATTGTCATCGTTAAAAAGTTCAACATCTGTTATTCTTGTGTATTGTTCAGTTTGACAGACAATGTTTGTGATTGAATTTTATCGTTCCATTCGCATTCCTGGTGTCCTTACAGTAAGTTGGCAAAAGTCTGTCTGTTTTGTTTTAGTTTGTACAATTTGATTCCAAATTAAAACGACTTCCTTCGACTGTTAAAACTATTTATAGTGGTCTCGTTATCTCATGTAAAGTTATTCAATTGGCATATTTTCAGAAAGCGATGTATCGTCTCTAATCCCTGACAAGACGTTAGCAAAACCTTTCATGTGACTCAGTTTTATGGACTGATCCATCATTCCGGCACTTTGCATTGTTCAAAGCCGAAGCCCCATGTTGTTATGACTGTATGTATATGTGGAATCTTAAAAAGTGAAATTTCCAAATACGTTATATAATTACAGGAAGGTTCCCCTACACAAGCTCAATTTGGTAACTAGTCCAACCAACCAAAACAACCAAAAATGGGAAAACAAATAAGATGGATTTTACTGTTTTATTTTCAAGCCGACTTTACATGTACGCTTTTATTGTCAAAAGTACTGTTTTAAAGTTTCGCTTTGATGCTCTTTAGTTTTATAGAAAGCCAGTTCTACTTTCGGCTTGGATGATGGATGCAGCCTAGGGCAGCCTCTTGCAGACAAGACCACAGTCGCAATTTAAGCAGCGAAGATCATTCCAATAACCATTATCTCCATGGGCCTGTCCAGTCCACATGTTGCTGCATGGTTCTGATGCTTTTCCGTTCGGTTCACCAGGGTTCCAGTTGGTGTATTTTGGAAGCGCGTTGTCAGCCCATACAAACTTGCTCAGGGATGCGTCCCACTTCAGTCCGATCCAAACCTGTTTCGTCGACGGGGCGTGTTTATAAACCAAGTTCAGAACAAACTCGTTTTCTTCATCGCTGTTGATCTTCACAAGATCTCCGCCTTTGCTTTTGCAGTACGTTCGAGCAGCTTGCCAACTTTTGACTGCGCTACTCACAAAGTAACAGTAGCTTTTGAAATGCGTCCAACCACTGGGACAGGGACCTATATAATTGGTGATGAAAAAATGGAATTGGTTATTGCCTTTTACTCTACTACAAAGTAGCAAAATTGTGATCTGAAAATACAAAAATAAATATACCGGAAAATGAAAAAAATGAGGCAGTTCCTCACCAGTTATTCGAAAAGCGATATCAGTGGCGTCTCTCTTGTGTTTATTATCTGACCGAGCTGAAAAAGAAATTAAACCCACAATTAAAAAAAACCTCGTGCGAAAAAATTTTCTTCTAATGTATCGATAAATTACCCTTTTCAGTGCATGAGTTACAAATGTCTTCCAACCCGTTATTTCAAGGAAGGCTGACTACACCCATCCCAGTGAGCGCGTGATTTTGTTGTGTGTCATCCGCGTTGCGAGTATCGTTTTTTGAATTTCGTAAAATCAAAAGCGTAGACAGATAAACCAGTGTACGTGTATTGTCCGGACGTATTGTTGTCATTTGAATCACTCAGATTTTTTGCACTTATCCGGGCTTCTGAGGCATAAGATTCTGCCTTTACTAAAAAAAAATCGACCCGGCTTGCATGCTTCAATTGTAGCAATTTTTGTGGTTATATCGTTGAGTTTGAAAACCAGATTTAATGAATTTCTTACTGTGATCTTGACCTGAAGTACTCAATTTTACTCTTTGAAAACTTGGTCATTTCTCTCTTGCTTGGAGTGAGCTTTGCGTGTTTCAAAATATAACCAAGAAAGCAAAAGAGACCAGCCTATACAATCCGAGCTCCGGGTAAAATTTTAGAGAAGCGGCATCGGGATTTGAAGACCGAATTGATTTTTACGACTGACTTACGCATACCTGCAGTCACACATAAGAGCGCAACGAAAAGCGGTACAGTAATAACCAGTTTCATCTTAGTTCAAAGTCTCAGGGCTGGATATCTCTGATACGGTGGTGTTAGCGGGTCCTTCTTTCTCACAGTCCTCAAATGAATGACTCATAGAAAATCTTGGTGAAGCTGCTATAATTGTTAACATCCCTCTAAACAAGATAGAACAAGATCAAGTTAGGAAGTAAACATGACGTAGTATCGTTGAAAATTATAGGCGGATTGCTATAATTTTAGTTTTAAAGATCTCACAGTCTTGCTTTCAACGATAGCGGAATAATTTCGCTAACATTTCTCAAACTAAAAATTGCAGGTAGCCCATAGCTCTTTTGCCAAAACCTTTCGGTGCGATGTCTTTTTTGTACATTTTTATATCACATATGCACTCTATCAGACTGTCCTGAATAACTTGACATAAATTCATTTTGCATAATGATGTTTCACTAAAGAATCTTGTTTATTTAGGGAGATAGGAGGTTGAAAGGTCCAACAACTTCCGTCTAAAGCCTTATTTACAATAGGAAGTTCTTTCCCTGACAAATTTTCTTTGATTAGAGTATAGATAGCCTTTTTTTTTAATTAAGGCAAATATACTTATGAATAACACTATGGATAGCCACCTTCTCCTTTTTAGCAGTCAGACATCTAGTAACATACGAAATGTCAACACATCAGTGTAAATAAAGGTTTGACTGAAAATACCCTATTTCTCGAATAAGCGGTCCCTTTACCACCACTTTCTTAAATAGCACCAGAGGCACCTGTATACCTCTTGTAGTACTCACAAAGAAGGTGTCTTCCCACATTTATTATTTCTTTAACTTAAACTGCACCAGCAATAATAAAGGAGAATAGTCTTTCGTTGTGTATCACTTCGTGTGGCACTCATTTATTGATTTGTTTATTAAAATATTTTAACATGAAAATTTATGGTTAGCCAAAAAATCATTTAGCGCCCTCATCGAATAGCTGTTGGCAAGAGAGGATAAAGCTCTTCATCCTCTCTTGTTGTTGGTATAAGCGTCAGCTTTTGGGCAAAAATCATTCAAGGAAACACGGAACTGTTACAGAATAGCGTACAACTATAATCGCCATATATGTTCACATGTAGATTAAGCGTTAGCAAGGCCTTCCGGTACGAGAAAAGTTAAAAGGAACACGGAGTAAGCCGAGGGGGACTAAGGAGTTTAAAGGGGCAGGAAGACCTGTGAACAAAATGTTGATGAGTTGATGCGGCCTGAATATCTAGCACAATCTAGTATATTTGGGCAGATCAATTGACAAGAGCCATAATGGGTGATGTTTGCTAACAAGTTTGACAATGCTCCTTCATGGAAATAAAGGCCAACCTCTATTGAAGCAAAATAAGTAAATATCGTCACATATACATCGTCCCCGGGGGGACCCTAAAGGGAAGTTTGAGGGTGGAGGTGTTCCACCCACCCAGAGGCCTTCAAACCCTGATCCTGTCCAAGTCAGACCCCGAATCATTTCGTTCCCTATATAGAACAAAAGTAATTTTTAAAATGCCATCAAGGAATTAGTTTTTGGAAAAAGAAACTTAGCTTGGTATTACAAATGAAGCCCTCAGTATAGCCATCCTTCACACTCTTTTAAAGGCTTCCCCGGTCAGGGGCGGATCTAGGGGGAGGGTGCAGGAGGTGCGCACCCCCGAGATGACCTGCCGTTTTCTAATACAACTGGTATTCTGTTTATTGGTGTTGAAGTAGAGCAAGAGACGAGTGCACCCCCTCCTAAAAAAAATCCTGGATTCGCCCCTGCCGGTCCAAAAAGACATTAGGGACCTTAAGATGTGAGGACGACGACGGCAGAGAAAACGTCGCTGAAAAAGTGAATTCACGTTCTTTCAATCTTCATCGCGATTACTTAAAGTCACTAACTTTGTCAACTGTAGGCGAACCCTCCTAAAGTTGAATTCCTAAGAACCATATCCAGGTTCAGAAAGAGAGAGGAAATTTCGTCGTCGCTTGTGTACATTTTCACGTCGTAGTCGTGCAGTGACGGCAAAGAAATGTACAAAAAAGCGTGATGCATGTGCAAAATTGTTGTTTTGCTAATTAAACCTATTGATTTTGTGGCGTTCCCGTTGTCGTCGCCGTCGTCGGATCTTAAGGTCCCTAATCTGTCCAAGACGCTAAAATAGCGACATTGTATACCCTGTTTAAGATTCAAGACCCTGAAAACCATACCTTGTTCAGCAGCACATACCCGTTTAAGCTCTTCGCTGAGAGCTTAAGCCCCGCGCAAACGGACGCAACATTATTGGCTAACAACTCCCAATATTGTTGGATGTTACATGTTTGCACACGTTGTTGCATGTTGTTGCGGGTTGTTGGGAGTTGTTGCTTTGTTATTGGGGGTTCATGTTTAAGCAGACTGTCGTCATTGCTGGCGACTTAAATATGGACAGGCTTAGACTCGGGAGCGCATACGGGAAGATTCTTGAGGATCTCGAAGAAATTAACAGCTTCCAATGCCTGATAACTGAACTAACAAGAATCACTGAGCAGTCACAAACTCTATTGGACGTTTTACGTACAAATACTCCTGAGCACTTTGAAAAATGAGGAACGTACGACTTTGGCCTAAGTGATCACTGCATGGTCTACGGAGAAATGAGTGAGAAAATTCAAAAGGGTAGACAGAAGCAGTACCTACCTTCAGGCAAATGAAAAACACTGATTTGATCAGCTTAACGATCTTTAAGATGCACTGTGGCATGCGCATGTGGGAGATAAATTTACAACACAGATGACCAGCATGATTACTGGTACGCTCTCTTTGAGAGCATGGCGAAGGATCACGCCCCCCTCAAGAGGAAACGTGTGCGTGATAAGGACGTACCCTACATGACGAGGAATTCTCTCGTGTAACACCACCTTGAGGTCCCTAATCCTTAACGATGATGACCGTTGTTCCCCGAACCTCTTGTGAAGATGACTGAAGGAGATAAAAGCTTTGTCCACTTGCACTGCACAACTTTAAGGAAAACCGTGACAGCTTTAGGTGTAAATTAGAGAAATACACCACAAAAAACATAATAATAAGCGTCTTTTTTTAAATTTAATTCCAAGAATATGTTTAGCAAAATTTACCTTTATTTTTAATTATAAGCGTGCTTTGATGCGACTGTATTCAGAAAACATCAGCAAAATTTACGACAAATTAAAGCTCTGGATAAGAACCAAGCCTTTAACCTAAAGTATGCTCGATAATACATACTGCTCTGTAACCTGAACATCAAGTCTTCATAAATATCATTTCCCCATACATGATAATCTGGGTTTTTCTGGGGAAATAAGCAAAGCTGCAGCAAACTTACAGGCGAATTTTTGCCTTATTAACCAAACTCGTCTCCAGGACTTTTCCCTAAGAAAATGGAAGGGAGGACCCGAAAAGCCCTGGGCACGAGATCGATCATTAACATAAGCTTGAAGCTTTTCGTTCTCTGATCATGCTATTAAAATAACACCTCTGAATGTTGAAAGAGCAAAGCAAATTCAGTTACCAGTGAAAATTTGAGCCCGATATTTCAATATCGTGGAGAAACTGGAAACAATGGGTTTGCTAAATTTGAGTGTATTTAGGGCAATTTGAAAGTGGCTTATTCACGGCTCACTCGATTCTGTCGAAGAGAGAACAATGGCGGATACAGGGGAGGGGCCCGGGGGGCCCGGCCCATCCCCTTATTTTTAGATTAAACTGAGGCCCAAGGGGGCCGAAAAAATTTTTTTGGAGACCGCCCCTCCGTCTCCTTATCTAAGAGCCTGGATGACTGCCCCCCCGCCCACTTTTCTCAAGGTCTGGATCCGGCACTGGAGAAGGAGGAATAAAGGGACACTTCACTCGCTTTCAGTCTCCCTAATAAACTGGAGCACCACAAGCGAGATACCTGTAATCCTTACAAACACACGCTTATTTCTGTGCACTACAAGCCTATAAGTAGTAATACTCCACTCCACTTTACAGTGATGTGACAACTGGTCAAGAGTAGGCAGCCTCCCTACCCCAGCCCCGTAAGTGGCGGCCCCTAGGGGTAGGGGTGAGGGGACGACTGTCAGTCCAGACTGTTTCTCTTCTACTCTGAAGGCAATTAATTTGGTAATAGCTTTGAAAAGACTGTTGACAAAGCGTGCCGAAATTTAAGGAGATCAAAGAAGATAAGAACTTATTAAAGAAAAATATACTTCACATACCACCCGTAAAATTTTGTTTGCATAATCTCGTAATGATTTTAGAGCAGTTAAATAAATAAATACGCTTATATTATATTACTGATATTTGAAGTGCAATTTAAAATGCAACAAAAACGCCAACAAGAACTCAATTTTTTTTCTTTATGGAGCTGGCGCGTCGCTACAACTTTAAATCTTAACACCATTATCAGAACACCCCGTTGCAAAAGAAATCGATAAAGGTGTTACTCTTAATTCAATATAGCAACCCACTTTTAGAGATCTGTTTTCTAAACAGCTCGCTAAAACTAACTTAACTAATTGCATGGTAATAAATATATATGGCTAACTAGTCTCCACTATGTCTTCCCATTAAATTCTAAGCCGAGCGCTTAACTTGAGTTTGCTCGCCATGGCAACACGTCCGTAGTTTATACCAGATTAGGGCTTACCAGGCTTTGAACAACTCGGCCCCAGTGCAGTACCGCCTTGTGTTACCATGACAGCTTGTTATGTTAGTTACCATCAGCAGCAGACTTGCGCACCATCTTCAAAGTTGGAATCAAACTCGTTACCAGGTCTCCGATCTTTCCTTTCCCCTGGAGTGATATTAAGGAGTGATAGAGGGGAACGGAAATAGAGAAAGCCTGGGAACGAGGTCTCTATTTTATCTTTATAAATCATCAATAAGTTTGAAAAATGCTGATCGAAACTCAATAAAACTTCTTGCTACACTTCACCCTTAAACCATGAACAATAACGAATAAAGGCCTGTCAGCATGCAATAATCAGCTTTTCCACCCATTTTTTTAATGCGGACATTCCTTTCGCGTCTATGGATGAGCAACGTAAGTTAAACTTGGGGTCTCTTTAGAAGCGCACAGCAATGATTCCCTGGTATAGATGACAGCATTTTGTTCGCTGATATGTCGGCCATTGCTTCAGCATCACTCGATGTCTTCTGGATCCGCACCCAATATGGCAGCAGGGGGGTGAGGTCCGGCACCAGCTGCTGCCAAAGCGGCCGGTTCATCTACAGCCTCCACCAGCCCTGGAGTACCAGTCTTAGTCTTCACGCACTGGAAATCAACATGGCGGCTCTTGCTTTCTTCTTTTTCCCATGACATGCGCACAAAAGGCCGTTGAACGTAGTTGTATATTACTAGATGAAGGTGGAAAAGAATAGTATAACTATTACAAGTATATAACCATTAATAGTGTTGAAGTAACGTAATACGCAGATATCCCATAGTCTCTCATCTTAATTACCAATAGTGCAAGAAGCAGGCGATCCACGCGACCGAATTGACACTTCTTGCAATTCAGCAGGCAATTTCCATGCGCTCGCATATCCAGTTCACGCTGTCTCAGGAAAATAAGGAAGGACTTTCAAATTTCGTGATGTTATGTAACGCATAGTGATGTGATGTGAAGTAACGTGAATTGACATGACGTGACGTGACACGATGAGATGTGATGTGGAGTAAAGTGACGTGATGTCATGTAATATGATGCATTGTAGGATTACACAGCGCCGCAACTCCTACTTGTGCAAGGTGTTCAAATGAGAAATATAAATAAAAAAGATCAACTCCAGCACAAAAGCGGACCTACGAGAGTCACATACAACTGTACACCGTAATTACCCCATTACTCATACTAACGTCAGCTGAAGATAACCTCCCACGCAGACGCTCTTTTGGCTCTCTACGTTTTTTACCGCTCGTTTCAGCAGACATTCGTGGGGCAGGAACGTGTTACCAACCTTTAAGAATGTCTGCGTGGGACGCTACGCTGAAGATTACCTGCTTTATTTTATTTCCGTTTACTTTCTCGAAGGTAAGGTTGCAGTTGATAAAAGAAAACAATGAAATGCGACAAGAGCTTGATTAATCCTACCTTCAGGCCTTCCACCGTTAGGTCGCTGTTTTATCTTCTCCTTGTAAGTTGGGTAACCTGTCAATTAACGTATAGTATGCGGTAATCAGAGGTTTTGTTATGGCATTTTGCAGATAAAGAAAATTCATGTGGGAGTAGAGGACATTTTAAATTATGGGGGGATTTTGACCACGTGTAAAGTTCTACTCAACCACGGGATGACCATACGAACTGATAGTGTTTCCCATCCTATTCTTTCATCACTTAATAATTATTTTAATAATAGTGATTTGAAATGGCATTGTTGGCACTTAAGGGACCCTCAAGCCCCAAAAGTGACCAGCACTAAATTTCTCCCCACAATATCACTGCCAAATCAAATGTACAAGTCGAGAGAATCAATGGAATGATCAGCACTGATAAAATACCTTGATCTTTGAACTAATTCAAATTCTCTCAAGCAGTGGAATAAGGAACATAATGAAGAACAGTAAGGAGAATACACATGTTGATATCGGGTCTTAACGGGTTAAAATTTGGCTTTAACCAGAGTTTAAAAAAAGCTGAAAATATGACAGATGACTCTGATTGCAAGCAATGACTACTGTACATCCAACAAAAGGCTACCTTCTATTCCCAGTCGTATCTTCTTGAGGCCTCTTTCTTTGAGGACTTCTTTAGCAACATCACGATTTTCAAAGTACTTGAAGAACCGGTACAAAGAAGTGGAATACACAACTGAAAGAGAGTGAACAATGTTGAATTTATTGGTTGACATACTTGCTCATCAAACATGATACAAAAAAAGTAATGGGAACTCTCCAAGGGACAGATTACACTAACTGGGCTGGCTATGCTGAGCTCGCTTGCTTTGCCGAGGTGACTTTCATCCTTTTTTGCCGCCAAAAAGCCCTCGCTTTTCACTACTAGTGGGCTCTAACATATAGCCTAGTAGTAGCTCAACCAATCAGAATGCCGCATTGATAATAGACCACTAGTTGGATTTTACTAATACATGATGTCAGTCAGCCTGGAACTGTAATGTTTACATAGATTGGATGTATTGCGCATAAGCAGTGTATTACCCATACCCCTTGCTGAGCTTTGAATCACTGGGCCCTGCTTGGCTAGCTTGTTTACTTAAAAAGTGTCTAACCTGGTTTAGCAGGTTCCCGGAAACATGCTACAGGGATATGGGATTAATTGGTTGGCTTGGTTGGCATATGTAATCACAATGCTGATTTTTGTCTTGTTTAATAATATTAACATGAAAGATCTCTGCCTACATGTCCATGTAGCACACCAGCATGTCACACTGGGCCAGCCCAGGGTGATTCCAACCCTGACTTCTGCAATACTGGTGCAGCACTCTAACCAATTGAACTAGCAACTGGGAGCTGGTCATTAAATTGTTTCATAATATCCCCAGCAAAGATGAATTAATGAAATTCACATTTATGGATTATGCAATCAGATGCACAAGTTCACTTAAGCAAAACCCCACAAACACAGAAGCCACAAATAGCAAAGTTTAACTGGATAATAATTGAGTCGTTGTGGATCATCATACATTTCTGGGAAATTGCCCTCCTACCCCTCCCCTAAGCCAACATCAAAACTTACTTCTCACCTAGGGCAAAATGCTGGTTTAGGGGAGGGGTAGGTGGGCAGTTTCCCAGAAATGTATAATGATCGATTGTACTTACTATGAGTATATTCCTCTCCCATGCTTGGAGGGTACTCCTCGTCCCAGTCCACCACATCATCATCAGTCAGTATTACTATGTGGCATTCACGATCACCTTTCTACAAAGTACAGAGAATAGATATACATGTCTGGTTCAATTTTATCCTTGGTTTAAATTTTACTTCCCTTTGTTTTAACCTCATACCCTAAAACAAAGGGAAATAAAATTCAAACCAAGGATAAAATTGAACCACAACATACACAGGAGTTTCAATAACAATATTAAAGTAGCCAGCAGGTTTGAATAGAGTAACCAACCATAGCTGATAGTCCCCTTCTTCGGGGGAGGTCTGAGGGCATGCTCCGCCAGAAAATTTAGGAATTTCAAAGCCCTAAAATGTGATTTCCAGTTTTCTGAGGACTTAATTGAGTACAAAAGAGTGTGTTTTTCATTTGAGAAAATATAGCTTTAATTCAGGTTTCATAGCCACACAATCAATTCCTACAAGAAGTGAACAAATGTCAAAACTCAAAATTATAAAGTATATTTGCACATAAACAAATTCTGCGTAAACCTATGAACAAACATGAAAAAAATTAACTGAAATACAGCGTTTGTGTAACTAAAGCATAACTAAAGAGACATGTAAAACCAGTCATCCTGGTAAACACGTCATAATTAAGTTTCATTTAGACTTTATGATATATGTTTTTTTGTTTACATCATTATTAAAACTAGTTGCTTATTCTTTTGGGGGGTGGAAGTAGCTGACTGCTCTGAGCAAAGTGGCTGATGCGTTTCATCATCGGGTCCAGGGTCCAGGAGCTATAACACAGTTTTTGTTTGGATACTAAAATTTTTGAAAAAATAATCAATTTTTTCAAAACAATGTGCGGGGGGTGGAACAGGGTTCAACCGCCTCAAGAGTCCCACTGATTAATGAACAATCATAAAAGCTTACATGTATAGACAATGCTATGCTTCAGTTGTCATAAAAATTCTGTTTTTTAAATGTTGCCTTAACTTGGTCAAAGATATTGTTGAGTTAATTTTTCTGGCTCTCAAAAGATGCTCTTCTAGTATCTACAGTTCATACTTGTCAGACCTAAATATAATTATTATTGTTATTGTCACAGTGTTCTCACCAGGCCGCTGAAGTGCGGGATTCCCACAAGAAAATCTGAGATGGCGCATAAAAAGCCAAGAAGATGCGCCCGATGGGGCGCAGAGGCATTCTATGAGTCAAACGCACTTAAGAACGTCTACAGCTAAGTAGTTTTAATGGTCAACCTAACACCCCAGAATTTTGCTTCGTTGAATGAATAAAAAACATGATATCAACAGATTCAAAGCCTTCAATTGTATTTCCCTAACTTTCATTGGTCCCATGTACTTTGCAAAAATTGGTGCATGCATCATTATCAAATTGCAAACACCCCATCTGCCATATTGGATCAAGTAGGTGCTTCAAGTAACAGATCATTCCGAGTGCAGGCTCACTTTGTCCCCAAAGCAAAATCCTAGTGAGAACACTGTTGTTGTTGTTATTATTATTATTATTATTATTATTATTATTATTATATTATTATTCATTATTATTATTATTATTATTATCATTATTTATTTATTTATTTATTTATTTATTAAAACAATGGCTTGTTAAAAAATAGCATCATCTAGGCATTTCAGGTGCATTATACAGTTTGTAAAGGGTACTTCACCTTTGCAGAAGAAACCATTACAGGGAGGATGAACTGTTCTACAAAATACTGAAACTGATCTTTGGCACCATCATTTGACAGTTCATGAAGAAGATCCCCTAAACAAAACAGAACAAAAACATTCACTGATGATTAGTATCTTTTCACTTCAGTGGACCCTTCTTTGGATTTTCCAGAAAATGTCTGGAAAATTCAAAGTGTGCTTCTCTCAGCTGTGACTGAGATACAGTGTATTTATCAGAGGTACTTCAAAACTTCAGGTTTGAAATGTTGATTCAATATTTTCAAAGAAAAAGGGCTAAAAATCCTGTCAGATAAACGAGATTTATTTTGCAGAGTTTGATGTTGCAATCTCACTGTTATGTTAAAGGCCTTGTATGACATACTGATTACCTTCATAGGTAATACATTTGCTGGAGAAAGTTTCAATAATAATTAAAACATTCATTACTATGTAGATTACCTTTTTAATCATGCAGCTGAACTGGACATTTTGGCTAAATGGAAACATATATCCTAGTTCGCAGGTATTCAAAGAGCAATATTAACTATTTGACAGACATAAATTTATTTCTTCTTTTGTGACCCAATGATGTTCTTATAAACTAATGTGGGAAAACGTTGTTTATCTGTACAAACAACAAGAATAGTCTTTGATCGTATCATTAGTCCTCTATACCTCTCTGTTTAATCTGCAATCTCAGACTGAACTGAAAGGAGTTGAGTATGAGAGCTTGCATAAATGTGAAATAGCTATAACCAGGGCATACTTGGCAACATTTCCAACCCTTCAAAAATCTTGCTTGCTGCAGAGTGGTGAAAGTATTTTATGGGATGTTAAACTTAAAGCCAAAGTGGTAAATCCAAGAATTGCAGGTTGATTTAAATCAGAAATCAAAGTACAATTTAAGCTGAAGAAACATGGAGAAGATAATAATACAAAATAATTTCTCTTCACACAACTTCACACTTGTGCTTGTTGTATTTTAATACTATTTGTTAACTTTTGGTAACCTGTTGATGATCTGTTGGTTATAAGGTAAATGCCAACCAACAAACAGCTGACAGTTTTTTTGGAGAGCTGTTCTTCACAATAGCTGTACCCAAAGTGTGGCTGTGAAGGGGAACTAGATTTTGTGTCTCTCATGGAAACTAAATAATAACAGGGCTCGAAATTAACGCTCGCAAACTTGCAAAATGCAAGTGATTTTGATAATCTGCGAGTAAGAAAAATATCCACTAGCAAACGATTGCGAGTTAGAATACTCCATGTCTCCCAAACAAAGGGAAATAATTTGCTTGTGGTCTCACCAGTTTGCCAGTGGGAAAAAATCTTACTAGCAAAACTTTGCAAGTGCACTAAAAAGATAACTTCGAGCCCTGTAATAATAAAATAATGTAACTTTTTTTGCCAAAATTTTACTCACTTAGATTCTGACATCTGATTACTTGAGCATTAAATGGTATAAGTAGATAGTCACAGGCCTCTCTGAGTTCAGGGATTTGTACACTTGGTGGACAATTAATCACTCCAGTTTTGTAGTAATCCTGCAAACAAAGTATCACATAAGACATACCATTTTCAAATGTAAGGACACAACGTGACTTGAACAGTTTTAAACTTGACAAATTAAGAAATTAGACCTGAAAAGTTTTTTGCTTGAGAAATGTCCAACTGCCTGTTTTCTATTTCATTCTTAAACTAAAATTATCCTACAATTTAACAATGTACATATACATATAACTCTATATTTCTATTACTTATGGTATGTATATATTAGTTTATTTTTTCAATTCACACACATCCAGGCCATCTGACAGGGTGCGGAAAAAAATGAAAAATTATGCGGAAATTTCGGGCAATATTATGCGGAAGAAAGTGCCAATTATGCGGAAAAGACAACAGAGTATGCGGAAATTTCCAACGAAACGATCGCGGCTTCGCAGCTCATTTCTGAAAAAACGATCACGGCTTCGCCGCTCACTTCTAACAAAACAATCACGGCTACGCCGCTCATTTCAACGCAAAGTACGGTAAAAACGATAAACGGAAATATCAACAAGCTCTTACCAAGAATTTGAGTTCATTACATCTTTTAAACATAATGCTTGTTATCATGCTTGACCTTTTTCTGCCATTCTTTGACAGGTATTTCTTCATTTAAAGCAGTTTTTCCTTAGACTTAACGCGAAGATTCGACATGATTTTGTTCTTCAATTCGTGGAAACATTTTAAGCTTAGCAGCCAGGCATTAGAGCATTCCCTTTTCGTATCAAACGCAGTTTCTATCAGTTCCTGCTATTGGCTAAAATACAAACGCCATCTATCCAATAGAAATTAGCATTATAAAAACTAGTTTCCAGGACACCCCAGAAAGTGCATGGAACGCCTGGGGGTTAAAAAAATGTGGTGTACGAACAAGCAACGAACAAACAGAGTATTTTCTCGCTGATTTGGGCAAAATATTTCTTCAAAATGATCAATCTCTTCACTAATTTTGCTTCTGAGGACGGTAAGCAATTCCACCTTTGCTTATATGGAGCAATTTTTTAGTATTGTGCGGAAAAATGCCCTCAAGATGCGGAGGATGCGGAAGTTGGTCAATTATGCAGATCCGCACCACCGCATCCTGTCAGATGCCCTGCACATCTAAGTGTATGCATTAATTAATTTATTTAATTATTATAGTTATTTTTGTTATTTATGTTACAGTGTCCCCAATTAGAAACACCATGCTAAAGTTACATGACACTTGAATAAAATTTATTATTATTATTATTATTATTATTATTATTATCATTATTATTATCATTATATTAAAAACCCAAACCTTTTCTTGATAACAAAGCTAACTATAAAATCCTTTTTACAATAATTATTAACTTCACTTAAAAAACTATTCAGGCAAAGCACTATTTACATTATTCCTTTCGATTAAAAAAAAAGAAAGACACTTAATTTCGGTTGAAAAAATTCATTCCATAAAAAATATATCATATAATTCCATTAAAAAAACAACAGTTTGTTTCAACTAAACTAAATTAACAAGCTCATGCCATTATCACACAGGCTTGGGTGGTGTTTAAGCGGTGGTCATCAATGAAATCTCCTTGTGGAATTTTGTGGAAGGGTGTCCTAGAACCTCTTATGCATGTGTGTACGGACCTTAAAATCTCAAAACAAAGCAATGTTCTTATCCAAGTAATAGTAATGTGATAAGTTTCCTCATTCTTTTCTGAGAGCTTCTCGGCTAGGCGTTTGAGAAAGCAGTTGCAGTCGGCTCCCATCCCACTGTTGGTTCCAAAATTAGGGGAGTGAAAGATCTCATTTCAACGTCCAGCACCTTCTGTTGGTACTTCTGCTTTTCTCCTCCTCCTGCTCCTTAAAGATTGTGGAAGTTTCTTTTCCCTGGTTGCCTTTTCCCTTGGTTGCACTTATCATTATCATTATCATTATCATTATCATTATTTCAATAATCATTTTGCCATGCATGTTTGTTTTTTGCTCAATAAACCAATCCTTTCTGTTTGTTGATCTGGTTTTGTTCATACATAACCACATCAATGTCAAATGAAAATCAATCTATTACTGAATAACTCTATATATTTTTATTAGCCTGTGCAAGCAAGACTTACTAAAATGCACTTGAACACATTAGCAGAGATGCCCCTGGCTACTTCATATTCTCCTTTTTCATTTCTTGTTGTATATTCCATTGTCGAACCAAACATTCTAGAATACAAGCAAGACAGTACAAGCAAGTAAGAACATACATAGGGTTCTTTAAATACCTTAAAATGGTTAAGTTTTTATTATTTTCAAGAGATTTTGTTGGGATCAGACAGTCAAACCTCCGGTAAGCAACCACCCAAGCTGTGAAGAGTTAGTTGTCGCTCATGGGAGGTGGTCAATAACACAAGTCAAACTGCAGGAGGTCTTTTATGAGAAGAAGTCCGGACACATGTTCATTTTGGAGAGAAAGTATTGCATACAACTTTAAGGTTGCAATATATGCAAATCAATGTTATTTCATAAGGTTCTTATCATAATCTGAGTTGCCTAGTACAAACAGCAAACACAAAGATCAGACCATTGTATCAGTTAATCACTTATGTAGAAGAGGTTAAAAACAATGGAAAATTCTAAAAACCATCATCCTAAAATATGGTTGGTGTCGTTTACAAGAGGTGGTTGAATACAAGAAGTTCCAACTATAAAGCTTTGACTGAAGAAATTTTGTGTTTTGGATAAGTGGTTGCTTATGGGCGATGGTCGCGTATTAGAGGTGGTCGTACATGGAGGTTAAACTATACAGTGTGTTCATTAGGCATCGGAGACCGGAGAATCCTCCATTTACTGAGCAGAATTCTCCTGCTAATGCTTGATAGCCTATGACCATTAATGACCATTTTTCATTCAGACGTGGAGCCTCTTTCAAAACATTCTCCTGTAACATTACACTTTCCTCCTACTACATCTGTACCAAAATTCTAAACTTAAAGAGAACCCTGATATTATAATTTTTATATTACAACTTCTTTTGATTTCCAGGATTAAGTTCCGGTCACAACCATGACCTTTTACATAAAAATAGTATAAAGTACAGTGTACATGATTGTGCTCTTTATTCATAATAGCTGGTTTTCACTAGAGTGGGAGCTGTAATCAGAATTGTAAGGAGTTATGATCTAGTGAAAACAACTTTATGCTCCTGCTTATGACCCTGTCGCTTATGATTTAGTGAAAAATAAGTCGTAGGAGTTAATAAAAGAGCAGAAGTGGAAGAACAAACAAATAAGAAATTGTGGGAATAAGCCTTTTGACTGATTTTCCTTCCACTTTTGCCTCCAGTTGAGACATTTCTCTTTTTCACTCTGGATCATAAGCAATGGACTCATTAGCAGAATTGGAAACAAATGGAAATGTTCCAACGCTGATTCCGTCAAGCTTATGACTCCAATAATGCAGGCCAGTGCAAAGAAAGTAAGAGCAAGCTGCAGCTACAATGTACTAGTCATAATAACTAGCCCCAAAATTTGTTGACCTGTAGGATTAACCATTAGCTAAATTTATTACTATTAATTTGCTTAATTGTTTCACTGAAAGTGTTATAGTAAACAGTTCAACCGTCAGATCAACCTGAAAAACAGCTTTGGATCAACCTGAATTTATTAAGAATTTAAACAATTTATCTTATGAATGGTTCAGACACCGAACTTTTCATGACCTGAACCTAATTCAGTTTAAAGCCGACCCAAATTATTCAGACCAGCTGCATTGATTCAGACACTGAAGTAAATTCAAAGGAGAAAAATGCTCTCTGAGTTAAACTGAGTGCAAAGATAATATGCTGTGATAATTTACGCATTTGGTTCAGCACATGAAAAGTTCAGCATCTGAATCGAAGCCCTTCCAACGTTGCTCCAAAGTAAAAATCTCCGGTTGGGCTTGGCGGGAGGAACAGCTGAGCTGTTCCTAAATGATAAAGACATTCCCAATAATATTAATTCTAGGCGCTCCTCACTGATTAAAACATCAAAATTTTCTTGTACTTAATTCAATGTATTAGGTTGGACTCATGATAACTTCAGGGGCTGAACAGAGCCTTACAGTACGTTTGCTACTTCATAAAGTCTTACAACTCTGCTTAAAACCTGACCCCAACTCCTTTGCTTGTGAAAACCAGCCATAACAAAATAATAACATAATACTAAACTAATGCTAAACCCATTGCTGAACTCAACTGACATCTACATGTATAACAATCACCAAAGGATTTTAATCAATGAGCAATATTTTGAAGAAATAATAACAAATAGAACATTATTACAATGTACTATTATTATTACAATATTAATATTATAACAATAAGGAGAAAAAAATAAATGCAGACTTGCGCATCACTGACCAGTGAACTCAATTAACAAGGACACGACTTCACATTCAACTCTGTGAACAAGCGGAACAAAGCCTAAGAATATGGCTTAAGTTTAATTGCATGAACAACGTGAGCTATAAAAACTTGAATTAAAATATCACATCTTACAGCCCATTTTTAATCTCCGGCCTATTTACGCTAACTCATTTAGAAGAATAAAATGCCCTACCTCCCGAGCATGGTGTTTGGATGAGCGATGAACAGCGATCTTTCCACAACAAAACGTGTATCGTCAACTACAAGGGTAATTTTGTCGGTCGTATAATCAGCCACTTGAGCGTTTCTTGGTAAAATCTGGGTCACCACTTTGTTTCGTTGCTTCTGAATAATTGGAGGCGAGCGAACGTCTCTGCGAATGTTATGATCCATTCTGTTTCTTGCTGTATTCCTCTGCGGTTCTAAATTATTCCTCGCAAGGTGTCTGGGAAAATCTCGGGGAGGAATGTCAAACGGAACGCGAGCGTTTAACTCCTCTAATTCACTATCGGTGGAGTCTTCTTGTTCGACTCCTACACCCTCAGCATTTTCCTCTAGGAAGTTGTTTTCCATCGATTTGACTACCCGCGACTTTCATAGATAACAAACAAGCTCTTGCTTGTCATTAAATGGATAACGCTGAAGTTTCACATGAGCAAATGGGCCAGAGATGCAATGAAAGACGCTGTGAACTTCTCCCAACACGATGATCTTGACGCTTTCGAAAAAATACTTATAGTTTCCCCAGAGTCTTCTCTGATTTAGCGGCAAGTCCTGGGGAGGAGTCTTCTGTTTTGTCTCTCTTTTTGAACGTCTTTGCACAGGCAGCCCAAAAAAGTTCATAAATGTCGGCAAGTCCACGGCAACAAATGAATGAGTGGTGCCGTATCTCCCAGTTGTTAACCTGAGATCAGGCCCAATTTTAGCGGTTTTCATACATTCTCTCTAACGGCTACCGCTAATGTAATTTTCAAAGCGAAACGAAAATAGAGGCTGATCTCAGGTTACCCAGTTGTAGACCTGGATCAGTACAATTAAACTTGTAGAAAAATATGAAACGGCAAACTGATCCTTACGGCAAGGCGATGAAGAAGTAAACAAAAGAATAAAACAAAAATGTATATATTTAAACAAATTGCCCAATATTTCGGTTTGAAAACAAACCTTCCTCAGGGGCTAAAAGAAAAATGGAAATAGAACTAAAACTTCGTTACAAATAAGAAGTTGAAAAAGTGACGATAAAAACAATCCGTCCTGTACCAATAACAATCCATTGTTTTTATTGTGCAGATACCTTATATTATATATATTTGTTTTATTCTTTTGCCTTTACTGCCTTGCCGTAAGGATCAGTTTGCCGTTTCATATTTTTCAACAAAGTTTAAAACGAGTGAGCACAGCACTCCTTCCCCGGGTAGTGGGACAGACTGACGGACCAGATAACCCGCATCAAAACCCACGACTGAGAAGGAAGATTGTATGTAAGACCCCGAAGAAGGAAGGCCGTGCCTTCCGAAATATTGGTAAAAGAAATATATATTCCTGACTGTAAAACCAGACTTGTTCTTTTGTTTCTATTTTTCCAATTATAACTGATAAGATCCTTTATTGGTATCTGGTCCTTCTTTCCTTGTAAGTTGGTCCTTGCTTCCAAGATTAAAATTTACAAGTTACGCAAGAGCGATAATGGGATTATGGCTCTTGGCCCCCTCTATTTATCCTTAAATTTTGAAACAGGTTCTTTGTTTCTAAAACTCTATAAAAAAAGATTCTGTACACTTGGGCGAAGAAGATAGGTCAACATTCAGGATCCCTTTGAAGGGTTATTTTGCCTTATTACTCCAACTGCAACTGAAATGGTAAACAGATTTTGTGCTTAAGGAGTGAGCTGAATACCAATAAATACAGGTTCTTAGTCACGGGTTTTTACTGTATTTCGTACTGCGCAAACTGAGTTGGAGCGAAAGCATGAGCAAAAAACATGGAACTAGGTGGAAGGGTTTCTTTTCCCCCCACAAGGCCCAGACACGTCAGACTGAGAAGAAGCAGAGATGGGAATAGCTTCCTTTCTGTTTCCTTTACTTTCATTTTTCTTTTTGCCCTTTAGGAGGGTTTGTCTTGCAAACCGAAATATCGTGCAAATTTGTAGAATTTTTGTGTTTTATCATTTTAAACTTGTTTTGTTCCTTCTTCATCACTTTCTCTTCTTTGGGGCTTTACACTGGGGTGTCTGTGGCATTTCCCATTATGACGTCATCCACTGTTGGAGCGCATGTAATCATGGTAATGTGCTCTCCATCGCGCTTTCACTTTACCAATATTTTCGGTTAGCAATGTCGTTATAACCCTTCGAGAAATTTAAATGACATCTCGTCTTCCCTCACTAAAATGTCGGAGGACTATTATGAAATATTAGGAGTCCCAAAAACAGCAACAGAAGAAGACATAAGAAAGGGCTATCGACGGCAGGCGTTGCGATGGCACCCCGACAAAAACCCGGACAACAAAGACGCGGCAGAGGAAAGATTTAAGCTGGTTTCTGAGGCATATGAGGTCCTTTCTAACAAAGAAAAACGCGAAATATACGATAGGTATGGAAAAGAAGGCCTGTCGGCGACTCCGAGACATGAAGATGATGTATTCGCCGCCACCTTTCAAACTTTCTCCTCTCAAATGTTTCGAAGCCCAGACGAAGTTTTCCGGGAGTTCTTTGGCACTTCTTCCTTTGACGATATTTTCGACATGGCGTTTCAAACCTTGGGTGGCTTCCGCGATTTTACCACCGGTGAAAACACTTCTACAAGGCGTAACAGAGGACGAAATTCGGACTTCTTCGACGCAGATGCTTTCGAGGATCCGTTTTCTAACCGGTTCTTCATTGACGAGCCTGATTTCATGTTCGACAACAGATTCTCTGACTACGAAGGCGGTTCAAGAGACAGAAGGCGAAGTCGTCGCGAGGACAACCGTAGAAGCTCTGAAGGTCGCAGTTGGGACGACTTTCCAACATATAACGATCCTTTTGGAGGCTTTGGAGGGATGTTCGACCGTTTTGCGGATTTGGAGAGACATATGATGGCAACGATGCATCGAGTTTTTGGGAGATATTAATGGCCGCTCAACCCAGTAACAGGACAATTTTAGCTTTATTCTCACCAGAACTTTAAAAAAAAAGCTGGTTTTGTTTATGGAAGTATGCATATGGAGCAAGCAAATAACATGACGTGTTCCAGGCGACAGGGTATCGAGGAACCAGAGACAAACTGGTAAAATTAGTACTAGATGAAGTGAGCCATGAACCTGATTCAACAAAATTTGGCAAATCTTGGCTTGACTAAGGTTATAATATTTTTGACGAGACGTTTTGTTAATTGTTGAAAAACAAGAAGTGCTATAGCACATCTTGCGCAAGTAAACTCGATGCAATGCTCTAGCAATTATGTATGTAAGCTGAGGTAAGCGAACAGTATTGTCACCGGGGCTGTTAATAACGTGTAGTCTTAAACTACCTTCCACCTTAACCTGGTAAAGGTAAATTTCATGCCCCTGGCCTGGCCTGTGATGCAGCGTTTGCTTTCACAAGATTTTGAGCAAATTGATTGTTGGTTGTCAGTGTCTACTTTGGTATCATTGGACATCTGTAAAAAAACATAGCCGCTTATTGATACATTGCTGGTTTACAGCCGATGTTACAGCAGCCATGCTGGTGGACAAGAACAAAAGAATTTCTTTCAACTGATAACTACACTATTTTTTGTGGAAACTCTTCAAAAAATGTTTATTATTTTGTCCACTATGCTGGCCTTGTTGTCACGTGGTTGGAAACCAAGAATTTTTCAACATGTCATAGAGTGAAGCATATGAAAACTAGAGAGGATAGACCTCTGAAATATAAGTATGGGTTTACAGGGGCGGATCCAGGAACTTTTGGTTGGGGGGGTCCAAACGTTGGTTCAGATGACTGTTGAACTTTTTTGTGACCTGCTGAGAAAGCAGAGACGACCACATGTTTCTCAATCTGTGAACACCTTTCGTGGTTGGTGCAGGAAATACTGCTTTGCGAGCAGAGGCAAACAGATCATGAGGATACCCAAAAACAATTACATTTTTGAATAGCCCTGGGATTTAGTTTCGTGGCAAAATGCAACCTGCGTTTCATTAAAAAAATCAGCCAGTTAGAAAGTGATATATGATCCTGTCAATGTAAGAGTTTCAGTTTCAAACAAGCACCAGATCTGATAGGGGGGTCTGGACCCTCCCCCTGGATCCACCAATCAGTCCTCTTTACCCTTTTGCCTTCTAGAATGTGTGTCATGTAGTTGTCATGTCATGTAGTTCATCAGGATGAAATCTCAGGGTACCTCGTTCCCAGAAACAGTGCTTGCTACTGTTTTTCTTTTAGTAATTTTACAAAATTGAATGAAATTTGGAACTTTTGCATGTATTTTGATTTATAAGATACTGTCCTAAAAGGGAATGAAGGCTTTTAAGGTCTTTACATATAATGTCAGGCTTGTTTTACACCACATACTTAGCTGGTAATTGAGTTTAGCAAATAGACCTACATGTATTTTAAAATGGATTATTTTAGGTGCACACTAAATTTTATCCTTATGTGTAACAGAATGTTTGCATGTACAGTAGAATCCTGATTTCTCGAACCCTCAGTTTTTCAAAATTCCCGATAACAGAATTAGAATAAAACTTACGGTAACTTCCTTTAACCAGTCAAACCTCCCAATAAGTTGAAGCAAATTATGTGGTTCCAAAAATCAGGATTCTACTGTATTATGATCAATGCTTTTGTTTTGCTTTTTGTCTTATACAGATACTGAAATAAAAATTATAGAATTTAAATAACATAACTTGACATTTAGAAATTCGACTAGATCTTACATTCTACCTGTCCTCTGTACTAGTAGCTTTGTGAAAAACTAAATTTCAGTGCAGCCATTAATGCGGACACCAAGGGGGCATAGAAAGTGTCTCCCTTAACTGGGCCTCCGTGTTAAGGGGTTTGAATGTAAAAGAAATGTAAGGGCTTTCTTTGCCCAGGGACAAAAGAAACTGTTGGAAATAATGAGGTGCCTGTATTAAGCCGGTTCCCGTAAAGCGAGCTTTGACTGTAGTATGGTCTTGTGTCAGCCAAGGAAGTTTTTTAATGATTGTTTGTCATGACAAGTTTATGGATAATACAGGAACGATAAAAACATCTTAGGCCTGGTTTAGATACTGAACTTTTCAAGAGCTGAACATAGTACCTTAAATTAAAAACATTTTAAGTTTGTCATCTCAGTTGATCAGTAATAATATTGAACAACACCACCTATTATAATTTGGAACAGCCCAGCTAATCTTCCTGCTTTGCTCAGCTGGGAAATTTGACTTTGCAACATTTTTTTATTCATTACAGAACTTTTTATGAGCAATCGTCATTATAATAGTATTATAATAAGTTTACATTTATAACTGATGTATTTTGGCCATTTTATGAATCCATGTCTCAAATTGAATCAAGTTCAGCTCATTATGTTCAAGGTCTGAAAGATCAAAAATATGCTTTTTGTTAATTTAGACAACCTAAATTTGATTTATTATTAACGTAAAAGATTCCACTCTTGAAATGGTTGAAATCTAGACCAGACCTTAGATATTAAAATTATTTTGACATGCAAATTTGTTGATTTAAAAAAAAGGTCAGTATGAAGTATAGTTTATTTATAGTCACACCAGCTTAAACAAATATTATTATATTTGAGGAGAGTTGTAAACTGTTTTTGGGACAGACGTTCCCTCTATAATAAACAATGACTGAGAAATATAAGTTGAGTTGCAGCTAATTTCTATTTGTGAATTCCTCAGTGTGCTTTTATTGCATACATGTAACACTTCTCAGTGAAGTCTTTTTCCTCCTAGCAACAAGAATTTTGTTGTCATTTACAGTCTACTAAAGTTCCAGCAGTGTGGTGTATGCAGGTAAAAACTGTACAAAATGTAGTACCATCTGAACCAAGAGAACTAACAAGGTAATTTCCCACAAGTACACTTTCAAGAGGTTGCAAAAAGCTCTTTGACTTCCTGGTATGCTATGATCACACTATTATGCAAGATAGCTTTTGTGCCGGCATAAAAACCATATTGAATTGGGCCTCTGTTCACATTTCAGTGCGATTTATTCAATGGAGTGAAGCGGAGCAGCACCAATCTTAGTCTCCCTTACAGCCATTTTTTGGGATGTCATGCAATGTTCCTACCAACCTTACGTGACATCCCATTGACTGATTGTTAAAACTCTTGCACTTTATACATGCAGTCAGCAATTTTCAGCACAGATTTAGTGATACATACAGTGTATCTTTTAGTAGAACTGTTATGTGTCTAGACTGTTTAATAAACCTAAGGGTGCGTACACTTTGGTTACAACGTTTTCATGTAAAATAATACGTAAGAAATTATATTGTAAAAGATATTACAATTATTATTATTGAAGATGTGCCCAAAAAGTTATTGTATAATAAGAATTTCCATGCTTTTGTTTTTTCAGAAGCTGAAAGTACCCTTCATAACTTGGGAGACATATTTCCCACATTTGATTGATGGGTATTTATTTGAGCCATCAAGACATGAAATCTTTGCTTTCCAGTCAGGGTCATAAAAGAACGCCACAGAACGTCTTGGAGTGCATCGCTTGAGTTCTTCTTCTGGAATAATGACTCGGTGAACCTGTCATCAGATAAGCAGGTCTGTGATTTCATAGGATTTAGTTGCAGAATCATCTGCACTTGGTTTTTGCAATCTTGGTAGGTTCTTTTAAAACTGTTTCATAGTGCAGTTTTTATGCCAACTATAGCAGAAACCTTTTTTGTTTTTTATTTCTTCCAAACAGCTGGCTTTTATCTATTCTTTGAAAATGGATATGCATGTCCATTGGGGAGGGGGTAATCAACAAAGTTTTATACAGGGAGGCCCCGCGCTGTGGTCTAACTCCTTACCCTTTAATATACCATTATTGACAAATGATAATTAATGGTACATCTTTCACGTACCTAGTTTAGAGCTTTGTATCCTTTTTAACTGCTTATAAATCACAAAACCAGAGCGTTTTCTCAACTTTTTCACAGGCATAAAATGTATCTGTTAGCCCTTTTGGGCATTTTTAGCGACTAAACTGACATATTTTGCTACCATTAAATATACTTGAACAAGTGAAACGCGTTACCCCTTTCGGGCGGAGCTTTCCTGTATAGGCCATTATAGGGAGTACCCCCCTACCCCACACAAACACACACACATACCAGTATGCAAGAGGCATGTTTTCCCATAAAATTACAAGAGATTTTTAGTATTTACTTTTAATTTTGTGACAGCAGGTGTCTACAAGACACCTACGGGGATATTCTAAACTGGCTAAGACCTTTTTTTCAGTGTCCAAAAATGACTCCAGTGTATTGAAGCCTCGCTAGGATTACAAAAATTTTTATTGCAAAGGAATAAATTTATGAAAAAGTTACATGGTATTAAGTGGAATATAATATTATTGGCCTGTTTATGAAACTTAAGGTGTTACAGTTAGTGGCCTACTTCTTTACCGTAGAGACAAATTTGTCAGCAGTCCATCGCTGCATCAGATCAGCAATGTTGACTATTATTGTTCCAGGGATTGGAGTTGCAGAGACGAACTTCTTTTCTCTATTGACTACCTGTACAATGAACGAAAAAAATGGCTCATAAATATTTATGAAATTTCATTAAATGACAAGGAAATGGAAAGTAAAGTAGGACTCTGTTTATATGCCATTAGTCCCTTCAGTCCATCCCTGTTTTACCAACAAAATAACCCACCTTTCTCCCACCTGACTTTGTAAAATTTTTAAAACTGAAAGAAGCCCGAAATTAAATTAAGAACCTCCACCCTTGAGAGTGGGAAGCACTATCCACTGTATAAATCACTATCCACTGGATAGTGCAATTGGTTTCCATTATACTTATGCGATGGATAGCGATTTATCCGATGGACAGCGCTATCCATCTTTTGAACTACTGGGGCCAGAAGAATAGCTGGGTGCAGGGTAAGGGGTATGGGAGGTATGTAGAGGAAAATGTGAGAGGGGCGCGGGGGAGCTGGTGGGAACCAGATTAGAGTGAAATTATGCAACAATGCTTAAAATTTTCAATTAAAAAAATAACTTATTAAGAGTGTATTAAGCCAGGAAGAAAAAGATCAGGAGCTGGGAATGCAAAGTATGGGAGGTCGGAGGTTTGGACCTCTGTACCCCCAGGATACAGAGATTCAATACTATACACTGTAAGGCAGGTTTTTATTCCGATATATAACAAAAAAATAGATGAAAAGGTTATCTAAAATCATGGCTGGGTGTCTACAGATTGTAAATTCTGTTTCTTCATACTTCCAAACCTCCTGCATCATCTTGAAACAGAAGAGTTATTCCTCCATAATCTGTGTGTTCTCCACATCTTATCTGCCCTGGTTTGATGTGCTCAAAGTCAGTTATTCTTGGGTAGTAGTTAAAGCGCAGCAAAGCTGTGCCCCACTGCGTACCAACATCCTTGTAGTAACTCTTGAAAGTATCTGCTGGCTAAAGGATGATATTATTAATAATTAAATTGATTGACATTATTACTCATAATAATTTACTAACAGTATGATAATCAGTGTAATTATTTGGTTTACTTTCAAGTCACCCGAATGTCATAAATATCTAGCCTCAATAAAATGCCACCTGAAGTTGAATTATTTAAGCTGTTTACTTACATGGCATCACATATTCCTCTTTGTTTTTGTGTACTGGCAATTCATATAGTAAGTGCCTTGTAGAGCATGTTTTGTGGTTATTTGGTAAACAGTAACGTGACTCTCATAGCAACTATGACTAGATTAAAAGGAGTGATTTGTTGAATGTTCAAGTCAGTTTATTATTTGATTTTAACAAGCAGCATTATATTAACCTTCAGTAAGAGAGAGTTAAATAATAATTATAATAATGTGATAATAATTTCTTTTTATGATCATTGCATTTATTTTCATTTATGTTAATAGTTGATAATAATGTGATAATAGTTACAGCTGTGAGAATAATATAGAATTTTATTTTTATTTAGTAGGATAATGCATGTGTAGTTTCCTTCGTCCATCAGCTTCCACTCTCCCCCGTGTCTGTAGCCTTTGATCTTTCAAACAGAAGAAATAATTTGATAGGCTGTGAATGACCTCTCTAACAAGAATGCTCTTAAAAGCGTTAAGTCTCGCTTGCTTGGAGATTAGATGAGAAAATGAGGAGGCGATTAATTCTACACAAAACAGGATTCCTCACTAAAAGTCTTTCACGTCCCACTTTATTGACGGCCGAGTTCTCTTCAGGTTATTTACTTTATATAATTATCGAATTCAACAATTTTTTTCTGAATTGATTGAGTACACGTGTATAAAAAACACACAGATCAAGGGCCTTGATTCAAGAGAAATTACATCATTGCCAGAAATCAAAAACCTGATGAATATGGCACATCATTTTACTCATGGCCAAACATAAACTGCATGCTCATCACAAGACTCATTTGCATACAACAAAAGTTTTCAACACCCAATTATAAAGACTTTTCTTTTTTCGACCACAGAAGTATCTACTTGTTCCAAAAGTAATCAGCGCTTTAAAGGTATAGAATTCGTGGACTGACCCGTTCCGGAAAAGCTCGACACCTTTTGTATTAATCTTTCTTAGCTTTCTCATAAAACATATGCATGGTGCTCTGACATGTCGCGATTCTTATCCCCAGTTTCCACGATCTCCACTACGAACGCCTGGGACTATAACCCCCTTTTGGCGCGCGCACACGAAAAAAAAGAAATGCTTGCATTTTTAGAGTTGTACTGCTAAAGCAAATTAGACTAATAAGACCTTAAAATTGCCTAGTTGGAAATTTATATTAAAACTGATATTAAAACAATTCTCAGCTCTCACTCACCAGTCCTAACCCTAAAGCCATTGCACACAGCACTCTATCACCAAGAAGACTTAGCACACCAAATAGGGATTTGACTGCTGGTTGAAGATCGGGGACTTCTGTGGGCCAGCGCTGCAAAAATTTGAAAACAATACCAAATCAATTTGTGGGCTGATTAAACTGAGCACTAGGTGGAGGTGCATGCTTAAGTGCCAATAATAAAATTATTAATTCTGTTAGCAGCGACTAACCCTTTTAAATTATTATGAGGAGCCAAAAACAGTACCTCGTGGCCCCAAATATTTGAAATGTTTTGATTTACAGGGTATTTCTTTCATGAATGCTTGTTTTATGATGGACACATGACCTGTGTGATCCCTATGTTCACTGTATGTTCAACACGAACTCAAAGTATGTGAAGAACTAAGTTAGTAAAAACATGGAACCGCATGCATATCATCACATTTGACAATAATTATCTTTCAAAAACTAGATGTGCCAGGACCTCTTTTCTGAGAGACCCTCATGGTTAAATTGATTTGATTACATGTATCCACACTAACATTTATTTTACATTTTCTTGGTGGTTGTCATCTTTCTGGGTTTTTTTAGATGTAAAAATGGGTTTTGGGGACTATTAACAAAGGTTGAGAGAACACTGAGAGAAAATAACTGCTTGACTAATCTATATGAAAACCACAAGTTACTTACAAATTTTTTGTCATCAAAAGCTCCAATGTCAAATGATTCCTTAAGATCACCTGGCTTCGTTGGATCAGTGCTGAGTTGACATGTAAAAGGATCATTTGTATGCATAATTATAATAAATTATGGTGGTGATCAAAACACTGACCCCCAATCCATGGATTACCCCCATATGGACTACCCTAACATGGACTATGCCACTTAAATTTAGTGATTAGAGTTAGGAAACTAAGTGAATCAGGTTCCATTTAGGATCATTATACTGGGAAAACTTAAAAACTTAGTTTCCTAACCCTGATCTCTAAACTTCAGTGGTGTACTAGTCCATTTTAGGGTGGTCCATTTAGATAGCCCATGGAGGTAGTCCATGGACTGGCGGTCAGTGTTTTGTCCACCACCAACAAATGATTATTCTGAACATTACTATACAATAAAGGTGCTTTTTTTATGGATACTCAGAGAGCCACATTAATGACCCTTTAATGGCAGATGTTCACTTCTTTTGACAATCCAGCTGACGTTACGATAGGGGGCTGCTTGCAAACAAAAATTGTTCAGTTCCTGATGCAGCTGGCCTCACCTTGGTCTGAACACGATTTGGGTTGGGGATCCCCTAGACCTGCCACTTATCAATACTTCAATATTATTATTAACATTGTTATACTAGAATGTTGATCAACTGAACGTAACACAACTGATTTTTAGTTTGACTTACATTTCCCTCTCCAAGGCTTCCCAGCCATTGGCATCTAGCTCACCCTTTTTCCCATATTTTTTTTTAATGCCTTTACTAAGTGTGAAGAACTTGTCCATAACATTAAATGTTTCATCCACCTATCAAATTAACAAAGTAATATTTTCTAATTTAATTTCTTGCTCATTTTTTTGACATAAAAGTACAATGGTACAAGGTTTATTGTTTAGTTATTATTCAACATTAATTTGCTCTTAAAGCATAAAGGGCTCATCTAGAACAGAGCCTATATGCTGTTTAAAATGTAAATTTAAAAAGTTAGTTAACTTTACACATGAAGATTGAACAATACAAAACAAGTTTAAGCAGAATCAGTCTAACAATTAAGAAACAAACGATTGGTCACGGTTCCAAAATCCCGGCAACATGCTGTAAATCAATCAAACAATAAACAAAACCCTTTAACCCAACTAAGGTTTTAAAATTATAATTTAAGAAATTAGAATTTGATTAAGCAAATCAGTTTTTTTTTCTTATCCAATAACAGTGCCATGTATTTCCAAGTAATTGTGAAGCAGAGGCAAACAACTTTTCCCATGAGTTTCTTTATACAACTCTAAAATTCGTTAATATGCTGTGAAGGCATTTCAGTCTAGTCACTGTAGTCATCTAAGTATCCCAAGTCACCCTAGTCACCCAAGTTACCCCAGCCACCCAAGTCACCCTAGTCACCTAAGTTATCCTAGTCACCCAAGTCATCCCAGTCACCCAAGTCTCCCTAACACAAGTCACCCTTTTCACCCAAGTCACTGCAGTCACCCTAGTCACCCTTGTCACTGTAGTCACCCAATTCACCCTAGTCATCCAAGTCACTGTAGTCACCCAAGTCACCCTAGTCACCCAAATCACTGTACCAAAGACCAAAGTCATCCCAGTCATTCTTGTCACCATAGACATCCCAGTCACCCGGGTCAATTATTATGTTTTGTGAACCTAATAAGGGTGGGGAATTAATATAAGTGAGAACAAATCTACCAAATCTCGGGTAGAAATGGACTTTGGTTTGTATGGTAGTTAAAAACAATGGGTACAATTTGGCTGGTTTTAAATGATCTTAAATTTTTACTTAGCCCTAAGGCTGAGGGGTATAAACGAAAAGAGGTCATGTGTCTTATAGGGGGTGATGACTGATGTATCTGCTGACATCTTGGTTGACTGTTAGTTGATCACTATATCGGGAGTCTCGAACAAGTCTCGACCGGTAGTCAGCTGCTTCAGTCAATGGTCGATAGTCAATACCTACTTTGCTGACTGATCTCTGTCAGATCACCGACTTTTCACTGACACTTGGTCCATGTAACGGCCAATACCTTGGTCAAATTTTGTTCAGCATGTCAATCAATATAACACTCCACTGACACTAAACCAACATAGTGACTGATGTGTTGACACAGACAAGCGAGATGTTGGCCAATACATGAAAATAGCCCAATATTTGGTAACTCATGATCAATCTGGTATCCGCAGCAGCCAGTATGTGTAATGAGCAGTAGTGTCCACCACATGTCATTTGACAGGTACCTTGTAACAAAAGAAAAAGCTTTGGGGACTAAAATGTTGTACAGGCGATGCTGATTGTTGACCAAGACAGGACCAATACTCGAGCAACCATTCACAAATATGTGGCGATACATTACTGATGCTATAATGACCAGCTGTTGGTTGATCTGTCAACTGACACTCAACCAATAATCAACTGACAGTATAATGCTACTCGGCCAATATATCGACCAACACTTGACCCACAAATACACTCAAACCACATAGGGACCGATATTTCGAGTGATAGTCAACCGAGATGTTGGTCGACACCCCCTATTCACCATTTTCACATAGATCATAATGCACCTTGTTTACTTCCCAAAACTTTGCATAATCATTGTCTTGGATTTCTTTTGGGACGACTGAATTGGAAACAATGGTTATGCAAAATTCTGGGGGCGAGAGGGGGGGGGTATAAAACGAGGTGCATTACGGTCTATGTGGAAGTAGTGAATAGGACACATGATCCGAAAACACAGCGAATTGAGATTTAGCGATAGATAACTCTTTTTTTTTTTCGTTTGATTCCCCTCATTCCCGGTTTTGGCCTAACTTTGACGAAAACGAGTCGATTTACTTACGAAATGACTCAAAATCGCGCTAAGATTTCCGATAAAAAGAAGAGAAGAGATTAGAGAAGAGATAAAATTATAGACTCGGTAAAACTAAGGTCATGACTAATTTCCTTGTGAAGATCTGGCTACCTAACCTTTGCTTGTGTGATTCCGTGGTTCTTCAAATAAACAAATCCCACTGTACTGAACGCTTCGTGGATTTGCCTTGCGATTGCCTGCACCCTCTCATCTGAAGCTGAGATGGTTTCATGGTCGACACTCAAGGCGGCAAAATCAACCACAGGTATTCCTGACACTGTCTCCATTACATCTGGAAGAAATATTTGAATCTGTTCGCTTATTACTTATGCAGGTATTTGGTGCTACGATGCGTACAAATTCAAAGAAAAATTGCCTGATCTCTCCCTAATATAAATATGTCACGCTATAATATTTTACAGTCACGCTATTTCTTGCCATGCACTCATGAACAACTTTTAAGCTGGAAAAATAGTAAAAAACATTTAGGGCAGTGCAGATCCTAACAGGAAGCTTTTTTGTGGATATTTGCGTTGTTTGGACCCTTCGCTCCCCTTTCGCAGCATTGACTCACAAAACGTCTCTGAGTTAGTCTCTGAGTTGAGTTACCTTGCCGGTCAGCAGCTATCCCTGTTAGTACCAGTCCTTCCCTCTTTCAGTCGCACGTAAAGCCTGCAAGAAACGAGCAAGAAGCGTGTAATTCCTTACTGCGCGTAACAAAAAATGTTTTTTAATCATATTTTGATGCAATAGTAAGTGCAAATAGTTGAAGGGAGCGTGAAAAATGATAACTTGTTTAGCTTGGGTTAAACGTGGAGCGGCGAAAGCGGTCCCTGATAAGGTAAGCGAACTTTTTATATCCTTATCTCTTGTCTCTACGCATTGTAGCGAGTGACAAAGCAGTAAGTAAGTTTATATGTAGCCTGGAACGTGATTACAATGTAGCATTAATTTATTGTTTTGATTTAGCACTTCATAAGTGAGATTTGCTAAAAATAAAGGATTTTACTTTATATATTGATATATTTATTTTCGTTTCGTACTCAGCTTATCAGCCAATAGTCAGCTGATTTCTTATTTCATTAAAATAGTATAGGCCACTGTTGATTTGCTGTGTTAATGGCCACTAAAAATAAATTAATGACTGTATAAAGGGAAGTCTCAAGAACAATGCATCGTTCTTGTTCATGACGATATCAATTTATATTATGCCAATTTTGGCAATTTTTTGTCAGAGGTACAAGCATTGATCTTGGATAAATACTTAAAATTGTAAAATCAACGCTGTTCAAAAGATTCTTAACAGCGTCGATTTTACAATATTATTTCTAAATTAACATTAAGTAGCTAGGCTGTGCAGGAAATTTAATCTTTATTTTCTAGGATAAATACTGACCAAGTTCCTAAACGAGCGTGGAATGTGCAAGCTTGTAAGGAGTCAGTAGTGGGGTCTGGGGACATGCACCATCGGCACATTTTTTGGATTTTAAGTCCCCTTTCCTAGGTTTCTGAGTCATTTAGACAGGATATTGGCCAGTTCCTTTCTCCTCGGATGAAGCCTTGCAAACTGCAGATTGTTTTATCAAGGTTATTTTCCACGTTGTAGGGACTAGATGGTGACAAGTTATTTTCCACCTGAAAATCTCATAGCATGTCTAATGTCCGGAAATTGCAAAAAAAATAAACATTTGCCAACCCATTTTATATATTTAAACTTGGAAAGTTGACCAATTTACATAAATTGGTGGAAACCGGTGTGGGTCCACACTTAAAGTGTATAGTTTTAGAGTAACTTCAGAGTATCCAGCCACCTTGAAGCAGAATTAATCAGCTACCTCCGTGGTCCTGCAGTGATCAAATAAATAAAGTGTTTTAATTTTTACTCTCACAGTCTTGTAGTTAACAAATTTGTTCAAAATCAGGTAGTAGAATGACTGTTCATACTGTCCCTTTGTCAGAAACTGGTTGTTTCGATACAAGTCATTAGTTTTTGATACCAACTCAAGCCTAATAATACCTTTAATAATACCTTAATACCTTTATTTGTTATCATGTTATCTGACAGGTTGCCTTATCCAAAGATGAACTTCAAAATATAATAGATGAGGCCAAAGAAAAACTAAGGTAAATAAACTTACAATCGGTATTTGATCTGGTAAAAATAATTTACTGTTAATGTTGATTGTGGACATTCATGCAGACCCCATATGTTTCTCCTGACCAGGGTTGTGATCTTCTTCACACAGTACTGGGTTTAAAGTTACCCTGTGATAGACTAGCATCCCATGCATCCAGTGAAGAAGTAATTCTTCTCTATGTCTTTATCTGACTGAAACTGTGATATATGTAGGCTCCGATCCTGACCTGTGGTCCTGACCTGTGGTCCTTTTATATTATATTGCCTTTTACAATGACTAAGATAGTACATGCGCACTGATTTTGCATGCAAGTATGTTAACACTGTTGTGGGGTCTTGTTTTGTTATGCACATGCTAATTACACAACCTCAATTTTGAAAAAAATTAAGGCTTAAAATTCATCAAGTTAACTTTATTTGCCTGTAACTTCAGGGGTTGAAACTTAAAACTCTTTAAAGACATGGTGTATCAAAGGTTTTTAGCTTAAAGATGACATTTTAAGTGAGAAAAATGATTTTTGAAAGGCATCTTTTTGGGAAGCAAGAAGTTTTCTTTTAATCAGCACCATAGACAAAGAGTTTCGTTTCTTGTCAAGAAAAGTTATTTTTTTAAAAGCAACAATTTTTTTTCTGTGTTTGTGTGGCCTGATAAAAAGCCTTGAGGGGGAGCAGGAATTTTTGAAAGGTATGAAAACTCCTGGCACTCTCTTTTGTTTATGCCAGGCTTTGCAATCACAGACAATGTTGTTTATTGCTTAAGTACATCTAATAACATAACCTGTTGCCGATAAGCCCCCCTCTCAATAATCATCCCAGAGCAGAAAATTACGCCAATCTTATTGGCATGTTCAGAAACAGCAGAAGTTTGAGTTTGTGAAAGCCCTATTTTCCGCATCATGCTCCTTAATCTGTTCATGCATGCACCTTCCCATTTTGCCAATGTATACTTTGCCGCATATACAAGGAATCTTATACTCTACTCCATCTTGTTTTTGTGGATCAACAGCATCCTTAGGTTGCACAAAGTATGATCTTAGTGTTGTATCGGACTTGAAAAAAGATCGTATGCCATGCTGTTGTAGGCAATGACAAAGTGTCTCAGATAACCCTTCAATGTATGGTAGAACCTCTGTAGATTTAATTTCGGTTGTGGGTCTTTATTAGATGCCTGCTGATTCTTGGATGTCGTGATGTTAGATACAAGCGAATAGGGGTATCCCTTAGAGACATGGACATAGGCTGAACATTTCTTTATTTTCTACTCTTCAGGGAAAAGGAAGAGGCAGCAAAAGATGCAGAAAGTGGGGAAGGAACGTCAAATGAGGAAGCAAAGTCAGGTGGGGTCAGAAGCAGAGGTGATGATGATGAGGATGATGTAGCCGACCTGTATGATCTGGCACATTATGACAGTGATGAAGATGTAGAAGGTAATGCACTTTTCCTTCCTTAACTAATATATTTATTTCTTTTTCATGAGCAAAGTTATGAATACAGTGGAGCTTGCCTGCTATACCTCGTTATTACAGGTGTTCTGATTTGTTCAAGCATGGTGTCCATGCATTTCAATGCAGTCCCTATATTTTGCCTTCTTGATGCAGCCAACATGCTAACATGCATATGCCTTTATAAATTCATCTTGTGGCGGTAAACAGTCAAATTAAGGTAAACCACCTCACAAGTTAGTTTAACGCAGGTTAACATTTTCAATCAAACTATGCTTACGCAGCAAATTTAAGAATTTTCTGAATTTACATCTAGGCTTACCTGTACATGCAAGCACTATAGTTCTGAAAATTATTTCTTTCACCCTTCATCCAAGTTCAGCTTTTCCCTCTTAACACAACTGAGTATTTTAGTAAGACAGCCTCTTTTTATTAGTTATATGTGTTACATTTTGCCAGTAACTCTAAGGCAAACAAACAAAATGAGTGTTATGAGGGACCCAAGCAAATGTCAAAACAATTTATCCATGCAACTCTCTCAGTTTTCAACACATAAACTGAGTCCAGCTGCTCGTAAAAATTAACATTTTTAAACTCTTCTAACCAGGTTACATTTGAAAAATTTTTCACTTGGTTGTTAAAAAACCACCCCAGTTAACTTGCCAAGTGTGGCTGCTGTCGAGTCATTCAAGAGACAACAGCGTGCATGTGTTTATGAAACTGCCATGTTTAATTCCTCTCCTCTATTCCTGTAGTGCGCATGCCTAAATACTAAACAACACATGCGCGTGACACATGAAAGGTCAAAGTTCAATAACACAACATCTCCCCTTTTTGAGAGATTGTAAAGTAACATACAACTCGGGTATGGAACTAAAATCTACCATATTATGTGATAACTGAAATAAAAACAAAGTTCAAGCACAAGTTTCAAAGTGTCTTTTGACTAAAGTTCAATGTTCAGCAAAGTCCAAGGCTCTCTTGTAACTTGAGAGAGGGTCTAATGAGTCTCTTTGGTCTAGAAGCGAGACAAGGTGATGGGAGTTGCTTCAAGGGAGTCAATGCCTTATCTCGAGCTTGTTCCTTCACAACACTAGGTGAAACTGGCTTGTCCAAGACACTGGGCGACGCTGGTGTGTTGGTAGGGATTGGGTTGACATGAGAACGGTTTCGTCTCACTGTGCCATTCTCTGTCTCAACCAAGTAGGATCTAGGTGTTTCTGCTGCTCCAGCTATTGTACCAGTGGTTCCCATATCTTTGATGTGCACAGGAGTACCAGGTTGGACTGATCTCAAGGGAATGGCATTGTGCCGTTGATTGAAGTTCAGCCTTTGAGTTTCCTTGCTTCCTTCTTCCCTTTCACGTAGCTTGTCCATATCCGGCCAACTTGGATTGAGAACAGTGTGGAAGGTTGGGATGGTGTTTCTCAGTTTTCTTCCCATGAGTAGTTCAGATGGTGAATATCCACAAGCAAGAGGGGTAGACCTGTACGCCAACAGTCCTTTGGACGGATCTTTTTCTTTCTTCAGCAATGACTTGGTGGTTTCTACTGCGCGCTCTGCTTCACCATTAGACTGTGGGAAACGGGGGCTACTTGTTGTATGCTTGAAACCCCATTCTTTTGCAAAATAAGTGAATTCGGCTGATGCATACTGTGGGCCATTGTCACTTCTTACTTCTTCAGGGATTCCATGCCTTGCAAAAATAGCTTTGAGGGCTCTGATAACTTCATGCGATTTGGTGGTCTTTTGCATTGCAGCCACCTCGATATAACGTGAGAAATAGTCCACCACTATCAGATAGTTCAGCTTATCAAGCTCAAATAGGTCCGTGCCGATCATCTGCCAGGGACGTTCAGGAAAGAGTGTTGGCATGAGTGGCTCAGCTCGCTGCTGTTGGTGCTTGGCACAAACTTTGCAATTTTCAACCATGTCTTGAACTTCACGGCTGAGACCAGGCCACCAAACAGAGGTCTTTGCGCGTTCTCTGCACTTGACTATTCCCTGGTGCCCTTCGTGTATCTTATCCAAAACTTGCAGCTTCATGGCTGACGGCACGACCACTCTAGTTGACTTCAGGAGTATCCCATGTGCTGTAGTGAGCTCTCCTCTGGCTGACCAATAAGGCTTCAGTGCATCATTAAGACGAAATTTGTCTGGCCAGCCTTCCAGGCAGTAACTCTTTATTAGTCGACAGACAGGGTCCTCATCCTGGGATTCCTTTATCTCCATTAGTTTCACGTCTGAGACTTATAAAGAGTCTAGGACACTGTCAACGTAGATGTTCATTTCTTCTTCAGGAACAGTGGCCATTCTGTTTGTGTTTTCTGACTGCATTCTTGACAAGGCATCTGCTATATACATTTCTTTTCCAGGTACATGGTTCACCGCTTTAAAGTGAAAACGCATGAGGCGCATTCTGAGCCGCTGAACTCTAGGAGGGACTTCATCCAAGGTACGGGTGGTGAGATGAGGAACCAGTGGCTTAATGATCTGTTTCAGCGAGTATAGACTTTCCCACTATGTAGTCGCTGAATCGCTCACATGCCCAGGTTAGGGCTAAGGCCTCTTTCTCTATTTGCGCATATCTGCATTCCACATGGGGTGAGTGCTCTGGATATGAACATCACAGGTCTCCAAGTCTGATCTTCTTGCTTCTGTAGGAGTACTCCTCCCAGTCCAAATGAGGATGCATCCGCTGAAACTTTGGTGTCTTTGTTAGGATCATAGAGAGCAAGTACTGGTGCAGCTGTCAAGATAGACTTGATTTCTTCGAATGCTTGTTGTTGGGGTGTTCCCCAGACCCACTGGCTATCCTTCTGCATAAGGTCTCAGATTGGTTTGGTCTTGTCTGCTAAATGTTCTGCAAACTTGCTTAGGTGTTTTACCATTCCTAGAAACACACGGACTTCATGAACATTCTTGGGTGCAGGTAGGTTTACTACGGCTGCAACTTTGTCTGGATCCACCTCAATACCATTTGCGCTAACAACATTGCCTAGGAACTTGATCTTGGGACCTCGGAACGTGCACTTGTCAATGTTAAGCGTAACACCAGCCTCACTTAGACGCTCTAACACTTTCTGTAATCTGTAATCAGCTCTATGGTGGGGGCATGAACTAGGACATCATCAATGTTGCATTCAACTCCTTCAAGTCCTTCAAGAATTCTACTCATGCACTTTTGAAACTTTTCAGAACCAGAGCTAATTCCATAAGGCAGCACGTTAAAACAGTACCGTCCCCAAGGTGTGATGAAAGTTGTGAGTGGTCTCGAGCTTTCGGCCAGCTTTATTTGCCAGAATCCAGAATTTGCATCGAGCTTGGTGAAGTACTTTGCACCTGCTAACTTTCCCAAGGTGAGGTCCACGGAGGGAAGAGGGTGATTCTCACGCTGAACATACTCATTGAGCTTTGTTAAGTCTACACACACTCTGACTTTACCATTTGGTTTAGGGGTTACTACCATTGGAGCACACCAGTCAGTTGGGTGGTCCACAGGCGAAATCACTCCACTCTTTAACATCCTTTCAATTTCGTGCTTGGTTTCTTCATACAGTGGCATAGGGACCTTTCTTGGCACAGTCAGTGCAAAGGGTTTTGCATCATCTTTTAGCTTGATGGTGTACTCATCTTTCATGGTACCCAGTCCTTCAAACAACTGTGGGTAGTCACGCATCACTTTTGCCATGTGTGGTCATCAGTTGTCAGGTCACACAATCTTGATATAAGGTTTAGTTTCACTGCAGCAGATCTACTCAGAAGTGGTCTTGCTAAACTTTCAACAACGTATACGGTTTCCTTTGTGGAAGTTTGGTTGTGAGCGAGAGTGACTGTGAATTCTCCCTTACAGTTCATCCTGTAATTGCATGGACCCAGGAGCACTTTATCAGTAGGCTTAAGCTGTATCTTCAGATCAATGTTAAGGAAGGTATTGTATGGGACGACAGTTACATCTGCACCACTATCAAGCTTGAAGTTAACTGGTTTCTTGTCCACAAGAACGGTTGCAATCCATGGTGACTTTGTGGGGTTGCTTTGGACCTCACTAACGTCCACGATTTCTCCTAGAAAGAACGATTCTTCCTCTTCAGTAACTTCAAATACTTTTCCTGGTTTTGAACTTTTACAAGCCTGCGCCCAATGACCGATTTTTGAACACTTGTTACACTTGGAGAAGCGTGCAGGACACGTTTTCTTCGGGTGCAATTTTCCAAGGCACCTTTGGCACTTTTGATCAGGATTTTTCTCTTTGGAGCTATCGGAAGGTTTCTCTTTAGACTTGTCTTGCGACTTCTCTTTGAAGTTTCCTTTGTTTCTCCGTGATTTTCCTTTCACGATGCCATCAACATGCGCTGGGGTAGACTTGAATCCGCCGTCGAGAATGTTTTGTTGTTGTTTCACCGTCTCTCTTTGTCTCGCTAAATTTGTAGCTTTTTCCAGGGTGAGACTCGGATCTAGTTGAAGTTTTTCCGAAAGTTTGCGGTTTTGTAATCCCACGACAATACGGTCGCGAATGAGCTCTTCTTTTAGCGCGCCAAAATTGCAGTACCTTGCCAGGCCATACAAATCTGTGATAAAACTATCCACCGATTCTCCCGCTCGTTGGCTTCTTGAGTTGAATTTTGCTCTCTCAAAGATGATATTTCTTTTCACGATGAAGTAATTTTCGAATTTTTCTTTCACTTCTTCATAATTCTTCTCTTGTTCGGCGGTGAATTCGAATGAGATGAAGATGTCGTCCGCTTGTTCACCCATTGTGTAAATTAATGTGTTTACTTGATTTTCGCCGGTTTGTTTATCAAGCCCAGTACCTTTGCGAAATCTCTCAAACCTTTGAATCCACTTTGGCCAGTCTTCCGGCTTGAATGAAAATTTCTCCGGTGGGGTTACTTGAAAGTTAGCGACCGGTCGAATGTTTGGCAGGACAACTTGCGGTTGAGCAATCACAGGTTGTTCTTCGGCGCCCGCCAATGTGCCGGGAGGATTTCCTTCTTGTTCGGCTTCGTTATCTGACATGTTCTCGCCGTTTTGCACTTTGAATGAATTGTTGAGCGTTTGTACGAATTTTCTTCTTTTTCACCACGACGTGTTAAGCGAAATTAATCCCACTTCTGACACCATGTCGAGTCATTCAAGAGACAACAGCGTGCATGTGTTTATGAAACTGCCATGTTTAATTCCTCTCCTCTATTCCTGTAGTGCGCATGCCTAAATTCTAAACAACACACGTGCGTGACACATGAAAGGTCAAAGTTCAATAACACAACAGCTGCAGCAAATATTAAACAGTAGTGGTAAGAATCAATAGTATTGCCCCAGCTGATCAATCATCTCTTTATCTCTTTTTGGTTTCAATCGAGCAAATTAACCAACAAAAAACGCTTCCCGATAGAACATGAAAAACTCCAACCAACTGAAAATAGTTGATTCCATTAACACTTGCAGCTAAGTGAGTATACGTGAGGAAAAAACATGTTCTAATTGGGTACAAAAGTGACGTGTTTTAGCGTCAAACATTTTAAGTTTGGAGTATACAGCTGTTGTCAACTTGATTTGTTTTCTCTAAACTAAATATTCTTTGCAAGAATTTTTAGACGTTAATAATAGTTTCTGAAGGCAAGTGTCCTGTTTCTGAGCGAAACTTTGTATGCTCACTACCAGAAATTCTTTATTGTGTATTGTTCAGGAGAGCTCATGACTGGTGCTGGAATGGCTGGTGTAACATACTATGCCTCAAACAAAGATGATCCATACATAACTCTTGAAAATCCGGTAAGTAAAGTTTAAACCTAGTTGTAGGGCTATTTTTGTTAAAGCATTTTCCTTTAGATAAAATGTTAAGCTCAATAAATTGTTGTGGGTAGCTAGAGGAGCCTGCAGTCCTAATCTCCAGGCCTTGATTGTTCAAACATTGGGCAGCGCTATCCAGCAGATAGCGTAATCGGTTTCCCTAATATTTATCCACTGTGTAGAGATTTATCCAGTGGATAGCGCCATCCAACGTTACAGGGTGTAGGTTGCCAGTACACTGTCTTTTGGCATGTATGTAGCCCGCATTCGTTTGGACTTCTACAAATGAATGCAATGCATAGAACACAATCTGGTCATGTGCATTTGGACCATCTATTACATGAAACCTCTTCAAAGTACAGTATGTTGAACGGTCTTGCCTGAACTCTATAATCTTTCGTAATTTCTGGGATTGTGTATAAATTATGTTGGGCTGACAGATTGCACCTTCAAATTGTATCCTGTAAACAGGCCTTAATACGTCGTCATCATTTCAACCATAAAAGTACCACTGTAACTTGGACTCAAAGTAAAATCTCCATCATTCACTCGTGGGAGGAGCTTAATACTTTAAACTGTTCAGACAGTTCTGTATGAATGCTTTCCTCACCTTTGGTTTCCTTTTTCAGGACAATGACAGTGATGAAGAAGAAGATTTTCACATTAAAACAGATGATAATTTAATAGTTACTGGACATGTGGATGAGGATTTCAGTGCTTTGGAGATATCAGGTGTGACTCAAGTTGGGTACATTTATACAGACATAACACTTTGTCAGCAGTCTTAAAGAGATATCTACCAAAACACACAACCTGTTATTCCCTTGACTGTGTCCACTGAGAATACACAAAAGTTGTTTTTTCATACACCCAGGGGGTATGGGCTATAGCAGATTATACAGGGAGGCGCCACCCAAAAGGGGTATCGAGTTTTTTGAAAGGGGAGGGATTTTTGGATAATTACTTGCTTTAAATTCCCAATAACTCAAACTCTTCCTAACTCAAACTTTTTTTTCGATTTCCCTAGAAGGTTTGAGTTATCAGGAGTCAACTGTGCGCTTAATGGTGTTGCCTTGGTTTTTGAAAGGATAGGGATTTCACTGGCTGAAGTTTATGAAAGGGTGGGGAAATCTTTCATTTCGGCCTGTAAAAAAGCACAAGAGAGCAAACAGATGCATTTTATGGCTATGAAAAAGTTGAGAAAATGTTCTGGTTTTGTTATATTTTAGTCATATTTTTAATTAAGACACTCCATTTACAGCAGTTAAAACAAATGTAAAGTTCCAAAATAGGTATGTGAAAGGGGCACCATTTGTCAATAGAAGGTATGCAAAAGGGAAATCTTCTCAGTCAAACATGGGATGTAAAAGGGTAAGGGGTTGTACCTTGGGGTAGAGCCTCCCTAGCTTGTATAGAACTTTGCTTAGTATCCCCTCCCCCCAGTTCATATGTCATATGTAGCTTATGAAATCTTGACTTTTTGACATCTGGTGTAATTAGCATAATGAACATCTATTCTCTACTCAATGCCATCTGACAGTTTTTTTCTTTAACCATCACAAGAAGTTATAAGTTTATTGCAGCACACAGTTTTATATACACTGTAAGCAAGGTCTAGTCTATGGTGTATGACAACCTGCTGAATGAGCAAGAACAAATTGTCTGCTTTCCAAATTTATGGTTGTCTCTAAGGAAACTGTCTGTGATAATTGCTGTGTCTTTAAAGCATGTTTTTCATCTTTATTTAATAGTTTATAACGAAGAGGAAGGCAGTCAGTATGTACATCATGATATTTTACTTGAAGCATTTCCCTTGGCTATTGAATGGCTTGATTTTGACCCAGAAGACACCAGCAGACCAGGTAATCCTAGAAAATAAATGCCCTGCAGCAATAACTTTGTTAAGATCTTGTGCAAAATTGACTGGATAGCAGATAGCTTACATGTATTTTTTTATGCAAAATCCCTGGCCATAAGCATCTAAAAAAGCTATTATTTTTGGTAGCTAGCCATAGGGCTTTGGGGCTCATTACTTTCATGGCAGATGCATTTACTGATTTTTGTCTCTTGTATTACTACAATCAGAAAAGTCTTGGCACGAATTTGAATTTGTGAGGCTTTTTTTAAATCGCACGTGCTATACCCCTAACAAACAGCATTGATGCGCTATACAGTCAACTCCCTTTATAGCGAACACTGTAGGGACCTCGAGTTAGTGTCCTCATTACCGAGAGTCTGTAATAGCTGAAGTTTATTTCCATCAAACATCTGTAATTTGTTTTTGCCGGGAATTTAGCTGCTGTCCATATTAGCGGGGTGTCCACAAGGCGAAAGTTGACTGTATTCAGAATTTTCCCATGTTTCACAATTGTTTTTTTTTACCTCTAGGAAACTTTATTGCTGCTGGCACAATGGAGCCTCATATCGACATCTGGGATCTGGACCTGGTGGATACATTAGAACCTGTTGCTTCTCTTGGAAAAAGGAAAAAGAAAAAGTCGAAAAAGGTTGGAAAGCTTTGTTAAAGGACCAGACTAGTTCCTTTGTTGCATACTTTTCCCCGCTGAGCTCAGCTCTGAGAAAAGAATTATGAGTATCGTTAGTCTAGATACAGTGAATAAAACTGCAAGAATCTCCTATTAGCGTCAGTTATAGGATTCATATGATATTTGCCTTAATGGTGTAGTGTGTGTGGCTAAATTGACTTAAGATTGAGCCTGGCATTGGGAGTGTGGGCCTAGCTATGTAAGACATGTAACCAATATTGATGGACATGTGGTTACACCATAGCAGAAGTTGTGTTGTTCCATAAAAATATACACCTCCCTAGCACACCCCATGAAGGTTTTTGGTGTACCTTGCCCCACCCCCACAAAAAAACCAAGTGCATTCTTTTCTTTTCTATGCTTTCCCATAAATTTCCAGATTAAATTTAAAGTATACAAAGTAATGGCAGGAATTCTTGTATTTTAATTGCTAGTAAAAAAAAGTGTTTATTTTATGGTACATGATTTTGCTGGAAAATTGAACTTAGCAAGAGCTAACGAAATCCTTTAAGAATGTTTAAGGTGGTTAAGAGGTTCGTGGTAGAGATCACACATTATACCTGATTGAAAAAAACGTTGTTGCTAAAAAGTATAAACCATGAACCATGAGGTTTCAAGGATTTATGGGTATACGTTCATTAGCAAAGCAAATTCAAAGTTCTTTCGACAAAAGTTTACATTGTCACGAGATGCTCGTGCGGATGCAAATCCCTAGAGTACTTTTTTTAAAGGCATGCTGTTGTCTTTTTTTTGCCTTCCAAGAACGCTTTTAGGTCCTATATTATGATTTTCAAGTGTGCGTTAGGGATATGGCTACGCTCTTTAACTTTAGAAATCTCTTATGTGTCCAGCACTGGTGAAGTTGTGAGCCGTAAATTCTGGAAACCGTTTTACGTTTTTTTGAATGCATCGTCGCGAAAAGCTTCGTGAACGTAAACATTTTTGAGAAGAACTTTAAATTTGCAATGCTAATAAAGTTGTACCCATAAATCCATTAGGTCCCATCGTTCATGGTTTATACTTTTCAAGCGACAACGTTTTTTCAATCAGGTGTATACTCACCACATGTCATGTATAGAAATGTATATGTAAAAAGCCATGTTATCATTCAATATCATTCTCCGTCACTGCCAATCATTCCCCATCATTAGACACCATTCTCCTTCGTAAGAATGGCAACCTCTAGATGTTCGATAGCCCATTGTTTCAGTGATCTGCTTTTTGTGTACGATCATAACATAACATAACATAACATACATGTTTATTCAAACTCATAATAACTACATGAATTTGAAAGGGAGAGTCTAGAGGTTAACACTATGAATAAAACTCTCCTAAAAACAACAAACAAACAATAAAAATTACAACTTTAAAAAGGATTTGAGTTTACATTTAAAAAGTTCAAGGGAACCGGCTTCAACAACATTACTAGGTAAATTGTTCCAATAACTAATTACATTGTTAAAAAAAGAATATTTAAAACAGTTGATTCTAGATAATTTACAATAAAGCTTATACGAGTGATTTGCCCTAGTGGATTTGACTTTTGCGAATTGAAAGAATTCCTCAAAATCCAAGTGTGATAAGCCAAACACGATCTTATAACATTCAACAAGAGAGGAATACGTCCTACGACTGGACAAAGATGGCCAATGTAACGAGTCACAATGCTCTTCATAAGACATATCACTTCTTTTTTGCCTGAGAGCTAATCTTGACGCACGTCTTTGCACGCTCTCTATTGCATGAATATCTTTGACAAGATATGGGTTCCAGACTGGAGCAGCATACTCTAAAAGTGGTCTGACCAATGTTTTGTAAAGCAATGAAAAAGTTGTTGTATTAGCTGTTCCAACCGACCGTCTTATTAGCCCTAGGACTTGGTTCGCCTTATTCACCATAGTACTAATATGTTCACTCCAAGTAAGATCTTTTGAAATAATAATTCCAAGATCTTTAAAGCTCTTGACATCTTTTAAGGCCGTACCTAGTTTATAATTCGTAGTCGATTTGTCACGAGAATGCGTTATTCGCATTGCTTCACACTTTTCCTCATTAAAACGAAGTTGCCATTTTTTCGCCCATTTACCAAGATTATTCAAATCAGTTTGAAGGTATTGTTCATCGAGACTAGGGTTGCGAAGCTCTCTGTAAATCTTTGTGTCATCCGCAAATAATTTAATTTTTGAAGAGACACTATCAACGATATCATTTATATATGCTAGGAATAAAATTGGACCAAGAATAGTTCCCTGTGGGGTACCAGATATCACAGGTGCCCAATCAATCCTTAACCCAGCGGAAAAAAATAAGAAAATAACCTGTTTAACGGGATACCATCCACAAGATTCCCTAAAACTTTTGTGACTTGTGCAAGAGATCGGCCAGGAGAAAATTAACTCGTACAGTCGACTCCCAATAACGCGAACCCGCGCTAACTAGAACCTCGCGCTAACTCGAACCAAAATCGATTTCCTCTGGATTTCCTTCATACATTTACTATTATTGTACCCTCGGTAGCTCGAACCTCCCGCCTACTCGAAGTAATTTTTGTTTCCCTTCAGATCACTTCTATATAAATTTATCCTCGATGACTCGAACCATGCTTGAAGCGTCCGACAAGTCGAAAGGAAGAGTGTACAGCAGTCCGAAACATTGAAATTATTTTAACAACCATGTAGTCCAGCTTAAAAACATGTTACTTGCATTCATTCCCCATCCCATTTCCCTATATTTCCGGTTATTTGCTTCGAGCTTCTGATAACTCGAACTTTTTTCGATTTCCCCGGAAGGTTCGAGTTATCTGGAGTCGACTGTATGCTAAGTGGTCTTGCCTTGGTTTTTTGCTTTTTTACCTAGAAATCAATAAACTCAGAAGCAGGGCATAGTGATGCAGTTCTTGACTTATCATGGAATCATCTTGTTAGGTAACCTCTGCATTACTTAATATTTTTTTAATTTGTGAAAGGTAGTTCTGTGTGTTGAAAGTTGTGAGCTAGCTAGTTAGAGACGTTGATTGATGTGTAATGGTTTTTGCCCTTGTAAGGGCCAAAACATAGTTGCATATTTTACTTGTAGGATTAGTCTGGAAACGTATATTCTTCGGGGATGATTATTCGATTATACTGTGGTAATGACTAACCTGTGTGTGCACATGTATCCTTAGAATAAATAGTGACTTTGTTTTGTAAAAATCTTTAATTGCAGAAACGTTTTAGCTAGTGCATCTGCGGATCACTGCGTTATTTTATGGGATCTGACACAACCAAAACCTGTGCACTTTTTAAGACATTATAAAGATAAGGTAATGTATATATGTATAACTTGGCTGTCAGTGTCTGTTATTCTTAATCTTGTGCCTCTGGGTACATTGCGTGACAATTACAACTTTTATTAATAATCCCCAGCAAGAAAAAGGGAGGGAAATGGACAGGAAAAGGCAATGGGCCTTTTACAAAAGTTGATCACGTAATCAACTTTCTGTAAACACGAAAACAGTTCGCTTTTGGAACATTTTCTTAGCAGGAACTGAAAGAGCATTCAACAGTGATTGGGAGGCAACAGTGGTATTCCCATACAAATCCTTCTAATTTTCGGCGGCCGTCGCGATCGCTACTTTTCAGATATACGGCTGAAATTTTATAGGTTACTAAATTTAAATATGCTCTTTCAGTTCCTTCTAACAAAATTTTCCAACAGAAAGTTGATCACGTGTCCAACTATTGCAAAAGGCCTATTTCTCAGAATGCTCAGTTCTTGGGGTCAACATTTCCGGGTATCTGAGCAAATCAGACTAGTTTAATTTCCGACTTGCCCAAAAATAACTGCGGCATTTCAATACGGAACGTTGCCATGGCAATTTTGACATGTGAAATTATAAATTAACGCATAAATTTCGTAATTTCGTCGCCCGTGATGTTAGCGCTGATATTGCTGCCACGCTAAAGAAACTTGGACTTTTTCGTTCTTTTCGTTGTATGCCATCGAAAGAATGAGATTAAGAATATAATCTTGGATTTTCCTAATTTAAAGAAACGCAACCTTGGAGGGGTGACAAAAGTAAATTCATGATTGGTATGGTTTTGTTTTTCTACGCTCGGTGATTGGCTGAAACATCTCATTACTTAACGAATGAGACGGGAAACCAAAACTAATCATGACTTGTGCGTGCAACTTTTTTGGCGTTTCGTGCTTGCAACATTTTTTTGTCTCATTTCTCATTGCTTGTCATTTGCAAGTATAATTATTTTGTTTTTCCTGAGGTACTTAGCCTGATACATTTTTCTACTGCAGTTCTGAAAGACTGTCTTTTATACGAGAATCATTGTTAACGTTTTGTGCCTTATTAACATATATGCTCTTCATTACCGTAAATGCTCGAATTAGCGCCCGGCTTCAAATAAGCGCCCCGCTTCGAATTAGCACCCCTCCTAAGGCTCAAAATTTGTAATAAGCGCCCCCCCACCCCTCCCCCGAGAAAAAATGAGTTTCGGTACGATCTACGAGACGTATACGGTCTATACGGTTCTTTTAATGAAATGTGACATTGTTAAATAGTATAAACAGTAATGTCCTTTCAAAGTCGCACGGGTTTGCTTCTCATTTCCGTGATAGAAATATCCATGTGAGCACATAGCTGCTTCACTTTATTAAGTTCCTCGTAAAACTTTGCTCCCAATCGCCGGCTCCTTGTTACTGCCTTAAAAGTTCCTGGAATTACGAGGCCATTTTCAAGTTTTTTTGAATTTTTATGAGGCAGTTTCGTTTTAAATAGAAATAAAGATAGTGTCATTTTCAGGCTAAAAATTGATGAACGAAATAAGCGCCCCCCTTCGAATTAGCGCCCCCCTCTCGCCTTAGAAAATTAAATAAGCGCCCCGGGCGCTAATTCGAGCATTTACGGTATCTGGAAAGCTAATGAAATAAGACCGCTGAATATTGAAAGAGCAAAACAATTTCAGGTTTTTCTGAAAATTTGAGCCCGATAAACTGAATGTCTTTGAAGAAATTGTCTTTTAAACACTCGAAATTTTACAAAGAATGCATGCCTCCTTAACTTTTTTGCCACCCAGCAATTTCGCAGTTTTCGATGGCTGGTATTTCGTCAATATTGCTTTCAAAGAGCTGAAAATTGCACAAAATGCTTGAGTTAATTAGCTCTTTGAACTCGTGAGTTCGTATATACGACCACAGCTTCTATGAGTTAAGTCGTATGCTAATGAGGAAAAATGTAAACAATGACGTCAGCAAAGATTCGCCTATTTAGAACCTTTTTTACAGTAGAACCTCGATATAACGTACCTTTATATAACAAAGAGCTCGATATAATGAACTATTTTCTCCGCCACAGTAATAGAAAAATATATGGAAGACAACCTTGAAAAAAGGAAACCTTGTTATAACGAACATATTTTGCCAGTCTCTTGGTCATTCGTTAAATCGAGGTTCCTTTGTAATGGATGCAAGGAATGGATGGCTTGTGGAGCGTTTTTAGTCCGAGCTCATATTTCACGTGTTGTAATCGTCTCCTTTAGGTACAGTCATTACAGTGGCATCCTTACGAGTCACAGTCAATTCTGACTGGGTCTTTTGACAAGTAAGTGGCATAAATATTTAAGTCACGGCAGTAATTATGTCAGTAATGGCCATTTTAGTCTTAGGAGTGAGTCCGTGTTGTGTCGAATTGCATTGTGGGATTGTTTTAGTAACACTGTCGCGTCTTTTATTGGCTATTAGGGACTTTCGCGATGGCAGCGAAAACGTTGCTTAAAAAGTGTCTTTGTCGCGCTAACTGTTATTCATATATCTTGTACTAGTGATAACCAAAGGTTACCGAGTGCGGGCGAGATCGATCAAAGGTCAAAACGTTCTTGCTCCAATGCTGTGCTTTGTGTAAGTTTCATGTGACAGAAGGTCCAAATGCGCGTCATCAGACTGCGCTCTGTGCATTTTATTTGTTGTCAGTGGAAGTCCAAACGAATGCAGTTAAACGAATGCAGACTAGATTGGCGCTGCGCATGCGTAATTTCGTCGCCCGCCATAAAATTGCAATTTACAGGTTGTAATTAAATCCTTGACCTATTGTCACGAGTTCTAGCAATTTCTCTGATGACTGTTTTCTTGATTCCTTTTTTAATACGTTTTTGAACAGGAAAGCCAAAGTGATTGACTGCAGAAATCCTGATGTAAGTGATATACAAAAGTTGAAAACTTAGATTTTATGTAAATATCTGTATAAATGGTGGAGCTGACAGAGTCTGGTCTGAACATTGTATGTCGGCCAAGGATGTAGATGATGCTGCGGGAACAAACAATTTGTAAAGTTAATTCAGTTGACTTTCTTTTGGATTGCTCTCAAGCGCAAGCGCCATAAAGGGCGACTGATTTTTTACTCTTTCATTTGTATTTTTAAGCGTTCATCTGGCCACAGTTAAGCAAAAATTTGCACAAACTAACTGCGCTAGTACGGATGATAAACATGAAAATTTAGTACGTCAGCTACCACTGAACCCGTAATTATTAAAAAAACAGCAAAAGTTGGACTTTTCCTATCAAATTCACCTGACATTGTTCCTGTAATTGCGCACCAACCTGAAAGTTACATTCAGTCTTACAAACTCTAACAGTTTCTTACCTCTTTCACACAGAGTAACGTCAAATCTTGGAAATTCGATTCTGAAGTGGAAAGAGTTTTGTGGAATCATTTTTCGCCGTACAACTTTTTAGTAAGTGGAATTGTAAAAATAAACTAGTCCTAAGCTCCCCTACCCTGTGCTTAAAATGGGACTATGAAATCGATGAAGCTTTGTCATCTTACGTACTTAATGTGTAATTGTCACTTGTACAAATTCTTTACACTCGACCGAGAACACGTTGTCACTTAAAAATCTTAAACCATAAACGGTGAGACCTAAGAGCTCTCTGGGAAGAGAATATGTAAAAACTTCGTTTTCGTAATAAGTGAGTGTCCAGGCTGCAATCATTCTCGTTCACCAAAACTTGCTGGGGATTTCCATTTACCAGCCTTATGGCTTACACACTGATATCTGGTAACACGTTTAGAGATTTCTGAGGAAACATGCACCCAAGGGCGACGTTGACGCCAGGAAAACTTGAAGCTCTTGGGCCCTTGTTGAAAAACATCTGCACGAGGAGCTCAGGATAATGTACGTTTGCAATGTTAATAAACTTTTCGTGGTTTATGCTTTCCAAGCAACGACGCTTTCTCTATCGAGTATGTCTAAAGTATATTGTCATTAATTATTAATTTGTGGCATGCATACGTTTTTTGCCCTTTGAATTGTGCTATGACAATGCCTTACAAAATTGATTTCTTATAGGCGAGCACGGAGAGTGGTCACGTGTTTTGTTGTGACGTCAGAACAGATACACCCATATTCACTCTTCAGGCACACGATGATGCAGTATCAGGTAATATGTCCTTTAGTCTCGTGCCAAGTTAAAATCATGTTTTGGGTGTAATGTTTGAAAACGAGTGATTGCTTTACAGTCGAGCAATCCGCCCAATAAAAGCCATATTGAGGTAGTTTCCCCATACGGAAACACCCGAGTTGGCCAGATAAAAAGCTCGTTTGAGTAGTTATGGTTTATGAACAGAAGGTTGAAACTAAACTTGTTTTGTTTTGTTCAGTTTCATTTCTGTTTAGTGTTATCCGTTTACAAACACGTTTCACAAACTATAACTACTCATACCGGCGTGTGCTTTTCAGAAAACAAAACGGCTAACGTGTCACACCGGTAAAAAAGAAAGCTTGTTTCCCGACTTCCTATACCCAAAATATACAATGAAATCGGAAGGTGGCTTCGTAAAGTACCTAAATGCAATCTGAAGGATTCTTCAATGCTCTTTTCGCTTTTGACGCATTCTTGTTAATCTGCCTTCTGACGAGTTGTTTCTCCCCGTAATGTACCGTATTTATTCGAATAAGCGCCCACCTCGAATAAGCGCCCACTCTCAAGGACCAGAAATTTAATAAGCGCCCAGGATGGTTAATCGAATAAATACGGTAATTACTCCGTACCAGTGAGACGAGATAATTGTTGTAGGCAGATTCCACTTAACTCGAAGCAGCTTATGCAACCCGAGTCCAAGGTCATGATCTCAAGATGCGCGAAAGGAATAATTACAACAGCTTTAACTTCCTTTCATATCTATAGGGCTTGCCTTAAGTAGTCAAGTACCCGGATGTCTGGTTACCGCGTCAGCTGACGAGACTGTCAAAGTATGGGATATACAGGTCAGGTGACTTTCAAGTTTGACATGATTTCGTTTTGTTATATACTTTTTGATGGCAAAGTGATAGACAAAAACCCCTCGGAGCAAGGAAGAGATCCAATACCAAAAATGATTCAACCCACACATAGCCGTCGCCTCCGACCAACCAAGAAAAAACGTGAAGGAAGACAAGTGGTTTCACATTGGCTATTTTTGTCCGTCACACCGTTTGCATATCGTATGTTTGACGTGTTTTAGTATTTTAAACACTGATGTTTCCCTTATCGTGACATTCTTTTGTACATTTGTAGGATAACCAACCATCGTTTGTAGTATCCAGAGATCTTCAGTTGGTGAGCAAATGTAGCGCTTTTATTGAGAGGTTTTGTTTACGTACGAAGCGAAGACTTTCCTTTTTAATATCCTTTCTTTTTTTCGTTTTGTGCTACTAGGGAAAAATTCTAAACGCTAGCTGTTGCCCTGACTCGCCTTTTGTGTTCTGTTTTGGTGGCGAGAAGCAGGGATTGAGAACGTTTGATATCACAGAAAGTGCTCCAGGTAACAATTGGTTGCGATGTATCCCCAAATAGTCAATGAACCTCAGCCCGTCAATCAGCTGTTTGATTGGTGAGACAGACATTTTGGTCAGTCAGACAGTGAGAGACTCAAATAATGGGCGCTTTCCCATTCAACCAAAATTTCCGCTTTGAATTTCCAGCAACTTCGAGTAGCGAATTTAACAGCATTTTCCTGCGCGAGATATACCCAAATTTTCGAAATTTCTTCCCGGAAGTGTCCTTTCCATTTAACTTAACCCATAACACCCCTGAGCTCTATCCCTAAAAAAAAAATAAGGGGGCCACACGAGGCAAAGGAAAAATCTTTTGACCTCGGTATTCAAACCCACGACGTCCGGATTAGATCTACCGTTGGTCTACCGACTCAGTTACAAGGCCTGACGAGAGCAAGTCTTGAGTACCTGTATCACCCGTGGTTGCCACAGGTGCTAATCACTCAGTCAACCAGTCACGTCACTTGGCCATATTGTCAGTCTCTCAATCAGTCAGTCATTTTTTCATTTGTTCACTCGATTAATCACCCTGTCAGGCAGTCAGCCAGTGATTCAGCTTGCTGGTCCGTCAGTCAACAGGTCACTTAGCCAGTCAAGTCAGTTAGTCAGTCCATTTTTCCACCAATAAGTGTTGGGGAATTAGTGAATCAGAGATTTATTTATCGATCAGTTGGCCTTTATCCGCTGCTAACATTTTCTATTGTGTCACAGTTCGCCGGAAATTTGAATCAAGGCAAAGACTAGTTCCGAGTAAAGCTGTTGAAACTTCAACAAATAGCACAGAAACAGAACAATGTTTGCACGTGGTAAGGCTTAATTTGTTTGTAATTGTTGTTGTTTCACTTGCTATGTCGTTTCATTTTCCACAAATTCTGCCCCAGTTTCGGGGTAATTTAATCTCATTTCATTTATTTTTCATTTAGCCTGAGGTATCTGTAAAAGAGGAAAAGCCCGAGCCCATGGAAGAGGAATCAGCGGCTAACGCCATGGCAGCGTTGAACCTAAGCGGTAATATGGACAGCGGTCAGTCAAAGAAAAAGAAGAAAAAGAGGCGGAAGTAATCTTCGTCACACAAAAAGTGATTGACAAATTCTATTAACTGTCAGACATAAATAACTGATCAATGACCCCAACAGCTAAAGGATCCTACCAACTCACTCAGCGAGTTCAGTAAATACACAAAGGGCGCTAGAGTGGTTGTAGTTCTTAGTTCTCACTTTGCTCGCGTGAAGAAGGCTTGTCAACTGTTACCTTGCCAGGTCTGGCATGAGTTTTTTAAGCATCCGAACAATCGTTTTTTTCTTTTGTGAATAACTCCTTCAGAGGTTTTTGTCAACGAATGGTTTTATGTGGGTGCCTTTTTACCTCTATTTTATCTTACAGTGAAGTAATACGAAAACAAAACTGTTTTCACATCTCTTCATCTTGCTCCCCTTCTATAAACTTCAACTTCATTGGAGTCATTAAATAAAGGATGATCATCGCAGTTGTTTACGCAACTTTTGCGGTTGCGAAAAGAAAGCCTGAAAAAATTCCGACTTGTGCGGGATTCGAACCCTTGACCTCTGCGGTACCGGTGCAGCGCTCTACCAATAGGACAATTGCACGAAGACGATATTTGACTACAACTACCAGAATTCATTTCGGTTTTGCTTTGTTATTTAAATTTGTCAATCCCAGTGAGGATTAAAGAACAATAGCCTTAATTTGCACAAGAAAACAACAAACTCAAGGATTCTGGTAGTTGTAGTAAAATGACGTCATCGTGCAAGTGTCCTATTAAGCTAACAAGCCAACTGGGAGCAGGTCGTTGAATTGGTTCGTTATAAACCCGTGAAAGGATTATGATGAAGTTATGAATATATGAAAATCATGTACGTGAACTGCGTTCCGCAGTCCCTGTTAATGAACTGACTATCTCAGTCACTGCGCTTGACGGGATGGATACGGCATGGCTGTAACCCTCCACCATATACGGCAAGTTTTACATTGCGTTCCTAAATTTGTGGTTTACATGTAGTAGTTCTCGAGTCATAACCAGGTCATACGCTTCTCGACTCTAGTCTAGTTTCAAGTTTTCATTAACATCTACTTTCTTAACCTTTGACCTTCCTTAAAAATCTCACACGCAGACGACATGACTTCTTTGGTCACACTCGCGCTGGTACCGTGCTTGCTTGGCCATTTAGCACATTCTTTGCTCGTTTCAAATGTGACCGAACATGCTTGGCGTTGCTTGCTTGCTTAAAGACGAGGGCGGATTTGCTCAAACAGAATCAGAACTGTGCATTTAGAGTTAAAACAAACACTAAATCAACTAAGGATAACACCCCGCTGAAGGGATGCAAATGGGTCTTTCAACCATGCTACTGGGGTCTCGGAGACGTTGATTCATGGTACTCAAGAAGCGCTGAATGAGTTACCCCGAGAAATAATATAATGCCCGGCCGAAGAACAAAACTGGCTGCCCCTGGGATTCCGAGCCGTAGCCATCTCGGTGATAGACTATTTGCAGCTAGCCATTCACGTGGTACAAAATCGCGGTGCTCGAGAACAAAAGTCGCACTGGGACAAGACCAACAAAAGACACATGTAATTTTAGATGATAATTTCCTTTGTCTTGTCCCAGTGCGACTTTTGCTCTCTAGCACGGCGGTTTTGTACCACGTGAATGGCTAGCTGTAATGGGCCTATTGGTTGAACTTTTCCGTATGAACAGTAACCGGGATGCCCATAAAAAAGGCATGTTTGTCCCGATAACCAGCCGGGCTCAGTTACCGGGTTCATATGAAGAAAAGGCGACGCCGATATGATTAGACGTGATTACTTTCTAGGGACCTCCAGCACAAGAAAAGGAAATTTTAAGAACAGAATCAGTCCCCATTAGCTTCGCAGAGATATTTATTGGCCAAAAACTAAGGAATCGTGGTTTCTGTAGAGTGAACCTAACATAGAGTGTTTTCACTTAACGTCACTGCGGCGATATTGGTGTCCCAAATCAATGAAGCGGCGGCCTTGTTAGTGTCCCAAACCAGTCCTCTGGGAGTTGAACTATTTCCTTATGCAAACGCTTTCTTTTGTTCCATTAAATTTGTATAGATGCTGGCCACGTGATAGTAAACGCTTTTAATAGTCTAGCTATCATATTGTTAAATCAAAAACGAATTAAAACAAAGACAGTCAGACAAATACTTATTGTAAGTATGCAATTACAGAAACGTTTGTAAGTTATAATTGCAGTAAGAAATGCAGGCAATGGATCAATCAACTCTATGTAAACACGTGATATAATGAACCTTAAAAGACTGTAAAAAACGCTCGTTACAAATATGAACGCTTACATGCATTTACAATAATAAACTAAGTAAATGTAAAAACTTAGAATCAGACGTACTGTAAGGGACTAGGATAAACTAGAAAAGGATGAAAGAAAAAAACTATGGATAAATTAACTAACCATAGCAAAAACTGCACCGACACTTGTCCTTGCCCAGCTTAAGTTTCTTAAGCTGAGCATCGAAGACGAAGTTCTTGGGGTTAGTGAAACGGAAGGGCTAACATGAGTAGAGAAATTATTCCAGAGTCGTCAGTGCATAATTAACAATTATTCCACGATTGCGCGTTGGCTATAATCATCTCATTTCTCAACAAGCGCGAGTGGAATAATTGTTTCATTATAAACGCCCTCAAAACTAAAAATATCGAGAATTCTGTCCGACTTTATTTATAGAAACAACCGATTTTCAGCTTGTTTTTAATTTTGACTGAGCAGACGCGTACAGTTGCCATATTAGGAGAGCGTGGTATACTCATACCACGATGGCTAAGCCAATCAGAGTTCTAGAATTGCATTATCCAATGATTCAGTTTTTCATAAAAGAAAAATATCTGTGCGTAACAACTGTTTCGGGGGTGGCTGGTCGAGCCTGCTTTCAATTCCACGAAGATTGTAAGCAATATCTTTGATGCTTATCACATTATTTATAAAACTTCGAGTGCGAGCGCCTAGATTACGGTTTACTTATCTAAATTATACTCAGTAACAAGATCTGTTCATGTTAAACTCATAGACTTTTCCCTGTCCATTATTCTGTGAAGCGATTCACTGGGTGCTCTTTGGAGGTTAATCAGCTCCTAAAAACATGATTCTCCAGCTTTAGCTATGATGAATCTAATATAGTCTACGAATTTTCTAGTTTTCGATTCTGCAAAATTAATCAAATATCTATATTTTACAAACGATAAATCACAACAATTTAGATAAAGGCAATCGACCGCAGTTGTGGAGGTTTTTGTTTCATCAGATCAGTCCCACAAAAGTCACATACAGAAAAAAAAGAATTGAATGTATTCACTCGATTTCCAGGATTTCCTCGTTTGCGGCTTCTATGGCAGCTTCCTTCATCACCAACACTGCTGTTTCTTCCACCGTTTTCAAACACTGCTGAAGTGCAGCATACGTGGTGGTGAACGACATGGTACTGGCTATCATCGAACCCAGAATCGGGATATAACTGACGGCTTCCTCAACGGCTGATTCTGTGGCAAAAACTGATAAGTAGGCAGCTAATTGAACAGCGGTTGTTATACTAATCTTAGCGACTGCGTCTTGGGTTGTCACATGTAGCTTTTCAAAATCAGCCGTTCCTTTCTCTGGAAGAGCAAGTTGGGATCTGTAAAGGGCGAATTCGTTCAATATCAACGGGATATCAACGGCAATGGATAACCCAGGTATCGGAAAGAACGCGACGGCTGCAGATAAAGTAGCTACTTTCCAAATGCGCCCTCTGAGAACCTCAACCCTTTTTTGCAAAATATCAGTTGTCACGGAATTGCTAAGCGGTAAGACTATACTCTCTCTCTGATATGTTGGCAGTGCATCCAGAATGGCCTGAAGTAGTCGGGCGAAATCCCACTTGTCACGATCGTGATTGCTTATCAAGAATATATCACGCTCGTCGCTCAGCAGGTCACCCAGGTTTTCGGCAGAGTCGCTTCGAATCTTCTGTAGCATTGCCTTTTCATCGAATGACCACTTTCGACTCCGTCCTCCTATGACATTTTCATCAATTTTTGTGCGAATGAGGAAAAAATTCTTATTAATTGATTTTATTTTCTTGGCCAGTTCCAAGTCGTTCACGGTTAATCGGACGGCTGTCAAGATAAGAAACGCATTGAACTTCTCCAACTCTACCTTTTCGCAGTAAGTCGCCATGTCGGGGTAGTTGGGAGTCCCTATTCCCGGTAAATCCCAAAACATGATTTTAGGATTGGTTGGGTGATCGTATGCTTTCAGCTCTCTTGTGGTCTCCGTGACGCCAACTTCAGCTGCCCCTTCATCATCATCCATAAGTCTACCGAAAAAAGCAATTGACAGTCAGATATTTCCTCAAGTCACACGGAAAGCTTCCTTTCCATAAAATCAGTCCTAAACAAAAGCTTTCGCTTTCTCCATGCTTTCTACGTAAGGTAAAAAGTAGTTTGATCGATAACCGGTTAGTCACATTCATTCCTTTTGAGGAGCACCACTTGTACACTACCTTCCAATTCCGTTCACTTTTCCTTCTATTTACTTATACTTCCGTATCTCTTTACTTTTGTTTACCTTTACTTTCGTTTTCAATTACTTAGGAGAAAAACGGGAGAGTACAGTTAGAATACATGGAATATAATTTCGTGTAAACAACTTAGACTCTGAACGTGCAGCAGATTTCTTTGCCGTCATCGCATGAGCCAGGCACCGAAAATTTTCTTGTCGGTATCATCGTTGGGAGGGGGGTGAAATTCTTTCTCATTTTTAAGAAGCCTCATTACTTTACAGTAGAAAAATGCCTGACAGCAGTCAGCTGGAGGTAGCTTGTATATGCTCAAACCGTTTCTCTTTAAAAAAAAAAGCCTGGTTTTCACTAGCGCATATGCGTAAGTATAAGCACAAGCACATGTGTAAGCAAGTGAAAACTGGGTCGACATAAGCATAAGCACAAGAAAAATGGACAAGGTCGTTCTTCTTGTGTTTGTGCTTTTGATTATGTCGCAGCTTTGACTAGAGAAAATGACATATGCATAAGCATAAGCACAAGGTCGTGGACCAATCATAGGTCACTTTGACCCAGACCTCGTGCGAACATATCAAAAGCAATATGGTGGACGCTTCGTCCGCCATCTTGTTTATCATCGGCTTGAGGAGAGCTGGTATCGAGAATTGAGTCAAATATGCCCTGTTGCGCGTGCGTATGTCCTTATGCATATGCTTATGCGTTAGTGAAAACCAGGCTTTACAGCCCCCAGCCCACCTTAAACCCACCCTTCATCTGCAACGACGTACTATAGACATATCATTATTTGATGGTTTCATAAGCGCCGGTTTGTTTTTGTTAAGCAGTTCAAATAATGCATGCTTATGATTAGTGAATAGGAGCTGGAAAGTTTTGTCCAATTTTTCTGTCGATAGAACACGTATTTGTTCGTCCACCGAAAATTGTGCATGAACAGAAGCTCACAAGAGGTTTGACCCCTAAAACCCTAAGATCAAAATATGAATTCTCATTTGCTGGCACTATTCATTTCCTACAGAACTTGTGGGTAGAAGTTGATAAAATATCAAGCAAATTCATCTTGTGTGATCATGTCCGTAATTCTTATGACCACTCTGTTTTACAAAGCATTGATATTACAAGGAGAAATTTGATGCTGATTCACTCTTAGGGCTTAAAGGGTTAAACTTGTAACTCTTATAGGTTTGCGTTATCCAGTGCTTGTGAATATTCATTTTCGCCAGTGCTATATTTGGAACGGGAAAAAAAGATAAATGACCAATCGAAGTGACGTACTTTTACTCCACGTTTCCGCGCCCGCTTAAAAATATGGCCGAAAACTTTTAGGCAGACACTAAGCCGGGTCCCGAAATTAACGTCTTGTATTTCCCTTTATAAAGAACCCCTATTCAGCGGACACCTCTATTAAGCGGACGCAGACACTAAAATAAATTGTATTTGGCTAATTTCTATATGTTAAAAACCTCTATTAAGCAGACACCAGACTGAATTGATAATATAGTATTATTGGATTATGTCCTTGAGATACGTACTGTAGTCGATTATTATAGATAAATCAATACATTTAGCTGTCAAAAACTGTAAATTAGACCGATATCCGGCCGTATGATTGTAATCCGCGATCAAAGCTCACCTTAAAGTCTTGCAAAAAGTAAGTCCCGAAGGTGTCCGCTTAACAGAGGTTTCACTGTACTTGGAAAAGTGAATATTCATGAGCATTGAACCCGAGTTACACGTTTTAACCCTTATGAGTTTGGCAGCCGCATTAGTTGCTGGCGATAAAAGGCTTTCTTGTTGGTGTGTCTGAAAGCAAGCTTCTTATTTATTAAGTTGATGTTTGTGTTTGTGCTGTGATTTAACAATTATTCCTCAACCCCGAATGGGCTCTGAGTCAATAGCCCATGAGTCGAGGCCGAAGGCCGAATGGGCTATTGACTAGCCTTCGTAGCATGGCGGTTTTGTCGAGCCGGGCGCACGAGCGGCCAAGCCGCAAAATTCGCGTGCGAAGCGCGCGAGAACGAGCGGCGAAGCCGCGAGAAAAAGTTGCTCCCGCCCCAATCTCCTCGCGGTTTCTCTGCCCTCGCCCGCCTTTATTACTTAGCGCGCCTAACCAAAACCGCCATGCTACGCAGGCTAGCTATTGACTCAAAGGCCATGAGGGCGAGAGGAATAATTGTTTTAGTAAAATCCAACTAGTTGGTCAAAAATATCGAGAATTAAAAAATTTTAGCTAGTTTAAGCTAGGCTTTAATCCTTTTTTGCCGCCAAAAAGCCCACGCTTTTCGCTACTAGTGGGCTATAACATATAGCCTAGTAGTAGCTCAACCAATCAGAACGCAGCATTGATAATAGATCACTAGTTGGATTTTGCTAAATAGATTTAGCCAGGGCTAAAAGCCCAGTTCTCGCAAACAGCGTAGCCCTCGCGCGCGGCAGAGCACCATTGCTATGGACATTGGGAACTTATCAATGCGAGAAATTTTGGTTATGAAGTCACCGTACGTTAAGTAGACACGACCCCCCCACAGACAGTTTAGTCCCATATTTTTTTAAAGGCTTTAGAAATGGTAGGCCAATCACAATCTGTCTAGAGAGTATATTCAAAGAGGGCAGACAGTTGCTCGAAATAGTTACGTCTGATAGTTGATCCAAACTCATTCAGACGAATTTAACCGAGCCAGACGTCGAATTTTTCATGAACTTAACTCACTTAAGTTTGGTTCGTCTCATGAAAAGTGCGCCTTTTGGTCTTTGGTTGGCTTTTCGAGCCCGAGTTTGTCTTTTTTTCCAGTTTTAAGTTGTTATAACGCTTCTAAAAGTGTATGCACTGCACAACACCTGAACACATACTGCACAGTTTGTGTAGGTCAAAAAATTATAGACTGTTAATAGTATCGAAAAAGGTTCTAATCTGCTTTCGTATGTCTGTCCTCAAAGAAAATAAACACCCTACGGTAAAGCTTTTTATCAGGTATTGTGAGATGTAAATGTAAAAGCTAAACAAAACTGTTCTTTGGGTTCCGAGTTTAAAAAAAAGGGGCTTAAGGAACACATAAGTCCCTAAGACGGCCTGATGTTTCTTTTACGTCTTCCCTTAAAGACAGAAATACTGAACCTAGAAATTGTAACTTATAACTTAATGTATACTTAGTTTGGTAGAATTCTACTACTGTGATCGAACGTGATGCACATTGATTTTTTTTTTGTCTGTAGCTATGCGACTTTTAGCTTGCTGGGAGAGTTAGTTTTTCATTTCAGGTGTGTTTGCAGGAAATTTTTTCTTAATCATGTAATCCCTCCCTCTGAAGGTTAACTAGCTCCTTTCGACCCGATTTCGATTCCGTAAGTGACGAACGCGAATCGGTAATCAATGATTACCTCTAGTCCTGTCTAGTTATAAGCATATAAACGGGGGGCCTCGCTTTTAGCCCTGGCTAAATATATATATATATAATTATAGTTTACTTAAACAACACATAAAATCCTGTAATGCTAAACGGCAACGAGAACGAGAACAGCAAAAAAATCAATAGGTCTAATTAGCAACAATACAACTTTGCACGTTCACACTTTTTTGTACATCTCGTTGCTGTTGCTTTAAACTACTACAACGTGAACTTCCTCGTTACACATTTCATGGAGAAAATGTTGTATGTGTTCCTGTTTGGCTCATTTTCATTTTGGTGACCGCTAACATTTCTCATTATTCATTTTTCTCATTTCTTCAAAAGTTACCTCTTTCTTAATTGCACATTTTTGTACCTTTACTCTTCTTTTCTCAGTCATTTCCGTTTTCCAACTTGTAAGAATATACAGTCGAACCTCCACTAAAGGCCATTATTTTTGTCCCAGCCCACAGTCGATACACTGACTCTTGTTTAAATTTGGGAAACGGCCACTAAAGCGGGTCTCCAACTGCCAAAATAACCTCTCAACAACCGCCAGTTTTTTCAGGTACTGATGAAAACGTCAAGAATGGTCATGAAATTTGATCCTTATGGCGTTTGGATGATTAATCGCGGCAATCATATTTTGATTGTGTTTCATATATACTGCTGCAGTAAGCATAAATTGTCTTCAATACTTGTAGCGAATATTGCAAACCTTGCTCGTTTTGTCAAGTCAAAATTGTGATTCAAGCAAGCATTATTGAATTTTTCTGGTATTTTATCTCTTTATGATACTATATACTATGGAATACCATTATGGGATTTGGTGAGCATGAACTAAGTACAATAAACTTTGTGCTCCCCCCCCCTCCCCCAAGAAAAAAAAATTTATATTACCCCCCTACCTCCCCATAATAATAACCTTTATTCTAAGCGGGTGACACCAATTACCTCTAACGGCTACCTCTCCACAACGGCCACATTCTTTTGTCCCCAAGGTGGCCGTTTTGGAGAGGTTGAACTGTAGTTTTCCACAACCTTCATCTTGATTTTCTGCGTAATCAGAATTATCAAATTTTTTCTCAACATCTTTAGATATATCTTTGTAAAATCTGCTGTTGGTATTTCATACATTAAACTATCTGTGTCAGTAAACAAAAAGTCTTGCTTTGCTGTTGAATTGGACGTTTATGTAGGTGTAATGAAAATCATGCTTTAAAGTATAAGTCTAAAAAACGTAATCCATCAAATATTAGTTCATTAAAATATGCCTGTGTTTTCTTCATTTAAAAGCTAATGGATTTGGACTAATATTCTAACAGATTCAAAATTTGGCTTTGCTGATTTATCGTATACTAATCTTACATCAACCCTCTCTTATGTTTTCAAACCTTTTTTAAAAAAAAAACACTATAATTATTCATGAACTTGAAAAAATCTTTTTTAAATTCAGTTTGTGATTGTTGTCTCAGTTTTGTAATTTCTTTGTTAATATAAGGTTCCATCCATTTAGACTTATAAAGCTTTATTCCTCTATGTACTTTTTTTTGGTTTGAGACCTAATAGCAAATATTGTCTGAGAGTTTCATAACGTAATACAAAGTGTAGGTCCTTTCTGAGGTGAAATCATTTTTTTTACATTGTCTATTTTCGTCTCTTTTGGAGCTAAAGGATAATCAAATGTAAATCGTGAAGTGACTCTGGATATTCTAAATCAACTTCCAATTTTGCTTGGAATCTTGGGTTTGTAAAAGTCTACCAAAATTATTTACTAAATAACATTGTGATTTACTATGTTCGTATAAAAATAAATCAATAGAATTCTGACAATCTTTTTCATTTAATTTAGGAGGGAGAAAGCTAGGGAGAGGATGCAGGTATGTGAATATTGACCACATAAAACATTTTTGGGCTTCATATTTAAGATTCATTAACGCCTTCTTTTATTAAAAAATCAGAAAGTGGAAAGTAAATTTCTCGTTTGAACTGAATGTATTTCTGACTGGATTTGCTAACACGCGGCTAAAGAAATTTCAAGTGCATTTTAACAATATGACATCTAAGTCGAATGGAAAGCAGTTTTAAGTACTCTTAACTTTAAAAAAGCCACTTTGAGGCTAAAAAATGACAGATAATGACGAATAATGTAATGTATATAATGTATATTTCAACTATTTCAATAATAGATTACACGCTCCAAACCGATAACTATTGAAATAAGTTAATTCAACTAGTATTGTGGGTGGTAAAATGACGTTTTTCAAAATCAGTCAAAATCAGTCTAGAATAAAACCAGACTATGCTTTACAATCCATTACTATTACTATTACTTAATTAAAGGTTGACTCCTACAAACTGCAGAATTGCTTACATGAGCAACAGTAAATATTGTGACTGCTGACAACAACTATCCTCCTTTGATGCAACCAACTGTACAACAAAGCATGACTTCAAGTAGATGACAGGAATCTGAGGAATGTCAATGTGGTTCCTATCTTTTCTGAAAAATGTAACACCATTTCTTCTTCTTGTTCTATTTATATATTTTTTTATTTATTTATTTTTTCGCCTTTTGATAAATTTCGTCTTCTTTTCGTATCATCGTTTTTGGCTCACAGTTCAAGTAAAAAAAATTTACAGCAACTTGAATTTCGTGAGTCAAAGGAAACGCAGTAAATCAACAGATCACCTACATAGCTATTCTAAAATCTTAGTCACCGGAAGCTAAAGTGACAGGGCGCCAATTTTCGTCCAATCAACATCCAATCAGGATCGATGATGTTGTTAAACATTGTCGATATTACGACTCCTGAATTCTTGGTTTTCTCATGACGTCACCAAAATTCAAACTAAGGAACTATCGCTTCTTCTTAGTTTCTACTTTCATGTGATATTAGAGCACCTTAAAACCTTTGTACAAACAAATTTTCGGTTCAAAAGGGTTCTTTGTTTTGCGATACAGGACGCTTGAATTTCCAGGCTTTTGCGTGACGCGGCATTTAGCTGGCGGCCTGGGAAGCTCTTATGTGGGTTAAAAACATTACGGATTTTTGGAGATTTTGCTATCTAAACATTCCTTGTCTTAGAATAAATATTGCTTTAATCTTTATCAGTTCCTCAAGCGACGAATTAACGCATAAGTAGGAAAACTCAAAAACGGATGTTTCTTTTGGTTTCCGGCGGCCATAATTGTGCCCCTGAAGGGGATACAAACATGGCGTCTCTATACAAAGCTTTATAAATTTGGGTAAAACGTTTTTCCGAATATCTTGCATATGAACTATTGCATATACCTGATTCGTGGCATGGCTTTTTGTATATTTATCTTCTTTCATTTCCCAGATTCTGGACTTTCTGTATTAAAAGGTTTTCATTTTTGTTTCTGCCTTCCCACGCGAGTGAAAACCAAGAATACCCTTTGTCTGCCTCAAGTTAAGAATGATGTATAAAGGCCGAATGTTATAGCAGGGGATGATAGAGGCTCTAAGTGACTGCTAAGGATAGAGTTAATGAAACCATTCAAAGATTACACCGACGCATTTCGAGGTGAGTACAATTTCCATAATTTGTGAGGTTGAGGTAAAAACTATAGTCTCGCCCTGGGTTTCTTCTTCAGGCTTTTGAAGTATTGTTTCACAGTACTGTAAGACCTGAAGCAGTTTTCTTACCATCTGAAATCGCAAAACAGGGCAAGGGCTGCGAACAGTTTCTCTTTTGGTCAAAAATCTGTGAAAGAGCGGTATAGCCCATTGTTGGTGTTCATTATCTTTGAAATTTCAAATTGAAGTTAAACCTCTCTGCTGCGCTTAAAAGTCTTGCTTACCCTCCCAGAACAATTAGCCCGAGAGAAGACGGATGTAAAGGAGAATGAGAAGAATACATCCAACTGAATTTTTTGTGAATTACCGATTACCGTTGGTGGTTCGTTAGCGTTTTAGCGCCAAAACGTCAACAACCAAGACTGCATTTTTATTGCCATGTGTCTGATGTGTCATGCCTTTTTTAATGGAAGATTTGAAAAACAATTAATATTGATCAGAGAATCATGTGTAAAAGAGAAGTCAGATGACATACTGATATACATATATTTTTGTTTTAAACTACTTGGAGGACTGAATTGTTGATAAATGGACTAAATTTTTCTAATGTCAGTAGTGGATAAGGCACCGGTTACTCCTTTTTTTTGTGGATTTAATTAACTTTTTGTGTGGTATAAATTAACGCAGATGACGTCATGCATCTCATTAAGATAGGATGATGTCATAGTTTAAATTAACGCAGATGACGTCATGCATCTCATTAAGATAAGATGATGTCATAGTTTATTTTTAGCTGGTAAGGAGCAAGTGACGTCAGAATTTCCTAGAGTTAACGTCATGAAAAAAATTTTGAGATCATAATCTATAAATAGAAAAGTGATATCATCTCCCTACTTGGTCATGATGGTGTCATATTTTTTTCCAGGTAAGATGATGTCAGGGTTTATTTTTACCTGCCGGTTTTTCTATTGTTTCGAAACACATAAAATGGCCCTTCCTTACCAAGCAAATCATTTACGAATTGTGAGAAGAAGTCATGAATTTTAATCAGTTAGAAATCATGGTTGGATCAGACCAGATCATAATTGATGAAGTTGAAATGGGAGTACACATCATACGGAATAAAATAGGAGAGATTTTTCAAGATGTATTTGTTAGAGAAGTGAATCGTCTGATCTATGTAGCAGTGAATGAACACCGCGATGGTTGTAAAATGGATGATTTATCTCAACTGCATCACACTTGCTTGACCACGGATGCTCAGGAGGCGTGGGCAACATATTTTGAATACGTGAAAGGGAAAGTAGACTTGAAAAAATTATGGAAGCTTGCACAGCAGGAAGTGGAAAATAGACTAAATTTGCAGTTAAAAGAGACTTGGATGAAATATTTAGTTTGCCTTTGTAAGATGGATACTAGCACAGTCTATTTACTCTATATGGACTTTTTAAGAAGGGACGAATGCCATCAATTTGGGTGTTATGAATACATGTTTGAGAAAGATTGTTCACAATAAATGTATAACAATAAAGTGAATTATCTTATTTGTGGTTCTAAGGTAAACCCTAACTTTTTTTGGTTTTTGAATAAACTCCATTCTTGTTCCTAATGAGTGGAAAGTCTATTTATAAAAAGAGGGAATAAGAGATGCGATCCCCTAGTAACACATGTCTTGTTATTTAGCGCTAAATATCGGATATATAACAAAACACACACACATACAAAAAGTGGAGCTGAAAACTCTCTACTTCAATTTTGACTCACCATTACAAAAGCGTTTTCTCCGTTCTATCTCGAGGAAACGATTAACTATTGAAATCTCAGCGCTTGATGAGCTTATGGTTTTGTCAATTTACGCTCCGTTAGCGTTAGTCAGTTAATTATGCCGGTTAACAAGCCTAAAGTTGAATAAAAACTAGTTCATCTCTACAGCTAGACCCAAGGGAGCACTTTGACTTATTATTGTAAAAACACAAACAATTAATAACTTAACAAGGATCAATTTAAACAAGCGACAAATAAATTGACAAGACACGAGATACAGTTTTAAAAACTTTATTAAAAACCAGTGACAAAAAGAGTCGAATACACAGCGATTTGGAAGGAATGGAAATTAATTAATCTTCATCTTCTTCGCCCATGGAGTACTTGTAAGGTTTGAATTTCTTATGCCGACGTTTCTTCAGCTGTTTGGCATGGGCTTTATGATCATCCAAATAATTTACAAATTGAATTCGACGCCTTTTACGCTTCGGGCCTTGTTGTGATGGGGTTTCTACTGTGGGAGGAGGGGTCAGGAGAGCAGGATTTAAGGGTGGTGGAGGGGTGTGGCTTTCTTTGTCAGGTTTTTGAGAGATAGCCGCTTGTGTTAATTCAGGTGTTACATTAAAGGGGTTGAGGGGAGTCGAGAATGCTGTCGCTGCTGTCGAAGAATCTTGTGTCCTTGATGTTAAGTCTGGAACAGTGCTGATTATTTCTCCCGGTCGTGTTCTTGTATTTAATTGTTCTTTAAAAGCCAGGTATCTGTTTTGCAACTGAAGGTATCGTTTAGCTTTTTCATCGTCCCGAAGATCGTTTCGAGAAAGCACGTTATCCATGTTGCCGTGTATTTCTTGCATAGCTGGAAGAAGCGGGACAGGCGAAAGAGTTTGCTGCTTCAGATATTTTAGAAGCTCTTGTGGAATATTTTCTTGAAACCCTGCTTGGTTAAAGCCTTCTTCACTGGGCAGGACGTTTGTTCGCAACCGACAATTATCTTGGGTAGTAGTTTTCAGATCAATCAGAAGATAACCAAAAGGTCTTTTTACAGCCTCTTCATACTGATTTAAAAAGAAATCCGTCTGCCCGGGATACATTTGCTTCGCCAGAGTCAAGATTTGCAATTTGTCTCGTGGATTCTTGAATAACACCAGATAATGGCTGTTTAGGCTTATGCTGCGGCTACCTTTCCCCTGATGAAATAGATTCTGCACGATATAAATCACGCTCAGATTGCGATGATGAGAACCACGAGTAAAGAGGTTCACAATTCGCTTATCTTTACTAGCGTCAATCATCTGATCATCAAACACGATCAAATTCCGTTTGTTCACATCAAAATAGGAATCCTGCTCCAAAGCCGTAGGAATTCCCTTGACGAATTCAATGTTTGGCATGGCGACTAACATTTGTGTATACGCAGGCTGCCATTGTGAATAACACCAAACGATCCTCTTCGGGGGAGGGTAAATGGTCTCTGAAGCTTGTTGCAATAGCGATCGAACCCAGACCGTTTTTCCGGACCCGGTCATTCCGGCAATCATGGAGGTGAAAGGGTGCTCGAAGCGAAACCGCTGACATTTCTGTGAAAATATTGGAATTGTTTGAAATGGGGTGAGACCAGCATTGCAGTGTTTAGACATCACGTGCCTTTGCATGCTATCCTTTCTACTAAAGGACTTTTCGCAGACAGAACAGAGCCAACTCATGTTAACTCCTCAGGAGCAGAATGTAGACTGAGAAAATGTTAGCATAATGCGCATTGATATAGTTTTGAAGGCTATACAATTCAATAGTTTTCCTCCACCACCACCACTTTCCTATTGTTTTCCCTCCACCACCCCCACCACCACCGCCACCACATTTCTATTGTTTTCCCTCCACCACCGCCACCACCGCCACCACATTTCTATTGTTTTCCCTCCACCACCACCACCACCGCCACCACATTTCTATTGTTTTCCCTCCACCGCCACCACATTTCTATTGTTTTCCCTCCACCGCCACCACATTTCCATTGTTTTTCTCCACGACAGTCAATAAAAGACTGCAAACTACAATGATAAGTTCAGTTTGTCGCAATGTCTCGAGTTGCCAAGAACAATTGTGGTTTTCTTCAACTCTTAGCTATCTGTCCAGCTCATCAGCGACAGTTTCTTTTACGGACAGCCAGTCCACAACAACTACATGCATTAGTCCAAGTCTTATACAATATACTTAAGGAATACATTCTTATCCCCGAAGAAAATAAGCGGAACGTGTTGCCATATAAGGATGCTCTAGTAAACCTAGCAGAAACAAATGTCCCTTACAAAACAAAGAAGCGAATCCTTGTACAAGAGGGTGATGGTTTTATTCAAGACCTATTGCTACCTGCTGTTACAAGCCTAGGATTTTTGATGCTATAAAAGAGGAAACGAAACTATAGGTTACTCATTTGAAGCTACGGTCTGTCACGGGTACTCATCAAAATGAAGAGAAAGATAGATTTGGTTGAAGAAGAACACGAGAGTGAACATGAAGAAAGCGAAAGTTGCGGTGATGAAAGCGAGGATGAAGAACTAAGAATAAAAGAAGAACCAAGAATAAAAGATGTTTTGAGTCATCTTTCCCGAGCAGTGTCGGTAAAGCGTGCTTCTGATTTGCTGTATAGTATGGCCGCGTCCAAAGATATTCTTTTCTGGACTCCCAGCGGACAATTACTTCGAAATAAGCGCACTATTCCCGTCACAAACATGGCCGAGCTAGTTGAGTATGTGTTACTCCCTCATAACAATGAGGTCACCAAGCCTCGTGCGCTGAATACGTTTCTAGATGGACTTGCAGAGTTAGGAATCGATAAAGGTTTAATCAAGAACAAAAAATTGTTAAGTGATTTAATAGAAAAGGAAAAAGGCTACCGAAATGTAGAAAATACTTCCGATAATGAGAGTAATAATGAGGAGAGTTCATCGGATATTGAAAATCAGGAGGAGGAGGAGGAAGTGGCTTCTGAGAATGACGTTGAAACTGAAGGCACCCAAGAGAGCGACAACGACACTGAAAACGATAGTGAGGAAGCAGAAAGTAGTAGCCCTGAAACGTCCACCACCTTTCACTCTAAAAGTCCCTGTGGACATTGCGAAAACTCTAATGTGTACTCCACATTGATCATGAAATGTCCTAAATGCTTTTGGCACGATAACTACAAGATTTGTCCTATATGCGATCACGAGATCCCCGAGGAGAGAAAATACATCAAAGAGGGCTTTCTTCGGTGTCACGATTGTGGATTAATTACACACAAAAACGCCAAGACGTTGGAAACCAATTTTTATTCACCTTCTAAAGAAGAGAACGAAGAGGAGGTCTAATTTCCATCCCTTCCAAATCGCTGTGTATTCGACTCTTTTTGTCACTGGTTTTTAATAAAGTTTTTAAAACTGTATCTCGTGTCTTGTCAATTTATTTGTCGCTTGTTTAAATTGATCCTTGTTAAGTTATTAATTGTTTGTGTTTTTACAATAATAAGTCAAAGTGCTCCCTTGGGTCTAGCTGTAGAGATGAACTAGTTTTTATTCAACTTTAGGCTTGTTAACCGGCATAATTAACTGACTAACGCTAACGGAGCGTAAATTGACAAAACCATAAGCTCATCAAGCGCTGAGATTTCAATAGTTAATCGTTTCCTCGAGATAGAACGGAGAAAACGCTTTTGTAATGGTGAGTCAAAATTGAAGTAGAGAGTTTTCAGCTCCACTTTTTGTATGTGTGTGTGTTTTGTTATATATCCGATATTTAGCGCTAAATAACAAGACATGTGTTACTAGGGGATCGCATCTCTTATTCCCTCTTTTTATAAATAGACTTTCCACTCATTAGGAACAAGAATGGAGTTTATTCAAAAACCAAAAAAGTTAGGGTTTACCTTAGAACCACAAATAAGATAATTCACTTTATTGTTATACATTTATTGTGAACAATCTTTCTCAAACATGTATTCATAACACCCAAATTGATGGCATTCGTCCCTTCTTAAAAAGTCCATATAGAGTAAATAGACTGTGCTAGTATCCATCTTACAAAGGCAAACTAAATATTTCATCCAAGTCTCTTTTAACTGCAAATTTAGTCTATTTTCCACTTCCTGCTGTGCAAGCTTCCATAATTTTTTCAAGTCTACTTTCCCTTTCACGTATTCAAAATATGTTGCCCACGCCTCCTGAGCATCCGTGGTCAAGCAAGTGTGATGCAGTTGAGATAAATCATCCATTTTACAACCATCGCGGTGTTCATTCACTGCTACATAGATCAGACGATTCACTTCTCTAACAAATACATCTTGAAAAATCTCTCCTATTTTATCCCGTATGATGTGTACTCCCATTTCAACTTCATCAATTATGATCTGGTCTGATCCAACCATGATTTCTAACTGATTAAAATTCATGACTTCTTCTCACAATTCGTAAATGATTTGCTTGGTAAGGAAGGGCCATTTTATGTGTTTCGAAACAATAGAAAAACCGGCAGGTAAAAATAAACCCTGACATCATCTTACCTGGAAAAAAATATGACACCATCATGACCAAGTAGGGAGATGATATCACTTTTCTATTTATAGATTATGATCTCAAAATTTTTTTCATGACGTTAACTCTAGGAAATTCTGACGTCACTTGCTCCTTACCAGCTAAAAATAAACTATGACATCATCTTACCTTAATGAGATGCATGACGTCATCTGCGTTAATTTAAACTATGACATCATCCTATCTTAATGAGATGCATGACGTCATCTGCGTTAATTTATACCACACAAAAAGTTAATTAAATCCACAAAAAAAAGGAGTAACCGGTGCCTTATCCACTACTAATGTCTGTTTATTTTCCTTCGTCTTGTGTACATGACCTTCTGTAAATGTCACGGTTTGTGTGCCAAGGGTTGAAGAAAGGCTTAACTCCTATGCTGCAGCAAAAGCCGTTGTTTTGTCAAGGCAGGTCAAGGCAAGATTTAATTGCTTGCCTACTGGCAATTTCCTTGCGGAGGTTTTAACTTGGGGCAGCCCTGCTTGGGCTATAATCTGCAGCTTGCAGGTTCTTGCTTTCTCTCTTGGCCCGGCTCACATATTTGTAAATACTTTTCTATCAGTGATACCAAATTCAAAATTTAATTACTATTTCAAACAATGACTTGCCTAAACATTTGAGCTGAAACTCTACGTGGACGCAACGTGTAGTCAACGAGTTCACTGCTCCAAGAGTGAAAAGGAGACATCGGAAGAATTGCATAAACCGAAAAACGGTCGAATTATAGACTTCTTTATTCTGCTGGCAGTAATTTTAAGGACGTAGATATTCCTAAAAGCATGTTAATTAAAGGTATCTACACCAGCAATTTTTTTAAAGTTTTCTTTCGCGTTCAAAATGTTTTTACAGTGAGTTCAGCGATAATAAACATAATCTAGTTTTCTTTTTCGAATTTACCGTTCTATTAATTAAGAGAAAATCTACTTGAAAGTTGACCGATTTAGTTACCGGAAGTTTGAAAGAAAAATTTTCATTTCCGTTTCTAAGAAAAATTACTACTGGAGACTGCATGAAGGAGCAGAATGATTCAGATGCAGAAGATTACGAACGGACATGCGCAATGGGAATATTGACCCTTAGAAAAATTTCAAGGGTTTTTATATTTCAAAGAAATGACTGCAGAACTGTAATAAAATCGAAAAACAGCTAACCTTAAATCATTTTTATCGGCCGTATTCATGCCGATGAAAAGTCAATATTACATACATAGAAGTACGATGCAGTCCTTTATTTTCCATTCTAGGACGCCATTTTACTGAATAGAACGTTTACAATCGACTGCATAAATGTACGTTCAATAAAGTTGTTTGTTTATATGGTCCATTTAAATGTGTTATTTCAATTCTTTTAAGGTATTTAAATCTACTGAATTTTCAAGGTTAAATTAACAATAAACAAACAACAAGTTTATTTTTCCCTTTAGTTCGCTTTTGAATTGATTTTTTTTAAGTGTTTTGACTGATAGAAAGTGGAATACTGTTCCAAATCAAAGCACCGGAAATAGAGAACGCTCGCTTCGTATTGTCAGTTCTAACTTGTTCAACATAGTAATTTTCATTAGTAACAGATCTAGTCCGGTAACTGTGGACAGAAGACAGTTTCGTGAACATATTCTTAATGTTATCAGGAGCGAGATTATTATGGAAATCGTACATTGAAAGGCTCATTTGCTCAAATAGCAAGAACGATATCGGTAACTGTTTTGTTTCTAAGAATAACGGAACTGCATGAGTTCTTGGTTCAAAGAAGAACATTAGCCTAAGGGCTCTCTTCTGGGGAACGAGTAGTTTATGAAGATACGTTTCAGCAGCATGACCCCAAGCACAGATACCATAACTGATGTAAGACAAAATTAAAGAGCATAAAGTGAGAAGTACATGACGGGGAGCAAAATGTCTGAGCTTGGCGATAATTTATTGTTTTACTGACTTTTTGACAAACTAAATCTATATGAAATTTCCATGAAAGGTTCGAATCAATGAGTATACCAAGATAAATAATATAATTTTTCATTTCTAACGGTTGACTGGTATTTGAATTATTATTAATTATTTTGATATTAGGATGAAAAGGAATAGTCTTTTGGCGTGCACGAAAGATGATATAGTTAGTTTTTTCGATATTCAAGGTTAATTTATTGACAACTAGCCACGAGCGCACTTTGAAAAGTTCTTCGTTAATCTCAGTTTCAAGTTTTTTAAGATCTCCGTTTGCACAACTTAAACTAGTATCATCGGCGAACAAGTAAAATTGAAGCCTATTTGAAAATTCGTATAAACATACAAGAGAAAAAGCAAGGGTCCCAGAACGGAACCTTGTAATTTCTTGTAACCTATTCTTTTTTAGTTATATTAAAGAAAAGTAACTAAAGAAAATTGGTTCTCTCAGTTCATTCCGGCTAGTTTTTTAAATAGTTGACTTGACTAATTTGGAATTCAGTGCATGTGAGGAATGGTCTCATAACAAAGTGAGTTAATTTAACAAAAAATATTGGTCATCCTTACTTAAAGGAAACTGGTTAAAACTGCCATTTACTAATGGTTAAAACAACATAAATATTGAACTAAAAACAACCAAACAAAAATGTCAAAATAACTGTTTATATTCATTTTAACTTCTTTTAAATTAGATATTTCAAATCAAAAGAATCCAGTTATTTCAAACCAATCTAAATTGGTCAATCTAACTAAAACAAAAGGACTCTCTCAGAGGCATTTTGCAACAATTTTCATTGGTTATTTTAACTAGTCAAATTTTACAGTATAATAATTTCCTTATAATATCAGCCTGGTCCATTTTCCTCTATGATTTCCAAATCCTAAAAGTATCTTTTTAATCATTTTAAACCGTAATTCTTTTTTATCTGTTCCTTTAGGATTTGTGTGTATTTGTGTGTAAGATTTCTTCAGGCTTCAGTGCATGTGAGATGCATCTTGCATAAATTAAAACTTTATAGTGGGTGTTATTATTACTCAAAAAACATTTTCACAAAGTGATAACGTTTCACAGAATTGTTCACATGTGTGAAAAACTATGGGTAACTATGTGTAATCATTTGACTGGTTGAACAGGAAAAAAAACCTCTTTTCAAAAATATTCAAAAAAATTAAATATTCAACAAAGTCAAGAAAATCTGCATGGTAACTATTTAAACAAGGGGATGATTACAGCCACCATCTCATACCCAACGCGCACTCGTGGAATATTATTGTAGGTGAAAACATACAGATGGTTTTTTCGGTGAAGGCTCTAATTAAAGGAATAATCTAGAATACAGTCCAATTCTAAAGGAAGATCTAACGAAGGCACCCTGGAGTATTCTGCGCCGGACTTTCCGAGAAATTTTCAAGTATACTTTAAAGAACATAACATCCCGGTAGAGTAAATAATATTTGTTTGTGAGCCTCTTCATCACTACCATTCTATTCCCCATATGCAGTTTTAAAGAAATGTCTGTTGAAAGTTTCGAAACTTCGCAACGTTTCGCTCTACAAACGGCTTGGAAAAACTGAGGAATTGTAATTGCCGTGAACTGGAAGGCAAATGAAGCACTTGGAAACATGGATCGAAGGAAGCACCCAGACTTGGAAACAAAACACGTTCAAAACTCGAAAAGTAAGCAATATAAACAAGAAAAAGAAAAGCTAAAAACCCGAAAAAGAAGCAATCTGAACTCTGAAATGGAGGATCGCGGCCAGATTGTGTTGCCTTTTCTGAATCCCGATTTAGATATAGTTTTCCGCTTTCGTTTCTTTCAGTCTTTTAGCGGACCACTTCCGCGACGATGATTAACGTCCTTTAGTTTTGTATTTTTACTGAACCAGTTTTTTTAAGATATCTTGGTACACATAAAGTAATTCTACATAGTATACTGTACTCACTCTCGTATTGCGTTTATAAAGCTTGATTTTCCAACTCCCGAGTTTCCCGTTATGGCGATGTTCACCTCCACCTCTTGCCATCCTTTTAGCTTCGTCTTAAAGAATTCCTTAACTTGTGAAAGCCCGTGGTTCTCGACGAATTCCTCTATTTCCTTTTGAATTGATTTCTCCCCGTCCGAATCGCGAGGTTCCATGACAGACAGAAAGACGAATAATAGTGCAAATTTTGGATGAGAAAGTTGTCTGGATATAAAGGCGTATACGTAGAGTGGACCGACGCACAAAGAGCAGCGCTTTATATGAGGATGATCACCTGACCTTCCGCTGTGTTTGAGCACGAACACATCACGTGGAAAAAGGTCAAGGTTTCAAAAAATACATGATTGGACAGCATATTTAAGACATTGCCTTATTTATAGTTAATAAGACTGAGGCCCTGTCTGTACGTATCCGTTTTCATTTGAAAAAGCAACTTTTTCATCACGGATACGACTTCCGTCCACACGTATCCGAAGAAAACGCTCACGAAAACTTTTCCAAAACGCTCTCCAAAGTGGAACTTTTTGAAAACGCTGAGGACACATCATCAGTTCCAATCCACTCCGCGCAATATTAGAAACTTTTTCAAGTTGGCGGACGGGCGTTTCCCTTTTTGTCTTTTATACTTGGGCTTATTTCTAACCTACCTGCTTGTTTTCAATCAAATTTAGGTTTGTTGATTCTTCAAGCTGATTAGTCCAGGAGGCTGCAGAACATTATCAGGTTACTTTTGCTACTGGTGTCAAGATGCTGAAGGTTGGATCTTCCTTTAGTTTGACTTTGTTTTTGCCCTGATTTTGTCATTTTAAACTGTTTCTGGGACTTTGAAGAACGTCACAACAATATAAACCCACACCAAAGAAATTCATAAATGGCGCGTACTTACTATTTCGCGGGCTTATAATAGCGAACACGTATGCGTCAAGTATGCGCAGTCGGGTAAGTTATCGTTTTGAAATCAATTCATCGTATACGTGTGGACGGGCGAAAACGTTACGAGTGGACGCAAACATTTTTGGAAACGGAGAAAAAAAGTTGCCTTTTCAAACGAACACGGATACGTGTGGACAGGGCCTGAGTGGAGTCCAATTCGGTCTGTAATCATGGTGATTGACAAAATCCGCGGGAGTCCGACTTGTTTTATTATGAGTATGATTACAAACCGAATTGGACAAGACGAAGTTCGGTTACCAATTCATCATAATTATAACAAAATCTGTGGTATTTTAGGTTTTTCTTCCATAATTAAAACAAGAAATTCCAAGAGTTTCTTTTTGCTAGCAGTGAAAAAAAAGCCATTTAAGCGCACGCATGCGATGACGCGTACTGTCCTATTACACTGTCCTATTAGTGCTGAAATCAGGACAGTTGATAGCCAATCAGATTTGAGAATTTTGTTATAGTTTTGATTAAGGTCCTAACTCGCTAAGTTCAAACGGATGTAAAGCATTTTCTCTTTATCTTCTATCAAAATCATGATCAACAACTAGATTTAATGATTGGTTGCTCATAATATCCAACCACAAATGCAAAGTCACAAGGTCCAATAACAAATAGAGCCCTGAGTGCGAAAACGTAGGTTAAGGTGGCTGAACACAGTTTCTTTCGAATTAAATGCTTTAACCGTTTAATTTTTATGTTAATTCCCTTTAACATCTTGATCTTGAGGAAATATGCTGCCGAGCTGAGAAAAATGCTCAAAATGTGCCAGAAAAATTTATTCTTTTTTCGTCGCCTTTGACATGTCTTGAGTTTTGATCACCCCTTCTTAGGAAAAATGCGAGGTCTCTTGATTTGGTGACTTTCATAGGCAATGTAAACAAACGACAACATCTTCAAATGAACACATTAAAATGTGAAGAAATTTGGTTAGAAATCCTCGATCTTCGTCTCACACTACGTCAGCGAAAGCTTGAAAATAAAAATTAAACAAAGGAGTATTGTGACTCAATCTAGTTTCTCATGAAAGCTATTGTCTTAGAAAGAAATGTTTTATACAATTTTGTCAAGTTATTTTTAAAAAATGAGGGTCACTTATTGTAAGCTGTGCGCCAATTCATAAGGAAAGCTATTACTGTAAATGACTGTATTTTGCGTAAACCAATTAAATCCAACATTTTAGGTTTAGCTTCAATCATTCAAGTTGGCAAGGCAAAGACTCGAAATCTTACGTTTACTGAATCTAATACCTACTAATACTACTATATCCGAACAAGAGCACGCCTCTTCCAGGTCTCCCTATCCTCCAACATAGTAGCTGTTCTCAGCTCTTCCGCGCTTTCCAAGCTGGTATCGATTTTCAGGTTATCTATATAAGTAACAGCTGGTCTTCCCATGTTCATGCGACCAGTAGTTTAAATGTTTCCTCCTCCGGGTGTCGTACACAATGACCGGCTACTTTCAACCCGCTTTTGATGACACTGGTGGTAAATAGGCCATTTGCACTAAGAGGTCATGTGACATCGTTTTTATGGAAATGAAAGTTATATGATTTTTACTTCGAAAAACGGTCAGTGGGTCATATCTTAAACAAAATAATAATGATTTAGTTTTTCAAACCCGCACCATTTTCTCAAAATGAAAAAGTTCGTGGCTGGTCACGTGACTGAAATATGATTTTTAAAATTATAAATCATCTCTTCCTGAATACAAATTTTACACTTAAACTTCAAGGAAAATGTTAAAAAGATGATGTAGTAACGTTTACAGAGCATCTGAGAGAAACTATAAAACGTTTAACAAGATAGAGAAAAAAGTAGTTTTGACCGCCATGTTGGAGGGCAACAGTAGTTTTGACCGCCATGTTGGAGGGCAACAGTATGCCCTCCTACAAAGCGGCGAATACAAATCATACTACTTTGTTGAAAAATCAAAGTGCCATAAAATGTCTCCCTTACATGCGTTTCCTCTCAAATTTCGCATGTAAGATATTGTTTATGTGCTATATCAATTTTTGGCATCAGCAAGATTCCAACTCATTGTTTAAAGGAAGCATTGGTCACGTGACCTCTTGGTGCAAGTAGCCTATTACCATAAAATTCCTTATTGGTCAATTTATCAATACCATACGTAACATTTTGGTGCAACATCCATCTAGTTTCTTCTCCATAGTTTTCGTAACTGGCCATATATCGCTTCCATAAAGCAGGATGGATTCTACAGAGGCCATAAAAAGCCCCCTTTTTGGTGCTTCTTCTTAAATTTGATTTCCATATTCTCCTCAACCTGTGAAAAGCTGACCATGCCAGAGCCTATCGGACTTCAAAATCTCTTGCAGAACATTCGAGCTAACCACCGAGATATCTAAAATTTTTCACAGATTTTATTTCCTCGCTATTCTTTGCCTTGATGGTTGTTAATCCCCCTGGTTGAAATGCATCACTTCCGTCTTCTTAGAATTAAGATGAAATCCGATTTCACTGCCTCAAGTTCTACTGATGCCAGCATTTCTTGAGTTTGATGTATCTCCTCTGTGGTGATGGCAATGTCGTCCGCAAAGTCAATGTGTCGGTTATGACCACTGGGTGATGACGACGACTCCTCCTTCGGTCAACTTTGAAACCAAGTTCTTCCTCTCTCCCATCTATGGCTCGTCTCATTGCATAGTCCAACACAATAGCCAAGATGTAAGGTGACCAGGTATCTCCTTGCAAAACCCCAGCCTGTATTTCAAAGAAATCGGCTTCTCCATCCGGTGTTATGACACTAGCTTTCGTCCCTTGGTAAAGTAAGCAAATTGCATCTATCAGTTTTTCCCGAATGTCATAAGCCCGTAGAATCTGCAGCATTCTTCCCCCGTGTACACTATTGAACGCCTTTTTGAAGTCTATGAATACCACAACAGCTTTCAAGTTATGACTTTTCACACCTTCATGTTCAATTGGTCGTCTCAGTGCCAATATGTGTGCTGTTGTTGACCGTCCAGGCCAAAATCTATTCGGATTGGGTCGTAGGTGTTTATCGATTTTGACCTGCTGTTCAAGATCATTTTGTTCAGCTTTGTTCGACAATTTTGCAGCAATTCAAGAGGGAGATATCTCCCTGTAGTTCTCCGTTCTCAAAAGTTCTTTGAAGTGAGTATACCACTCATTGATTCTGTCGTTCTTGTCTTTAGCCTTTACGATTCCTTTCTTAGCAGTCTTCCTCCCAGTTATTTCATCGATCAACCTACAATTCTCCTTGTGTCTGGATTCTTCATCAGCTGTCTCAACTTGCCTGATCATCTTGTCCAGGTCTTCTTCTATTGTAATATTATACTGCTCATGCAATTTGCTCTTATATCTCTCCATCTCCTCTCTGTTATTCTCAGTTGGACTCCGATAGTATCTGTCAGAGGCAATCTGCAAATATTCTTCTCTTACCTTGACCATTCTTGAATAATCTAATGCTTTTGTCTTACGATCTTTTTTCCTCTTGGGCAGAACTTCTTTTGCTGTTTCTTCATTAGCCTTGATTGACAATCGTGTACAGAGTTCGTTCATTTTCTGTTGACCACGATGTAATCTACCCTTGTTTTCGTACCATTCATATCCGAAATAATGTCCAGAGTTTCCCAGCCCTCTTTTGGAACCTTCCATTTACAACGAAAGATTTCTCCCTTCAAAAACGTTTTTTACCAGTCTTCCATTGGAGTTGCATGTGTTGTGATAAGAATATTCGATAACACTTTGGTCGAGATGTGAATTGAAATCTCCCGTCACTATAAGCATATTGTGCTTCGGAATGTCCCTTACAGCCGCAGTCAGGTGATCGTAGTGATCCTCAGCTTCCAAGTTTCCTTCAATAGGTGAATAGTGAACAGTGATGGTAAGTGCAGGACTACCACTGAAGTTAGCCACCAGAATCCTGCCATTTCATTCCTTTACTTTTGCAAGCGTAGATGCTGCTGTCTTGCTAACCATTAAGCCAACACCACTATTACACAGGCTGCATTGCATGATATAATGAGAATGCTATCATCCATTTATTTCATTATATACTATGTCGTCATTGCTTTCTTTGTGTACGATCTTGTGACCCACAATACCCAGAATGGCAATTGATTGTGCTATGAAACTTATTTCTAACTCCTCCCTTTTGCATTCTGAATTTAAGGTTCGTGCATTGTATGTTGCTTCTAGATTATACTGCTTGTAGCTCAATAGCTTGCCTTCAGCTTTGCTGTTGGTTTCGTGTATCCCTCTGCTTCGCGGATTTGGAGACATACAGTCATTCTTCTCCTGTAAGTCAGTGGAGCCCTAATAAACGTAATGTCTCATAAATATATTTTGCCCGTAACAAATTTAAGCTTTACACCTGCAACGAGTGTTAAATACCACCCCAGTGAATGGTAAAATTAAACGAATCGCATCCTATCAAACTGCCCTAACACCCATCAAACCTGCTTTCGGTGTAATCGTGGATTTCTGGATTTACTTATCGTGTCTCGAATTAGGTGCAGACCTTGAGTAATCCTTACCTCACCCAGGTTTATTGGCGTTTCATCATGTACTCCTTAAAACACTTGGCTTCGTACTTGGAAATCACGTTTAATTCACGGTATTCTTCTCGATTACTTCAGCATCCTTAAAACTATGACCGGAATTATCAAGCTACGACTAATTTTTGACACTTAAACTACAAACATTGTGGTGCTTATCTTTGGAATTTGGTATCCCAATCAACTTCAACAATTGACGATTTCAAACAAAAATACTTAAACGTAAAATTTAGTCGGGATTCTTCTCTTAATATTGCACGTTGTGAATGAATGGCTATGCTGCAGCTCAATTTTATCCTTGGCTTAAATTTCGTTTTTCTTCGTTTTGGCTTATCGCTGTTGTGTATGATAATGAGCCTAAAACTAGAGAGTAAGAAATTTAAGCCAAGGATAAAGTTGAACCACAAAAGATACAAGATACAAGGAAAAACTTGAGACGGGACAGAAAGTAACCAAAAACACGGGAAACACACAACAACTCATCATTATTAAAACCGAAAAGAGCACGATGGACATTAATAGGCCACTTCCAAAAATATCATAATATTCTCAAAATTGTCGTTTGGGTAGTACCTCACGTAAACCTTACTTTTGCATTATCTTTTTTGCACGATTTGCAAGTGCAAGGCGGGTCAGTTTGTTGAAAATTTGCATACTCAGCGTATTTGAGCAAACGTTCAACTTTGGCTAAAGTAAGTTTATACTTTATTACTTTTATGTTTTATTACATTTAAGAGTTCGGCAACGACAGAACTAGGTTGGAGGGTCTCTTTAATCAGAGAAAAAGCTACAGGTTCTAATGCAAGCCTTCTTTTCATATACTCTAAATCCTAATTTAGCACGTGCATTTCGTGCAAAGAACAAGAGATAACATGAACTTCAGGTTTACATGAAGCTCTACCCAAGAGGCAATTTGAGAATCAAGTTATGGTGTTTTCGCAGTGGCGTTTTGAAGGGAAAATCCTTAAAGAACAGTGACCGAGACCAGGTTTTATGAGCTCGCGAGACTGAGCACCCCAGCCAAACCTTTGTTTTCACTAAAACAGCTGGACGCCAACCTGGTTGAAGTCATGGTCTTCCTTTTGAGGGAGGGCTAAGTGAGAGGACAGAAAGAGAAGAGACTGGAGCTAATCTCCTGGGGCAGTACTCCCTTATATGGCCTATATCAGGATCTGCTGCTGGACAGAGTATATTTTTTTTACCTCTCTGTCCTAGACAGGGTATATATTTCGCGTGAATCTGTCCTAAACAGGGAATATATTTTCGTCAAGTCTGTCTTTTAAACAAGGTATTGACTGCACGATTGATTTGATTTGCCAGATTTGTTTATACTTTAAGTATACAAAAGCAAAAACTAAAGCGTGGAGACAGCATGCATTTTGTACTTTGTCCTAAACAGGGAATGTATTTTAGGATTTTTTTTACCTAAACAGGGTCTTGGTTTCAAACCCTCAGGGGTTCACCTATACCAAAATATTGTCAAGTGGGCAATACAATTGAGAACAAATGTTCAAGGGTTTCGGTGGATTGCCCAAAAAAGCAATGAGACAGAACATCAAGGCCAAAGGAAACGAGGCGTTATGTATTATAGACATTATATAAAGCGCCATGGAAAACTTTCCAGCAAAGATCAACTTGAAGGGCCTTGTTGGGTTCACAAATATAAGAGAGTCTCATTGGGGACTGGTAGCTTTGTCGGTTCAAATTTAGAGCTTTTGACGGTTGACCGTTATTAACTGGAAACTAACATTTTTAATAAATTTTAAATTCTGCAGTATGAGTAAATGTAAACTGTTGTGTTCTGGAGGTTGTCCTCGCCTTTCGCCTATAAAATTTCGATACAAGAAAGTTGTATTAAAGGTCTTGTAATATCTAGAGAAAGTATGTTTGAGAATTTGGATACATGTACAGGTCTTTCCAATTTAGAGATTCTTAAGGAGCCAGAGGTCCGTGAAGATCAGCTGACATGGTGAGATTTTTTAACTATGCCTTGAAACTTGATGAAAGTAAAGATTAATCTGCATTTTTGACGGCTGAAAAAATAACTGATGCAAAGAGTTATTTAAAGGGTCCCAAATATAATAAGGAATTGGTGCCAAATGTAATAAGGGTCACGGATGTGATAAGAGAAACGCCTCGCAAGAGTGGGCGGTTTAACTTTCAGTTTAAATATTGCAAAACGGAATGGGTCAAAAATGAACTGTAACTAAGACTGTAGGATTTCCTAAGACGATACCACTTACAAAAGTTGTTTCTTGAGAAGGATAAGTGGTTTAATAGATCGTTTATGAAAACCTCACGGCGGCTTTTAAACTCATTATCGACATTACCATACTCCAAAACAAAGAGAAATGAAATTTAAACCAAGGATAAAATGGAACCACAACAGCTACACTGGTCACATTGGAGTACAAAAACAATGAAACGGCAGCCATTTTGGGTTCCTAAACCAGCATTATGGGGATTTGACTCTTTTGTTGTGTAAAAAGTTCCTTCTGTTCCGAGAAATTTGCATAGTTGCTTACCACGTGAGTGAAAGCCAAGCTATAGTTTTGCTATGGCCATAGGAGACAAAAACCCTAAACAATATTTTTCTTCAGCGTGTTTGGACAAATTATGATTTATTTTATCCTAGCCAGGAAAATATTTAAGAACAATTTAAATTAAAAAGTATCCTTTTTACTCAGGCTTTTGCTAAATAAAAACAAAATTCTTCTGTTCTTCTGGGAGATTAGCTGCTTTTCTGGATCAGTTAATATTTTAATTACTGGTAATGCATTTCATACAAGCGGTAAATTTTAATCTGGAACCCGCGTTGAATATAATTTTACAAAAATGTCCGTATCCGTGTCCGATGTGACATATTTAGCACTATCCGGGGGCTGGAAGGGGCTCCTTTGATCTTACAAAAAAACAAAAAACAATAGCTACTGATCTATTCGACTCTACAATTGGTCAATAGCCTACATTTTCTTGCAACCATGAAAGTGTTTCCCACCCATTTACTCTTTAATAGAAAACGCCACGCGCTTAGCGCCCCTCTGCAGCTATTTTGACGACAACAATTAGCCATTTCAAAACAGAACTTAATCATATCCAGATTGTGGAATCTTTTAGTTCTAGACGAAAGCGCGTAAAACGACTCTTCTTCTGGATCCTCAAAGACGACTTTGGGTTCGTCCAGCGCACGAACAGGTGCGTGGTAGAGACAACGTATAGGCAGGCCTACCCATTGTGCTCATGTGTGCTCGGTATAGCCACAACAACATTTACAAATGCCGCGAAATCACAGTCGCGGGTTCCATTTGAGCATGCTTACTGACAGTTGTACTGGCCAGTAATTAGCAAATGTAAATCAATAGCCTACATTTTCTTGCAACCATGAAAGTGTTTCCCACCCATTTACTCTTTAATAGAATACGCCACCCGTATCCGTGTGGATAGTTGAATCCGAACCTGATGCATCACACCGAATCCGTGTTGACGCAAATATCAAGTAAGCGGTTCCAGAGGATCGGGATTCGTGTGGACGCGTTTTGTGGGGGAAGTGAACACAAGACAAAGCCTTTTTTTCTTGAACTTTGATACAGTCTTTTAGAATTTAACTCCAGAAAACATTGCCAACATTTAGTGGATTAAACGAGATGGAAAAAGCACCATAAATTTTGAAGTAGCACCACTTCACTTTTTAAGTGAAGTTTTCGTAGCCGTCGCCGTCGCTGTTGCTTAACCCATTGACGCCCGTGACTTTTTATCGTTTTCCAGTGACTTTCTACACATGAAAAATACATAGGATTTCGCGACTCCTTATTTGCGATTACCATGGAAAGTGGTCTGTTCTAAAACACTGAAGGCTGGAGTTTTCTGGAAACGTCATTCTGACGTAGTCATTCTGCTTCGTTGAGCTAAAATAACGGCTCAAGTATGGTTTCTATGCGATTTTGGTAAGTTTACAGCCATTTTTCATCTTAAGTGGCTGCATGATAAGTATCATTTAGCGTGACGGTAGCTAAGAGTCCACTGTCTTTTCTTCGTTGGCGAATTTGGCTTCTTGCTCGTGGAACTGGAAAAATGGCCAATCCGAAACGAAATAGCTTTGGGACTCGACTACTAATGAATTTCTTGCCCAAACACTTCAAATTTTGGAATTTGCGACCAATGAAAATCACAACAAGCGCGAAATTTCCGTGGAAGGTCGAAGTATCTGCATAAATATGAAAAAAAAATGGAGGGAGGAACGAACGCCGTCAAAAATTCTGGCTTTTTCTCAGCGTGCAATGCAGTCGTGATATTGAAAATCAAGGCAAGGCCAGGATGCACTGTACAAAAGGCTTCGGCCAGGGAAACGAATAAGAACAAAAAGTCACTTCCAAGCTTGAAAAAGGACTGAATTTTACTGTGAACGATGACAGGCTTTTGGTTTTTGCAACGATGATTTCTGTAATAAAGCTGAAGGCAAAAAAGGGGATTTTTGTCGTTTTTCTATGACGTTAAGGACGGTCATTTCTGTTGTTGTCCAAATTCAAAAGGTGACATTTTGCAAAAAGCGCCGACTTTTTTGCATTTATCGGATATCCCAATTTGATGGGCATTCTACTCAATGCTCACAACTGACAATAAAGGCAGTGTTCGCGCGACTGAGAAAGTTGCAATGTTTTTAATCAGTGGAATCTTGTACGGCCGTCAAAGGGTTAAGCTCTCTATGTTTCAGAATTGTTACAACATGTTTGCCCAAAACTCGCCGCTCCAGCCTCCAGGTCGTCTTGTGTAGCATCGCCTTTAATGTCACTCTCAGTCAAGTAACAATGCCAGATCAGACAACAGGGGTCAATTTAATAAACTTTTACACTGGTATTTTACAAGTGTAGCCGTTGTTTAGGAGTCTGAAAACAATAGCTACACTTGTAAATTACATTTGTAAAAGTTTTATTAAATAAAGCCCAGATCAAATCTCTTGCAGTGTACTGTTTTTCAAACCTTAAGTCTTGAAAAGAAGACCCCCTAATCCCAAACAGACTACATAGAAAGAAACCAACCGTCAACAGCATGAAATGAAAGACGTACCTTTCAGTACTTTTGAACGTCCGAATAGGAGGAAAGCTTTCCTGAAGTTGTTTCCCTTTGTCTGTTATCGTGTTTTGCATGTCTGCTAGCGTTTTTTAAGTCAAACGAGTGAGATTTTTATCCTGACACTACAGGGCTCGATCACGGCGTCCGACGATTTCGAAGACGTTTCGAAGATGTATGAAGACCTTCGAGCTCCGAAGGTCTCATCTGCAATGCTTTCCTTTCCATTATGGACAACGTCTGAGAAATTACGATTACTCGCATGAACTGTTCTTTTCTCGCATTAGTTCGAATTTGTGTTGTTCTGCGGAGCTCCATCTTTCCTGGAAAACGCAACCTTGTCAACACGCTAAAGTTTCTCAGAAAGCCGTATGAGTTTCGCGTCAAGTAGTTTTTGTTCGGGACATATAATGAGTTGATCTGATTTCCTGCTTCCTGCAAGCTTCATCTGACTGTAGAGCAGGGTGACTTTACAAATATATCGACAAAGCTTGCTTCGTATCATCCTGCTGGGCCTACTAATTGTAGTTTATATTATTTGTAACGAGAACGTCTTCTCCCCTCTCGATATGAAATTAGCAATGTTTCCCGACAGTGTCACCGATTCCCAGCTTTCCATAAACTGTGGGGAGGTGTTTAAGACTCTACACTGGACTCCATGCACTGATATGAAAGCTTCTAGCAAAGCTCACGGTTCTTTTTCGGTGTGAACTTAGGGAGGGCTAAGTTTCTTTCCATATGCACTACCTATCTCATTGCCTTTGGTATATCTGCCTTAAAGGGTGAATATGGCATGGCTATAATCCTCCGTCGTATGCAGCAAGCTATATATTAGCTTTCTAGTCATGCAGTGGTCTTACGCTTTTCGACCCTTGTCTAGTTCCAAGTTTTTATCAACGAAAGCAGGTGACATCGATTATGATGCATACCTTTCATCCTTCGATCACGTAGTTGGCTATTAAACTTGAAAACAAATACTAGTGCCCATTCTTTTTCTTTAGCAAATGTTGACCTATTTGTAAAACGTTCGGTTTCTATTGGTTGATATAAATACATATAGAATACCAATCGAGACGGATGGTCTGTATTTGAGAAGACGTTTTCAAAATACTTAAGGTAACCTTTTCACAACAGTGTGGAGTTGCAGCGCCGCCTACAAAATGAGGACCCTATTCCTTTTGATCTTTCTTCTTGTTTTATCAGTCGGTAAGTTCCTTTAGAGCCGTTTGTATTACTAGTTGAGGTATTACTAGATTGACTGCAGCTTCAGATAACATTTCCTTTTTGCGTCAGATTGGGCCAAAGGATTTATTCAGTGGGCTACTGAACCGCATAATTTAGCATACGTCATGTTTTCCAATGAAACACAGCGGCATTTTCATGGAGCTTCTGCCCTTTTATTTCGTTTTTCGACATAACCTCTTGTTCAGTATATAGCGCCTGTCGTTTCCTCAGTTCCAGGGACTGAACAGGGTTGCTAGGAGAATTATGAAAAGCGAAGGTCTTATTTGGACGCTCCCAAATTTTGCGTGGATCACAGAAGCACTTTCCAAGAAAGCTTAGACGGCGATTAATATAAGATGGTGTCACATGGCACATCATTAGACCGTCGTACCTGAAAAGTTTCAGACACCGAGACATCGGTGTGCGACAAAGGAAGACTGCAGACTTGCAGACTGCCAGGTAAACGAGGAAAACTTGTTGTGGAATGCTTTAACAGATTCCCTATTCCTAATTTTAAGTCATTTAAAAGTCTACTTTAGGGATAGGGAATCTGTTAGAGCATTCTACAACAATGTCTACCTTGTTTACCTGCCACTCCGCAGTCTGCGTTTGTCGCACACCGGTATATAGTACCTATCGTTTCCTCAGTTCTAGCGACTGAACGGGGTTGCTCGAAGAATTATGAAAAGCGGGGGTCTGATTTGAATGCTCCCCAATTTTGCGTGGATCACAGAAGCACTTTCCAAGATAGCGTAAGTGGCGATTTAAGATCGTGTCACATGGCACATCATTAAACGTACCTGAAAAGTTTAAGACATTGGTTAACCCTGCAATGTGCATTATCACGAAGCGTATGTCTTTTACAGTTATTTTCGTCTACCGAAGGTTTTTCTGACGGAAACAAATTCCACTCGCCTCATTTTGCGCGGGAATGGATAGTTTAATTTCATTAGCTTGAATAAATATTTTGTTGGGGTCACGGTCTTTCGCTGTAAAAAGCATTTCCAAGAACGCAAAAATAATCTGCTTGACAAACATTCACCATTTCGCAATCCTCGTCACGGAAGCGAAGTCTTATCTTATCAGCGTCAATTTGAGCCGAAGAAGAACAATACTTTTTTAAGCTTACAAGCCCATTGTAAGAGACATTTTCTGGGAGAAAAGTTTCAAAGCGTTTCTTTCCATATTCAACTTTCACCTGGAACGCCATAATCGTTTGCTTGCTGTGAGACCTGTAAAATCCCTGAGGGAGTAAACAGGCTTATAATTTGACATCTCCACCCTTGGCAGTTCTCATGTTCTGATTGGCTGGTTCGCTTTGAAGTTGGTAGGAAGCTGTTAAAATATGTCAAAATTGAATAAAAAACTTTCTCGAGTGGCAACGGTAAGGCGCGTAGCACCAGCCTCTTCCTCAGGCGTTTCGTTTTTCGCGTGGTTTCGCATAGAGGCAGCGCGAAACGCGAGTGACTGGTGAGAAAGCGCAAGGGACCGTGTTAAGGGTAAGGAAGGGAGGCGAAGCACGTCTCGCCCGTTTTCTCCATCCCGCCTCCTTTTGCGCGTAAATTTTCAACGAGAGAGAGAAAGACGTTTGGTTGCCAGGCAGGTATAAGATATAAAAACAATGCTCTGTAGTGTAACAAGAATTAATTTAATTTACATCATAGTTTAATAGTAAAGTGGAACGGTTATGAAACCCGTTATACTCCTTTGTTATATGTTTTTGTTCGCTCTTTCGGACCTGACCGTGTACAACGTTCAATAGCATTCCTATCATTTTGCACTTACTGACCAAAATAAACAGGACATTAATTTATATTATTCAGTCACAATTTGTGAACATAAAAACAAAAAATTGTGCACGGTCAAGGAGCTTCCAACATAAACTGCAACACCTTTGTTTTCACCTTTGATGTTTACCTCCTTTTCTAACCGTCTCCTCTACTAACTTTGTTTACATATATGGATGTATACGCTTTGCAATCACTTCTGTCTTCCCGAAGGCTCGTCCCGCACTAAACCGCACTAAGCTGAGATCAGGCGCTGCTCTTATTTCTCTTGGTAAATAGATTTCCGGTGGGCAAGGCAAATTGCCTTTGGTACATTACCGAACAAAACGTCACGTGTATACCTGAAATACGTGTGTTTGCGTTGCGAATCGAACAAATATTGTTGCGTGTGATTCGGAAATTTATATTCATGTGATTCAAGTGAGGACATCAGATGGACCTTAATCTCAACACCAGGGCCTTCACGGCCACATATCATGCATATTGGTTGGCAGAACAAGGATATCCCAAGAATGTGGACAGGTTTTGCAAAAACCTCGCTATACAGTATACAAAGTGGCGCTGACCACACGCACCAAAAATACGACTGCAAGTTCGCATTTTGCTTGCCAGCAATAGCTTTTGTTTTTTTTTTTTTATTTGTTTTGACAGGGAAACAACAACACCCTCCTTGATCTGCATAATTTTTCATATTATACGAAAGCTGAATCCAAAAACTATTTTAATGTTTCATTCCAGTATTTCCAAGTTCACAACATGCTTCCCAATTTAAGCACAGTTACAGCCCCAAAAATTTGTTAGTAGAATCCTCTGCTGTATAGCTTTAGTTTACAATTCTTTTTTTTTTTCAGAACAGCCGTTTTACGGAAATTATTTGACATTAGATTCTCATACAAATAAAGTAATTTTTCACGCGGTTTCCTACTCGTCAAGATGGCTTCCAAAACCGTGACAAGGTCTATTCTCGTCGTCATTAAATGAGATGTATCGTTGAGTATATATTCTTGTTCTCGGTTTTTCATCTCTCGATTAGTATTTACGCTATTGTCGCTATGTTTTTAGGCAGTGGTTCGGCTATTTCTTCTTCGCATAACGTGGGAAATATAAGTCTTCCACCATTTTCCCAAGCTCTGCCAGAACAGCTGAGCTAGTGCGCTTTCTGCTGCCGATTTTCTGACAGATATCGGTAAAATCACCCATGCATTTTTGAGCCTTTCGATGATATCGGAAGACATCTTCCAGATTTGGTCAACTCTAGCTGGTTGAGAAGAATCAATCAAAACTAAGGAAAAGGATTTAAATGAATAACAAATGTAAATATTATCATTCACAGGTTGCGCCCTTAAATGCGAAATGTGTCTCTCCAGGTATGGCTGGGATGACTGCAAGGACAAAGTTAAAACGCTGTTCTGCTCTAGCTATGGGGACCGTTGTGGCAAAGCTGTCATGGAAATGAAGAGCTTTGGCAGGGCAACTGAGTTTTATGGCAAAAGTTGCACCACTTCAGAGGAATGCAGCCAGAGAAAATGTGACTCGCTCACAATGGGCAGCTCAGCGACAGTCACCAAGTGCGATATCCACTGTTGCAATGACGACCTGTGCAATGGAGCCCAAGTCTCGATGGTCAGCACCATCCTGCTGTTAGCATGCTCTATCTTAGCTTTTGTTAAGTGTCAATTTTAAGAACTGAGGTGTATCTTGTCGGTGGTAAAGAAGTAGGTTGCAATACAGTGATGTAGCGTTCCCGGTCAAGCCTGGAATTTTTCAGGTTCTTTTTCAACCGCGAAGGTTGTTCATTTCACGGCGAAGATCATGTTCACTTTCATAAATGTTTTTAATGTTGTTGATGTTTTTCAAGTATAATCATTAGTTTTCCAAAAGTACTTTTTCTACCTCAGTTCGTGTAATAAAGAATGAAAAAACACAAACTAACACTCTTATGAACATTAAAATTAGTAATATAAAACTGTTCTAGTGAAGCCTTAACCTACTGTTTAAAAATTTAAAGTAAAATCTAAAATCCAAGCTTTCGCCGATCATTCAGTTTTACATTTTACTTTTTTAAACAGCAGTTTAAAGCCTCACTAGAACAGTTTTATATTTTCAATGATGCTGCTGAAGAACAACATGAACAGATTATAATTATTAATAATAGTAAATAATAATAGTTACCATTAGGATATTAGTAGTAGTAGTAGAAGTAGTAGTGGTAGTGGTAGTGGTAGTGTTAGTATTGGTAGTAGTAGTGGTAGTGGTAGCAGCGGTAGTAGTAGTAGTGGTAGTGGTAGTAGTGGTAGTGGTAGTAGTGGTAGTAGTAGTGGTGGTTGTGGTAGTAGTGGTGATAGTGGTGGTAGTGGTGGTAGTAGTGGTAGTGTTGGTAGTGGTGGCGGTAGTGGTAGTGGTAGTGGTAGTGGTAGTGGTAGTGGTAGTAGTAGTAATATTGTTATTGTTTATTGTTATCCCATTCACTGGTTCCAGATCGCTGATGATGCCGCTGTCATAAGCGGTCAGGAATCAGAAAATCGACATCTAATTAACCGCTTTATAATCTGGTGTAATTGGTCGAACATGATAATAAGAGTTGATAAATGTTCTACTTTTGGAATACGGAAACTGGCACCAAATCTGTCCAATATTTACCCAAACTGTTGGTCAATGGAGTTCTAATTCCCTGTGTGGAAAATTAGGGGAATCATTTCGTTACTTAGGTCGCTTCTTTGACTTCAACATGTCTAACAACCAACACATGTCTGAATTGTCCTCTATTCTACAAGACTTGATAAATGACATTGGTATAAAGCCACTGCATCCTAAACACAAACTTCTTCTGTACAGTCGCTATATCCTATCTAAACTGTCCTGGAATTTCACTATAGCTAATATATCCAAAACCTGGATAACAGAACATCTCGACTCTGTAGTGAATGAATTTGTGTTATCAGTCAGGCCTCGCGGTAGGTACCCAGTCAGTCTCCTGGTCAATCTGTTAGGTCAGTCAGTCATTTAGTTCGTCTGCCTGCCATTCAACTAGTTGTTCACTCCATAAGTCATCCAAGCAGTCAATCACCATGGGGGGGAGTACTCCATATAATGGCCTATAAGTGGAGGTTCCGCCTGAAAGGGTTATTTCTCTCAGGCTTAAGGTATGTCACGTATATTAAAGGGTAGGAACTTTATTACCTGAAATATATTAAACGGTAGAGAAATCTGTCATTTCGCTTTTTAAAAGCAGCAAAAGGGCTAACAAACTCATTTTATTGATTTGAAAGTGACCAGAAAACTTGGTAGTTTAGTGATTCATTCATATTAAAAGACTTAAAGCAGTTAAAAGGGATGTGGCGTTCTAGACCAGGTCTGTGAAAGGGCTACCACCTGTCAGTAGAAGGTATACGAGAGAGGTACCTTTTTTGTCAAAAATGGTATATTAAAGGGTAAGGAGCCTCCCCGTGTAAATCTTAGTCTGTCCGTTTTTTCCACCAATTAATTCTGTAAGTGTTAGACGGTCAGTTCTAGTGGATCAGAAATTTATTTAATAGTTATTAGTTAGCCTTTTGTGAGCTACCCTTTTCTATTGTGCAAAATTCGCCGGAAATTTGAATCAGGCCCAGTGAATACGCACGCGGAAATATATTTCCTTGTTCTATTTTTTGTTTTTTGGTCGTTTTGTTTTGCTTTGTTTTTTCAGTTTTCCACGGATTCAACCCTTTCGATGTGAAAGTAGCAGATCAGTGGGGAATGTAGTTTTACAATCAGCATTCAAATTTTCTTTAATACATTTAAACTCAGAGTCTTGGTAGCCAATGTGGGTGCAGGTTTTGATTTTATACTTTTCATTGCTCCAGAGTGGAATAAGTCGATGAAAACTCTTTTCTCGTCCATCCATCGTGTTCCATGTGGAATAAACGTCAGCTTATTGGAATTCCAATAAATCGTTATTCGTTAAGCATTTTCTCTGATCTAGCTGTAAAGAAAATTTTAATTAAACAGAGATTCTGTACAGTTGGAGTAAATACGAAAAGTAAATTGAAGGTATGTTATTGTTTATTTTATCACGTGTTTGTACAAAGAGGAACTGTGATGTAGTCGCTGTGCCTGACTCCGAAACTGAATTTCGGTGCCGTGGGTTTGTTGTATACAACCTGGGAAAAAAGGGCGCACAGTGATTAGAATATATACACATGATCTAAAGCAAAGCCCCATTCACAGGCTGCAAATGTTGGTCCCAACAATACAATCTCTAGTCACTATCCCCGGAAATGGGGGGGGGGGGCACTCCATGTAATGGCCTATACGGGGAGTACTGACCCTTTTCAGAACTCAGGGATATCAAAGGGTAGGTAATTCACGAGCTGAAGTATATGAAAAGTCCTTTATTCAAAGGAAGGTAAATGAAAGGTGCACCTTTTCTGTCAAAAATGGTATATAAAGGGTACTGGATTAGATCTGGAGGCGGAGCCACCCCGTATAAAATTTTTTGCATAGCCCAACCCACCCCCCCACACACACACACACACACACACAAACCCCATCCCCGCGGGGGGGCTATAATGAAATGCTGAAATTGTGATCTCAGGGATTTTTCTGCACTGTACTGAAAAAGAAAACAAACATTTCTCACAGCGTAGCCCACTTCAAAAAATTAAAAAAATTTATTAATGATAATCAAAACGGAGTGGAGAGTTAAATGAGGAGAGATGAAAGAGGAACTCGACTAAACTCAATTTTTACCGTCAAAAAGTTAGGACAAACATGAGTAAATTCACTGTTCAGTACTCTGCTTCAGTTTTTTGGGAAACTGTCCCCTTGACGCTAAAACAACTAGAAAGCCCAAACCGATTTAAGAAACTTTCCAAAGCCCATTTAATCTCTTGTTAATCAAATGAGATATGTTCTCTTTAGTACTCAAAAGTTTAATACTTTAAATGCTTCGGTCCTTACTTTGTTTGTCTCCTTGCTGCTTGTTTGCTTGCTTATTTTCTTTTTTTCTGCTTGTTTGTCCCCTTTTCTCTTAACGTTATTTCTTTATTTAATTATTTACTATTTTTATTTATTTATTTATTTATTTAATATTTGATTTACTCTCTTTCTCCTTAAATTTTAAAATACATAGTCCCTTGTTGAATATATCTCTAATTTATCTCAATCTTTAAATAATAATATGCTAGTCTTAGATTCCATGTTAAGCTCAGTGTGTTTTTGTTATTCTAAAGTAGGTGGTTGCCAATTGGAAAGCAAATGCTACTTTGACCACCACACAAATTCAATAACAGTATTAGCTCTGTTTTATTTTTGTTATTAACTATTGAGAGAATCTGTTATTGTTTTTAAGTTATATCTGTGAACTTACAATGTAAATAGTGTGAAATAAAATAAACTTGAACTTGAACGAGGGAGGGGAAGGAAAGGAGAAGCTTTGCTCTCTTTTCGCCTGTCCAATATCCACACTAAGAATCCTGCTTACTGACTGGCTAAGCCGTGCCTTGAATTTAGCCAATATACATTTCTGACAATTGGTTGAGTTCACACTAAGCACCATTCTTCCGAACAAATCTTTCTCTCAAGGTGGACTGCGATTTGCTTGTTACGTTTGTATGTGAACAGAACCCCTGCAAAGGCTCCGGCCTGTGCTTGTTGGGCGTTTTTGATGTACTCAATACATTAATGCTCATTAATTCATAAAGTCCCTATTGTCTAGCAATCTTTATAATACAATTAGCCTTCAACAGTATTCGTTTTCAATATTATTGTTCCTTTCGTATGCAGACTTATTGCTGCTTTTATCTTTCTCTTTCTTGTTAATTTCCTTTTTCTTTTTTAACATTACCTATAAATGTTATTTTGGGTAATGACATGTAATTCATTTGAAGTACCTTAATAAGTTGTTGTTGTTGTTGTTGTTGTTGAAACCTACAAGTTTTAATCATGTTTTAATGGGAATTATTACGACTAGCTCGGCGAGCAGGCAAGATAATGCGAATCTTGCGTTCTGATTCAGCCCTCCGAGAGCACCATGCAAATTCTTTTGGCCGTATAAAAAATCCTTTGTTGTTCTTTGAATCATTCAATATTTACGAACCTTCTCAGGGCGGTGTTGACCTGGTCCTGGTTTAAGTGTAGAGTCCACTGGCATGTAGTTGCGACCATTCATTGTGTAAGCTGGCATTCGTCGTTTATTTGTGTTCAGCTGAGTAACTTCGTACGTTCCGGGACCAGGTGTCTGATAAAAGCAACCGGAACAAACTAGCGATGTTAGAAAAGGGTTTTCTTACTAGAATTTTCTCACAGGACGGTGATAGGAGAGTGATATTGGCCTTTCGGTTCAATTTTCAGTTGAGTTCGGTTTTGCGTAGTAATTTGGGGATGATGACGGTTCTCCGTTTGTGAAATTCGGCTTTTTTTAAGGAAAAATGGATAGAGGGTTCCCATATTTATTGCTGTTTCCGCTATCGCTGTCACGATCTATTCTTGAAAACGAACAGGTTTTTTTTGTAAAACCACTGATTTGCTAGAGGATGCTTATACCAGGGGCATCACTAAGATTTCAACTTGGCGGGTATATGAAATCAGTAGGCAGGTAATTGAAAGGCGAGGAAGTTCTTTTGGGTGGTCTATTTCCTATTCAAGTAACTGGGGGTCATGTTCATAGTATCCGAGGGAAATCCCTAGCCCCCGACCCTTAGTGATAACCCTAACATACCGTAACATTCCGAAAATAAGTCCCTGGGCTTATATTTTTCAAAGGCCCTTCTTGAGGGGCTTATTTTTGGAGGGGCTTATGTATGGAGGGAAATTTACGTTTCAAAATCGATTGGGCTAGCTTGATAGTGGGAAGGAAATTTACCATTTTTGCTTTGTTTTACTTTGTATTAGAGGGCAAATTCCAATTACAAGCCCCCTGGGGGGCTTATATTCGGAGGGGCGATTTAATGGAGGGTTTTTCGCGTTACGATTTTGGGGCGCTTATATTTGGAGGGGCTTATTTTCGGAATTTTACGGTACTTTCCTTGGAATTCAGAAAGCAGCTTGCTTTAGTATTTGCGCGTTGAAGCTTCAACTTTCATCGATTTTATTGTATTTGTATTGTTTTCAAGAGTCCTTAATGTCAGCATTCTTCCAATGAAATCCAATCTCGTGAGATCGACTAACAATATGTTTTAAACCTAAATCAATCCAAACAAAATTCACTTTTATACTCGTTCCCAGTTTTCCTCACCTTCTGTAGATCCTCGCTGAATCCACCAATAGCAGATCGCGCGCTCAAAGAGTAGGCTGGTGCTGATTGAGCACTTACAACCTTTGGACCTATCAGGGGTGGGAGAGAGTAGGAGTTGGGGGACGGGGTGGGGTCTTTAAATGAATACTTTGTACGGGTCTTGATCGTGAAGCATGGAGCTCTTTTTTCGTGGGGTGGATGACATTTTTCTGGAGAATATTGGCCTGAGAAAGAAAAAAAGTAGGATACTTTAAAGCAATTTTATAAGTGGCGACAAAATAGCAAAGTACAAAACAAATTTTCAATGAAACGTGTTACACTCATGTACTCTTCCTGAACTCGAAGACACCGCGAAATCAAAGATCCGTGAATAAAAATCCTTGCCAAACTTAATGCCTTTTTTTGCATATTTTCCTATTCAGATAGCGCAGGATCCATAACCAAAAAAATAAAACCCCGCGAAACACTGTCTCGCCAAAACTGCGAAATTAAGTACCCGCGAAACTAAACACCAATAAGGTACGTATTTTTTGCGTTTCTCCCCAGCCTCACTCTCCGTTTTCACCATCGCTCTAGACCTTTCCTTTGAACGCTCGCACGCGCCTTCTTAACCTCAGGGAAAATACGGACTGTTTTGTAGTCTACTCTTTGCTCGTCTAGGCCCGCTCATTGGGCTACCCGTTACCCGTTGCCGGTTACTAGTTACCAGTTACCAGTTACCAGCATTTTAGCCCCGCCGCAAACAAACAAAAATAAAAAAAGGCCGAACACCATGAAACAAGCAGAATATGTGACAGTTAATTCACAAACAAGCCTCAATTTTTTGCAGTGATCCCATCTTGCGGTGGAACTGACTCCTGTTACGCATTTTACAAAACACTGTACTGTCTTAGTTACAAAAACAAACTTTAACGCACCTGTCAAGGGTGATCTATTTTCCGTTAGTTTCGCTAAACCTTTTTTAATGTTTAAATGTGAGAGTTATCCTGAAGGTGAAAGGCGAGCCACCCAATCTCCCCCCACCTGCACGCAAAATCCGGTCTTGAGCAAACAATCAAATTTATAAAAAGGAATAATGAAAGAGTAACCGAGTATTACAAAGTAAAAATAAACGTTTCAAAAGACAACAACAAAAGACGCAACTGTCAATCAAATGAATAAAACAAACAAGCAAACAATTAAAAAATTATTACATTAGAAACAAAATAACAAATACCAAAGCACTTTTTTTTCAGTGAATTGTTACCTGGGCCGGGTGTAAAGAAGTGATGTTTATCTGCTGTACGACTGTACAGTGAAAATGCGGGAGAAGCCTCCTTTCCCTTGCGTGTCACATAAGCCGGGAACATGTACTTCGGTCCCGGTACAAAACTCGATGAAAATTCTTTATGGCGTTGACCAAAACTAAATGCAGGGCATCGCTTCAAGCGAATATCGTGTTGTTTAATTCCAACTGTACCGGGAAGAAGATATTTCGCTGGCCCTGGCCCTCGACATTTGGCACCAATTTGAATGACTTTTTCTTCGTTATTTTCGTTGCTTTCAGCGCTAGTTTCGACTTCTTCGTTTCGTGCCATTGTTATGATTGATTAGCAGTATTATATCATTGACATCTTAGGTCGTTTTAAAATGGGTTGGAAAAATTTTTGCTGTATCTGGCGTTAGTTAAGTGATAATCAGAGCGCGCAATGAATGGGGATGACGTAAAGCAAACTTCTAATTGAAATGACAAATAAATGCGCACGAGGGGCCTTTCCTGTTCAGTCTAGCCTGGGACCAGGCTCGGCAGTAGAGGAAAAGGCGAAAAAAAGGCAGCGAGTGAAGAGAGCCGAGCGGTGTTCTGGGGAGGGAAAGAGTGGCGTCCTTTCCCCCTCCCATTCCACCGTTTGGCCGTTTTTTCAGTCAGTTTCACTCCGTTTTTTCTGCCATTCAAGTTCCTCCCACAGCGGAGGCTGGTTCCTGGCTAGTTCAGTCGAGCAGGGGAGCCTTGCGTCCACTTGCAAAAACCAAATTAATGAAAAAAAGACAGGAACACATAACAAGAATGAATAAATGGGATAACGTTTTATAGTAAAATCCAGCTAGTGGTGTATTATCAATGCTGCGTTCTGATTGGTTGAGCTACTCTTAGGCTATATGTTATAGCCCACTAGTAGCGAAAAGCGCCGGCTTTGAAAACCAAAACAATCGCGGCTAAATCGCGTTTTGCTAGCTAAAATTGTTTTGTGTCGATATATTTGACCTACTAGTTGGATTTCACTAAAACAATTATTCCTCTCACCCTCATGGTTTCTGAGTCAATAGCCCATTCGACCTTCGGCCTCATGGGCTGTTGGCTGACAGCCTATTCGGGCTCGAGGAATAATTGTTAATTATAGAAAAAAGGCGCCAAAACAATTCGACATACCTGTATAACGAAAGTTGCGCGACCGTAATAAGGCAGCATAGCAAAAAAACTAATCGCAAAGCCCAATCCAGAATGCTCTGCGCTGCACACAGCCTGTAGCCTCTAGCGTCCCCTCCCTTGGTAGACATTTTTTAGAAGGTTCTGAGTGGGATCCTGTTACTATCTTTAACTCTGACTTTAATATAGGGTATCGAAATCATTATTTTACCATTTTAGGCGCCGGAATCGCTATTTTATCCCATAGGGGGCTCGGAATAGGAGTTTTCGTTGTACGGGGACTGTCGATGGACCGCTGGAGAATGGACACACAAATGATAAAACCAGGAAACCGTCTATCGTATAATTTAATGTACAAATTATTCGATATGAAATACAATTACATACAGCATAATTACTTAACAGACCGAGCATTTACGATATTGATCATAATTAAAGCTAATAAAACTGATCACCGGTTTCCGTTAACAATAAATCTCTTAGGGTAAAATAAAAAAAAAGCATTACATCTGTCACATGGCAAAAACTACGAAAATCGCTGGATAAAACATTTTTTATACGGCAAGAAATCTTGATGTAGCAGTCCCCTAAGCCCTAACCCTAAATATTTGACCAGAACGAGTGCAAACTACTCCACTAAACGCTTAAAACTAATCGCTTGCCAAAGCAAAACCATCCAACCAAAATGTGGTCTCAGGTGGAACTACATGACCAAGTAACGTTTCTAATGACAAGCCAAAACGTCGGTGACTTATGAAACGTATTTTGCCGCTGATCGTACGAGCAAAGACGAGTCGAGTAGGCTGTTACAGAAGAATGTCATCTCAAGACATCAGTTGAATTAGAAGACGGAAATATGAAAACAAACGTACTTGGGCTGTGATACGTACAATTACATAAGTCCGATCGATATTAATACAGTAATTTTATACAAAACCGACAAGAATGGTTGACCAGCATTACTTGCTCGTCAGCGGTGATGGTGGCTTGAATATTACCCGGTTTAAGGTGTCTCCCGCAAAGGCAGGTAACCACGGCAACCACGACAAGAGAAACCGTGCATCCACACCAACTAAATACCTATCACGTGGTGTCTGTGACGACAACGCTTCCACTATAGCGTCCACAACTTGATACGTCTTACGAGAGAATTCCCCTGTCAAGCTTGATATTGCTAAAAATGTAATAAAATTACCGTTAATAGATTTGCCTCATTTTTCCAGCCAATTTTTGAGGAAACTTGATCTAAACACTTATGTTCGTCGGCAATAAGATAGTCTGCTGCTTATCGCGTAAAAGATTTTCCAGCTTTTCATCAACATGGTAACCAACAGGAAAATGAGCATAAACCAAGAGAGGATAAAGGGGACAGAGAAGGCATCCCCATACACACCCTATTCCATAGGAAATTCGTCTCGAGTTATTTTTAAGACCGTAGATCCCAAGGGGGATTAGACAACGGCCAATCACACAGCGCGAATGTGTTTCCCGTGGATGACCCACGCTCAGAGCCACGCGTCCTTCACGAATTAACGCGGAAAAAAATGGCGGAAGACACGGAGAGCGATATTACTATTTGTTTTGTCGACGAAAACGACTAAAGAGAGATTTCTGCTAAAGCTGTGTCAGCGAAACGGAAATTAAAAAAGAATCGCCCTTCCTCTCTAGTATAGAGCTAACAGTACAGCAAGGAAATCCTTAACACACTGAATATTCTCTCAGGATCATTTATAATTTACAGTTTGAAGAGAGCAATTTCTGGGGGCAGATGAAAGCTGCTTGTTTACGTTCGTAATGCCGTGGCTGCCATCTCTGATTTTATCGTCCAGAAGGAAACATCTTCGAAACAGCCGACTGTGAAAAGGTCTAAGCGACAACAGTCATTTTTCGCCGGAAAAGCTTATCTAAAAAATACTCACTTGTAAAAACGCCGTTGCACGAATTTATAGCAGTTGCACGCTCCGGGTTATGGGCTCCTGGTAGAATAGAAACAACAGCTCTTGGGGTAGGCGTTAGGGTGAAGGAGGCGGGGGGGGGAGAGGGGAGAAATATGTCGAACATATTTTGATGTAATTTTTACCATTGCACCATGGTTTGTTTGACAAAACCTCTTTTAGTTGTTCTAAACAAGGGCAAAACAGTGAACTCTAAAAAAAGAACGAGTGAAGAATGCGTATAGCTCCTTCCCTCTTTCGTACTCGATTATCTTTTCGCTCTTCCCGATAAACTGAGTGCTTGGGACAAGCTGGAATCATTTAACGATTTTCCTTTCCTATGTAGAATAAAGAGCATTGCTCTTTGCCTATTAAGGTGGCTCGACTGGATTTTTTGGGGTTGATACCTCCCAACTTTGAGCATTAACTACGTCGGCATGAGTAAAGATATGGAAAAAAAGGCTACCACAACTGTATTATATAAAGATGAAAATTTCTTATGATCTGGGTTTTATTGCAATCGGAGTCGCCATGGCAACGTAATGACGTTTTTCATTTATCTTCGTCTTTCTCTGTTCCAGGAGTTTTTTGAAAAAATCGCTTAAGGGAGTATGTACCGGCTATAATTGCCTCCGTTATGGCAAAGTTTGAACAAATTCTATGAGAGCGTTTTCGAAATATTTTGAAATGTAGTTTTAAGAATAATAAAAACAGTGAAATAGCATGCTAGCCGCACAATTCGCTAATATTTTAAGAAAATGATAAGCGTTGGAAACGAGGCTTCATCTCATAGTGGTTTGATTCCATTGAAAACTGCATACAAAAAAAGAGGGGAATTGCTCTGGGCGATCGCGAGTAAGAAGAATTTTATTAACTTGCATTCAGCTGCTTTTGATACAGTTTTTGGACGTAATTTGGTCCATTCCTAAAAATTTCGCATTGTTCCAAAAACCGCTCGATAAATTTTTTTATAAATTCGACAATCCCGCGATCAATCGTCAAGAAATATTCCCTACGCGTTTTAAGAACATTGAAAACAGGGAAGGCTTTTAAATAGGGCCTCAAATATAGCCAATTTCACCCCCCCTAGATTTTGTGTTTACAAGTGAGCGTCCTCATTATTCAGTGGCATTGTTTTCAAGTTTCATATACACGTGCACATTTAGCAAAAAGATAGAATTTGCATCAAAAAGAACTCTCGATTACTTTCCGAAGAAATATCCGGAATATGCTAATAATTGGCTTGTCGTCACAGATCGCAGTGACAGCCGAAACGGTGAACGTCACGGCTCATCGTGTAGGATGGAATACTTAATTATCTTACTCGGGTTATAACATCACAGAAACTCTCACAAAGAGTTGTTCTGATGTTATAATGTATCATTAATCTCTTTACCCGGTAATTAGCATATCCCGGAGATTTAACCAAGGGTCCTTTTTTATGCAAATTCTATCTTTTTGCTAAATGTGCAAGCTAATTTCAATTACAAATGAAAAAGTAAATTAATCACCTGGCGCAGAAGATGCCAAAGAAGCGGACTACCTTACAGTCAAGCTGTTGAAACCTCAGTCACTGTCAAAAACAGTCCTAATCGGGACTATACTCATCCGGACGATCATATTCCGCCTACTTATGTCATGACTCCAAACCATTCACAGTATGAATATAAAGGAAAGTATATCAGACCTGTCCGAAAGACCCCTGTAGCTTGACTCTTAAACGCGACAACCTTCTGCAAGAGTCCACTAGACGTTATCAATTTGTGTGGCTGCTTTCGTGAGATTCGACTGTAGTTGTAGTCAAGAGACGCCATTGTAACAATGGCCAATATCATTGCGGGATTTCGTTTCGTCACAATTGTCTAAGTGCTAAGAATGATAAATCAGAGGCTTGCAGTTTCACGTGATATTATTCTCCTTTCCAAAGGGCGTAAAAAGCACGTTTTTTTTCTCTTTCTCCCGCCATCTTTTTTTTTTTGAGTCTTACGTGCTTTGAACTTAAGAGAGACTACAGCGACGCTCAATTTGCAGGGTTCTCCACCAGTCACTGCAATAGAAAATGATGTATAATCAACTATAAAGAAATAGATGCGTACCTTTTTCTAGGTATTCTGGTCCGTAATCCCTCTTTAGCTCGGCACTCAAGTCATTCCAGCCTTGTCGGAATTGTCTTTCAACAATACTAGGATCTAACATGGGAGTTTGGTGTCCACCCGGCTCCAGTATGCTCACTTTGATGCCCCAGGGATGCATTTCTCGCCTGAGGACGTCCGAAAATGCTTCTACACCAGTCTTAGTAATAATGTAGGCTGCAGCCAAGTTAACAGGGAATCGAGCTGTTGACAAATAACATGCCATGACATGTAGGTTTGACCATTTTGAGTTTGCGTTGTCCGCAATCTAGTGTGCAACTCCTCCGGTCACGCCTGTAAATAACCAACTGGTCTGCGTCTGGTCAGTTGGGATTCTTATCCTTGCTATATTTATTTCAATTATGTCTTTCTGTTCTTATTTGTGGGCCACAATGTAAACTACTGGGTTACCAGTAACTGTGCTACCTTAAAAAGTCATTTTTTGTCGGTCTGTTTCAAATTATTAAAATTCGTACTTGGTTCTTTGCTCCGAGGCTAAGGGGAATAAAATGAAATTCGCATTGAGAGTCAGTTTTATTTCTTTTATTTTACTCCCCTCAGTCTCGGAGCCAAGTATAAATTTTAATAATTAGAAGCTGGCCAAATCTTTTACGGTGAAATTTGTATTAAGCGGACACTGTATTAGGCAGACACCCTTTATTACGCGAACAATGTATTAGGCGGACAACCTGTATTAAGCGGACACTGTACTATGTGGACACCCTGTATTAAGCGGACACTGTATTAGGCGGACACCCTGTATTAAGGGGACACTATACTAGGCGGACACCCTGTACTAAGTGGACACTGTATTAGGCGGACACCCTGTATTAAGCGGACACCACAGCAGTCCCCGAGGGTGTCCGCGTAATTCAAGTTTCACTATAGTTATCCGCTATAAAAAGAAAGTCAAAGAAATTGCAGAGGAACGTTTTCAACGCCATTGAGAGTGGCCAGTTTAGTAACATATTTATGACCCGCAAACTCCATTTATATATCGGACACCTCTATAAGACGAACACCTTTCTAAGACGGACACGGCCGGTGTTGGTCTGTGCAGTTTTTCAGCCCATTTTACTGTAACTATACTCTCTATAAGACAGACACATCTGACGGACAACGGACACTTTTTAGACTGTCCACGGACACTTGAGAAGTGCTGTATGCAGTGAAAAAAAACTGAAAACGCAAGTGTAGGTGCTCTACATGACAGCAAATTGCAAAATTATTATTTTGTAGTCTTGCTCCGGTTCACAGAGTATATACTGTTACGCTTTAAGGCCACGAAGCGGTGAACGTTTGCTTTACGAATGAACGTTTGTTTGCACAGTGAGAAAATGATTCCACTTTTCTGCTATAATGTTCCAGTTTTAGCTGTGTCTTTTCATCGCGAATGGGATTAGCGTTAGTTTCTTAAAATTACTGGCGTCACGTTACCTCTACTCTCACAACACCTCCCTTAAAGACGGACAGTGAGGGCCGGTTCCGAAGCTGAAGAAAGATTTTGATTGACAGGTAAAATTTGACGTTCTCGTAGTTTCCATAGCAACATGAACGACAGAATACAACCTTAAAATTTCACTTTTACTCAGTTTACATAAAATTCGCTCATTAGATTTTCCTATAAACTTGTACCCAGCTTACTATAGTTAATCATTACCATTTGAAACTTATTTGACCAAATTTTAACAGACGGGTTTTTAGATAATCAATAATATAATTGTACTGTAATTATTAAATGTGTCACAAAATCGTCTGATCTCATTCTTTAAAATATGATAAAGGTAAAACTAAATGTAAAACTTAATGAGTAGATTTTGAGAAATCGTCTTCTGTGTACCATTGCTTTTTCGCAACCATGTTTGCTTGTCTATTGAATTTAAAACGCGTGCCGTCATGCGAGTTACCGTTAACCACCGTCAAAACTGTGTTCAGCCACCTTAAATAAGAGTGGATCTATGAAGTGTCCGCTAAAAAAGGGTCCATTGTAGAGAGGTGGCCGTTGTGGCGAAGTGTCAGTTGTAGCGAAGTGTCAGTTGTAGCGAAGTGGCCGTTGTGGCGAAGTGGCCGTCAGTAGAGGTTCGACTGTATTGCATGCAATGAATCCTATGTGTTCAAACCTTTTTCTAGGAAGAGACCCCGAGTGGATCATCTCTCGTACGCGACCACCAATTCTTGGCATTTTGGGTGGCCGCTTACAGAATGTTTGACTGTACTTACCTGCGGCACTTGACATGTTTACAACGCGTCCACGCGCCTTTTTCACCAACGGTAGAAATGTTTTAGTGACGTCAACCATTCCCCAGAGATTAACTTCCGCAAGGCGTTTAAATGTACTGACTGGGGTCCACTCTATAGGACTGAAAGAAAGTATCGCCGCATTGTTCACTAACCCCCACAGTCCTGCCAACATGATGCAAAGTGAGAGAAAAAAAGAGTCGTGGTTAATAAAGGACCTTCTTATGAAGCCCGAGCCTTTCATACTTTTTTTTATTTTGTTTTGTTAGCTTTTATGAACGAAATTTCTGACCAACGGAAACGTCGCGTTAAATTTACTCACAAAACAATAGACTTTGCACGGTGCAGCACCATTGTTTTCTTCTTGGATGCTTGCGGGTTTTCATGAAGAGCCTCCTCTGCTAGAAGTTATCATAGTAAGTTTTCAAGTAATTGTTCGTCTGTGTTATCTCATGTTACACAAACAGCCTTTATGAAGGCTTAACCCATGATGGCAGATCAGAGTCTGTCAGGCTAATCAAAGAAGACGGTGACGCAAGCGCGATTCAAGGCTGGGGGTTCACGGCCATGCGCATGCGAGCCGTGACAGCTTCCAGAATAAATCATACGGGCCAACACTAAATTGGAAGAAGACATCAACTGTCTTTAAATTCGCTCATCCGTCGCTCTATACGTTCTTACACACCTGCCTTAAGATCGGCTAAGCGCCGATGGGTTCTCCAGTAATCTGAACGTGGTCTCCAGCTGATATTTGCGAACAAAGTGAAATGAACTTAACCCCTTGTGCATCTGCTGCAATCGTTCGTAGGGAAGGAACGCGTGGCGAAACCCTGACCTAAAAATATTGGGACCTTTCAATCAATTTTTTCAATGGCACCGACAAAAAGTTAACCCTTCGGCTGCCATTTTTCGAAGGGCGCCGACAAAAAGTCAAGGCTCGGATTCCAGCCATCTTTAGTGGACGGGGTGGGCGATAAAATATGGAACTTCCCAGTCCAGGGGCATATACAACAAAACAGCAAATTAGCATAAACACAGATAGATACATGACAAAGCCGATCAACCTTATGACCTTATCTATTTTCTAAAAACAATGAAGCAAATAAATTTTAAATTTTTTTGTTGCAAAGTGTGAAAATGTGATGTTTTCTATATTACTTACGAATATTCTTATGTTTTGAGCAAAGAATGATTGCCATCATTATTCAAGTACACTGAATAAGCCGTAAACCTTTTAAGAGCGCTATGTACGAATCAGTAGCATTCTGTTAAACAAAAATGAAACTACAAGTTATACCTGCATCAGACGGAATCTTTCTTTTAACTTCCTCGTAGACTTCTTTAACTTGCTGCGAGTTTGTAACATCCAGTTCAAAAGTCTGCAGTTTGTTGCTCGTCACGCTCTTTAAGCTTTCCTCTCCTTGTTTTGTTAAACAAGTCGCTAAAACGCAAACACCCATCTTGTCCAACCGTATGGCTGTTTCACGACCGAAGCCCGAGTCACAGCCTGTAATGAGAACAAACTTCCCTTTGATGTCAACTGTTGATGTTAACATCAACCTTCGTACAAGGTAGATTGCCAAGAATCCGACCACAACTGGAATAAACCAAGACATGTTATTTAAGCCGTCGAATCCATGTGATGGGTAGTCTGACTTCTCCTTTCCCCTCCCGCCATAGCTATGTTTTGGGTGATATCGATATCAAATACTCGATAACATATAAATTCTCAGAGGTCATGGACTTTGGTTATCGGTTGCGAAACAATTATTCAATCTCTTAGTGTTGCCTAAAACAGCCACCCGTCACCAACCTCGTTCCCAGGTTCTCTCTCCTACCTCTCTCTCGCACCGCAGGGACTGGTAGCAGAGAGCATGAGGAGAGAACCCCGAGAACGAGGTTGACTATATTTCCCGGGTAGGAGTCACGCAGTGCTCCCCGGAGGGCGAGGAACAAAGCGTGACTCAGACCCGAACGTACAGACGTTGGGCCATGGGGCGAGTCAAAAGGAAACAAGGGGGCGGGAGGAGAGAAAATTTATTATTTTTTATTTTGTTTTCTCCTCTCCCCCTCTGTTGTCTCCTTCTTCCGCTCTAGTGCCAAATTGACTACACTGTGAGTTGCTATTTTTGCTTTCCCCAATCTTCCTCTGTCATTACATTCGTCGCTGTACTCTCACTTGCCACTCACTTGGTAACACGCCTATTGTCTGGTAGGTAACTAGGTCCGTTCTTTTACAACAAAATTATAATAGCTGATCGATTATCAATGAAAGTTATGCCTTTTTAAATCATTTCAGACCGAGTTTGTAATCTAGATCTTGTTGTCAAGCTAGATAGAGAGCTCAATCCTAGTCATCATTAGTTAATGAAACACGCAAAAAGGCTATGCTGGCGATTCGATTCATTGGCAGCTTGAGGAAGTATCTGAACAAGGATCACATCCAGATAATCGTCAATGCTTTTGTTATGTCGCGCTTGGGTTATTGTAAAAGTTTTTTCTGTGGCTTACCCAAGCGAGAAATAGACCACAGGTAAACCAAGGTTACGGGTGAGAATCATTGTTCGGGAAAAGCGTAACAGAAATATTTAAGCGATCGTTATTTAGGGGTCAAAAATGGTGATAAAAATACATCAGAATTTATTACCGGTCCTCACCTTGTCTCATTGTCTAAGTGTATGATGCTTCTTAGCATTTTCGGCCGTTTTAGGGTGATTCCAGCGAGTTTTAGTTCTGCCATTGTTCGTTATTATGTTGTTGTTATATAGAGAGAGACAGATGGCCTTGACTCCCATATAAAAGTGACAGGGATGCTGCCTCGGAAATTAGAATTAAATCTCTAAAGGAGACCAATCTGGGCGTGGCTCATGCTTTATTTACTCCAATAGAGTATGACAGCATTTGCATTTTTTGCTTGGATACTTCTCCATGCCCAACCCTAGGAAGTGATAATGGCAAAAAAGATTTGCATTTCGTACTGAGCTCCCTGAATGAGACAAAGAAGTGTCAAGAAGTCATAAACTAAACTTTTTAATAGTTCAGAAACAAAATTGGAAATCCACTGGATGTACAAATATAAGCCTGCGCGCGACAAGCTCTCCACGCGGACTTTTCTTGTGACGAGGAAAGCGAACCGGACGCGAACGCGCGAGTGACTGGTGCCTTCCCTCTCTTTCGTGTCTTCTCTCGAGTGCCGCTTGCGCGCAACTTTTCCCAAATGGGGAGCTTGCTCGCAGTCAACAGCTATTTCGAGAAAGGTTGTCGGAAAAAGTTTACGGAACAATCCCGAAAAGTATTGTGGGTGGTTTTGAGTTCACTGTTCTTCAAATAAATTTGAAAGAATGCCACAACAGGCCATGGACGTGTGTTTGCGAGTGCTAAAGGAAAGCAACAAAAGTAGGTTTCGATAGCTACAATATCAGGAACAGTGTATTGAGCATATCCCATATTACCTTTCTGGGCCCAGTTGCTCGAAGCATGGTTAGCGTTAACCAGCGTTTAATACCTTGACAACGTATTGGTTTTGATACTGCTTAACCAATGGTTAAAGCTAACCATGCTTTGAGCAACTCAGCCCTGGCTTGTCGCGTGCACATTTTTTCTGACAACCAACCGTTTTTTTCCTTTTATCTTTGGTTACCTACATATAAAAGAAGTAAAAAATTACACAGTTAAATTTGCGAACTATAATGAGGTTAAAAACATTAAAGTAAACGCAAAGAGAATTCCTAGAATACTACTAGCCCGGGACTAGTAGTAAAGTCTTTTAGAAAATTTCACAGATGTTTTCCAACGGATGACAAAATCAAAACGCAAAAAACTATTGAAGTACAGGTTTTTCTCAAATCAGTGACGTTTTAAAATAATATTCATCTCGTCAAGTGAATCAGGAACATTTTGGAACTTTCTAATTAGAGACTTCATAAAAGAAAGGACTGCCTCCATTCAAACAAGTTCCCAATAACTTCTTAGCTCTGAGAGTAAGCTAACAAGTTTATTTACTATAATTTTGATTTTCTTGATGATGGGAGACACAATACAATTAAAGAATGACCAAGAAGGAGTAAATTGTCCTAACTTGGAGACAGTAACTATGTGCTGTAATGTAAACCTCCTTAATATCAATATCAATTGCACTGCTTTTGGAATGACTGATCGTGGCATTTGCAGGAGCCCATAACCCGGAGCGAGCAAGTTCCACGCGTTCGTGTCGTGCCGTTTTCACGGACCAGTTTATTTTTAGAACGGTTTTGGCGCGAATTTGGAATATCTTTTTATTTCTACGAACCAGTCAGCAAAACCTACAGACCTAAAAATAGTATTTGTTGCCTTTTAATAACGCCTAGTTTTCCTTTTTGAGATCTTATATTTCGAATGCGCTCATAGACATGGAGATTCGCTGAATTCTGCATTCTGATCCTATTTTCGCAGGAAAATAGAATCCTAAAATGTGTCTAAAACAACTCATAAAAACGCCGTGGCATAGGCCTAGTATGGGAGTTGCTCGCTCCGGGTTAAGAGATCCCGGCATTTATAAATTATTCTAATAAATTTGAGTTGAGTTCAAAACAAACCAACTTCGGTTGTACATAACAGTAGCATTGAACCAAAAACGACACAAGAAAGATTGTTGCAACTGTGCCGTGCGCAATAATACATTACTTGCTGGCCAGCGGTGCTGGTGGCTTTAGGAGTATGCGCATTAAGGTGTCTGCTACTGTAGCAGGTATTACAGTCATCCAAGAGAAAAGAAATCGTGCATCCACACCAACCAAATACCTATCACGTGGTGTCTGTGACGACAACGCTTCCACTATAGCGTCCACAACTTGATAGGTTTTGGGTGACTTTTCATATGATGTCATAAATGATACTCCTAAAAAGGAACAAAATATCGTTTATGAATGTGTCTCATTTATCCGGTCACTTTAGAAAACTCGATCTAAAAGATAAGGTTTGCTGCTAATTGTGGATGGACTGCAGCCGAAGTCAAATGACGCCATTTTAAAAAATGGCTGATTGATAGAGAGGAGAAGTCATTACGTCACGATGCCATGGAAGCAATATTTCTGGATGAAAACAAACTGAAAACGCGACTGAAAAACTAAATTCGCATTGTTTCAAACTTCATTGCTCTTATTCAGTCTCATTTAATTTGTCAAATGTTGGCGAAATTTTCTGGGGTTAAATTCGAAAGACCCGTATCTAAGTTTTTGTGTTGTGTTCACCTTTTTCATAAAGCAGGCGCGTGAAATTAAGAAGTTTCATGTCGCAGTCGTGCAAGGACTGCTAAGAAATGTACTAAAAAGCGTGATGCAGGTGCAAAGTTCTTGTTTTACTAAAATAAGCGTGTACTACTTTTTTGCCGTTCTCGTTGCCGTCACCCTTGTCGTTGCTTAAGCCCCCTGTTGTTGTGATCCAGAAATTTTGCTACCTTGGTAACGTGACGTCATACTTATACACGCTATTTCGTTTTGTCGCAGTAGTCTTGCAATTTTAACAACTTGGCACTGCTTTCCTTTCCAAAGTGGCCATCTCACGATCAAATTTTCGAGTTGATACAGCCAGTCCTGCAATGGAAATTGTAAATAAAAGATAAATAAATACAGGAATACCTTTTTCCAAGTATTCTGGTCCGTAATCCTTCTGCAGCTCAGCACTTAACTCATTCCAGGCTTGTCGAAATTGTCTTTCAAACGTACGAGGGTCTGTCATTGGAGTTTGGTGTGCACCCGGCTCAACCATGCTTACTTTGATGCCCCAGGGATGCATTTCTCGTCTGAGGACGTCCGAAAAACCTTCTAGACCATATTTAGTCACAGAGTAAGCTGCAGTCAAGCTAATAGCGACTCGGCCTGTTGAGGATGACATGCCATTACATACACAGTGGCCACTTTTTAGGTTGTGTGCAAGACTGGCTATGAGTCACTGCTGTGTCAATTTCAGACAATGGGGCTGTTTTGCGTGACAGGTTTTGACCCAGTGTCTTTTGCGACCTAGTATTAGCCAATGAAAACAGCGACAGCGCCTCCAATTCTGTCCCATAATCCAATACGATAAAACATCGACCCAGTATAACGGCAACCTCAAAATATCCAAGCAGCTCACAAAGTGGCTTTTTCTAATGGTTTTAGTTCACTTAGTCTATGAGATATACATGTAAATAAAAATTAAATTTTTTTCAGTTCCATTAAATTTAACTAAGACCTAATATGGTAGAGAAGAATGAATTTGTGAAATTGTGGGGTCGACTGAGATGTTCAGGGACAGTCAATGGATATGTTCCTCAAAATATCTGTTCTTCATGTAATTTTTTGCTGGCTGGGAGATTTGGATAAGAAAATATGTCCTTGGAAGGAAAATGTTGCTGGGAAATAGATAATTTAGAGTGTCAACCACCATTCTTAGTTATTAATAACATACTTACGATCTTTCAAACTCCATTTAGTCCATTTAGTAGCGTGACAACGTAAATTAACATTACACATTCAAACAAAAACGCAAGAATAGCAATTTTTATTTACTCATTGTGTAGCTTTTTTTGTTACATACTTACCTGCGGTACTAGACATGTTTACAACTCTTCCCTTCGCGTTTTTCAGCAACGGTAGAAATGCTTTAGTGACGTCAACCATCCCCCACAGATTAACGTCTGCAAGGAATTTAAATGTACTGACAGGAGTCCACTCGATAGGACTGGAGAACATTATTCCCGCATTATTCACCAGTCCCCACAGTCCTACTAACAAAGTGAAAGAACGAATCAGGGCATAGTTAGAAAACAATGGTTGTGAAGCCCGTTAGAGTCAGACTTTTTTTTGTTATAAGGTTTTGTTAGCTTTTTTGACTTTTCGTTCAATCATTCATTCATGTTCATTCACCCTACTACACATCATTACAAAAAAGGTGAAATTATAAAGAAAGTTAAAGGAAGCAGATGGCGAGGAAAGCTGAAAGAAACCACGGGGCTTATAAAGAATCAGGTTTTCCGCATAAATAAAAATAAGCGAGTCTAATATGGCAATATGGACCCCCGGTATGGACCAGCAAAAGCAGAACAAGCTTTTACAAAAATAAAAGTAACTAAAGCTGAAAGCAATATTAAGTAAGTACCTATTTTGAAGAAATTCTTTAAGCTTGACAGTGCACAGCCTGTCGCTATCATTTTGCACTTACCAACCAATAGAAGGATAACGTTGTTGTATTCACTTACAGTTTGTGAAAAAATAGAAAAGGCTTGTGGGCGGTCAGGGAGACCCCTTAAAATTAAGAATCGTTGCTTTCATCTGGTTTAAAAATAGTCTCATCTAGTCAGTAACTATGATTAGGGTTAGTGTTTTCCTCTCCTGGCAATTATGTTATATACCATTATAACGAATCATCAGAGAATCAGAATCTATGCAAACAAGATGGTTAGAGTGCGATTTTCTAAAAACTAGGACTAAAAAACAGTATGTTCAACAAGCAACACAGCACAGTAACTCAGCACGTCCATCAAACTCTTTTTGGTGCACAACAACGACTTGAAAATTGCTGTTAATTATGCAACTGTTTATTGAGGTTATAAACATACCAAGACGATTTTTTTCTCTTAACATGGATACGGTCCTCGAAAATTTAATTCTTAAGCAATTTGTTGACACATGACTAATTTAGCGAGTTGAAGTAAACGCGGTGAGGTTTGATGAAAGAATGCACATTGACTTTAAAAGCGGCCTTTTTTGTCTGAAGAGCAATGGTCGTTTATTTTCAGTCTTTTCTCCGTTGAATAACCAGCTTCAGCCCGGGATAGTCCATCGGGGTATCAAAAACAACAACAACAAAAAAACAAATAAACAGCAATAGATCAGCCAAGCGCAGAAACCATAATACCGAAACCCCTGTGTCGATCGCTATTGTCTAGGTGTTTGCATTATGCGGCAAGTAAATTAGTTTTTGTTGCAACCGTGCATGAAAATGTAACACTTACCCACGTATGTCAATAATGTCAGCTTCAGATATCCAAAGTGTAATCTGTATGATAACTTTCGTTTTCTTTATTACAAGAGAGTATTTTATGTTTTGACGCAAAAGACAACTAGGTCTCTTAGTCTTTTATTATTTTTTAGGAAAACAAAATATATTAGTCGAGTGTCAATAAATGAAACAATTACAACCAGAAAAGATTTGTACTCACCACATTTAATAATACTGATCATATCGAGTTGATACCACCAGTTAATTACCTGTATCAGAAGGAATCCTTCTTTTAACTTCCTCGTAGACTTCTTCAACCTGCTGCGCGTTTGTAACATCCAACTGAAAAGTCTGGAGTTGTTTGCTCGTCACAGACTTTAAGTTCTCCTCTCCTTGTTTTGTCAAACAAGTCGCCAATACGCCAACACCCATCTTGTCCAACCGTATGGCTGTTTCACGACCGAAGCCAGAGTCACAGCCTGTAATAAGAACAAACTTTCCTTTGATGTCAACTTTTGACGTTGACATCAATTTTCTTACAAGGTAGATTGACAAGATTCCAACTAGAACTGGAATAAACCAAGACATGTTCTTAAGCCAGAGTAGTGTGCGCGCAGTTACTTAATATTGGATATCGATACTAAATACTCGATACTATGTATGTTGCCTTGACCAAGACGATACTTTTGCACGTTGCCGTCGTACCGGGGAGTTTACAGGTAGGCTGACTGCTGAGTACAGTCTACGACAAGACGCACGGGTATATTTGTTTCATCAATTTGAGTCAATTCTCGATGAGACTCGTACTCGACTACGCACCGTCGAGTTTGCGAAGGAGGTAAGACCCTAGGGGGGTACCCAAGGTAGTTTGGGTCGAGTTATGCCGCCGAGGCATTCAAACCCTGCCACTATTTAAGACAGAAATCGGTTCATTTCGCTACCCTGTTAAAGATAAAAAAGAATTCATTTCATGAACCTAGGTCATTTCGTTTTGCTTACAGAATAACGAATTGTTGTTTACAATGACCAAGGAATTAAAAAAGAATTTACCCTTTAGTACTGTTCGTTGCCAACCTTCAAATTCTTTTATGAGGATTCCGGTCAAAGAAGACACCCTGTTTAAGACGCTAAATAGTGGAAATTGTATACACTATGTAAGACTCAAGATCTCAAAAACCATACCTGGTTCAGCGGCACATACCCGTTTAGGCCAAATAAGGGAGGGGAAGCCCCTCCTCTTTGGGGGTTAAGACACTACACCAAGAGAACAGAAGACTACACATTATGTCTCTTCCGAGATTAAACTCACTTTCAGTGACTATTACTTAGCAAAAACAAGCGCCTCCTCGGAGCGGCTCCGCCTAAAAAAAAACCCCGTGGTTGGGTCACCATGAATACTGGTTCTCAGGGGGTTCTCACCCAAGGTGCGTGTTGAGTTCAAGCGGTCTCTATCGGTCAATCAGTGTCCGGATGTTACATATATGATCCTCAAAACCTAACAAGCTTTTTACAAGATAAATTTACCGTATCCATTAATCACGGGCCAAACATGTCTTTCATCCCCAGACAAACGAAGCAAAGGTCATCCATGACATCGTAAAGTAATGCCGAAACCGGACGACCCCTCGAATAACTCAAGCCAAAACGAACTGCAAAAATAGACCCCCTCCCTCTACAGCAAACGTAGAATGGCTCCCCACTTATCAATGAAACTTACGAGTAGTTCAACCTTCCTCGGTTAAAAACGCGAAACGTGCACTGCACAGATTCAATTCATTGTTTATTCGCACTGTTTCCATAAATTATATATTGTACATTATTTAGACAAAAGAATAAATTAAACATATTAGTAATAACAAGAAGAGAAACATTGTCAATGAGTGCACAGCAACCAGAGCAGCTAAGGCTTTCGAGCTGGTTGCCGTAATGATAGAATAATATAGGTAGATCACCTGGCTCTCAAGTTATCTTAAGGGTATGTCATTCCTTTGTTGTTCACTTAACAAATGGAGTTTGTAGTGCGCTCTAAAAGAATTAGGTGGTAATAATTTTAGGGACACAGGTATCGACTCCCAGAGCTTAGAGGTAAAAAATTTAAATGAAAATTTACTATAATTTGTTCTAGCTTGTATTCTATAATAATTATATTGGGTTGCATATCTTGTACTGTGGAAACGTAACAATTTTAATAAACAAAATGTACAGTGATGGGATCACAACTTAACCACAGCTATATTGGGAGATACAAACCCTTTTAAAACTGAGTCAAACTTTCCAAGCACAGTAATGGTCTTTGATCTACTTCAAGGACAGAGTTGTCAACTGCAGAAGCGGATCGAAGATGCACTACGGTTGCTTCACTGTTGGGCTTCTATATACACTTCCGACAGTCTGTTTTTTCTAGCCGTGGAGTTTATCTGATTTTACACTAGGATGATTACGAATCTGACTATGTCGGCAGTGGAAACAATCCTTAGGTTTCATTATTGCGCTACGAATCTCCACTGACAGCACGAGCAGTTGCGCGAGCAGTTGCGCAAGCCCAAGGAAGCTTATTCATACCTCAGTCAATTAAATTCCTTTGCAAATAAAAATGCAGTGTTTGATCAGCTCTTGATTTGTCTTAAGGAGGAGTGGATGGAGTAAGATATGATAAGATTCAGTATTAGTGTCGTGACCGCTGCTGGTCGGCTGTTGAAGAAAAGTAACAGTCAAGAGTCTGTGAAAAACATAAGACTTTCAGTGGTCATAGTACAGGCTCTTAGTTAGTAAGGATGGGGGTTGGAAGGGGTGGGGTAAGTTGGGGGTTGTCGGCAGATGCAGCCTTATCTGGTAAACGTTATTGGTCGGCCTGGATCAAGTGTCTTCCAAACATATCTCTTAGGCTAACCCAGCCATTTAAATTTCTATTCAGCAAAGATTTCAATGATTTTCTTTCATCCTTTATTTTGCCTTTTACGGTAAACTCCTTTTACAGCGGACACTGTATAGGGACTACCAGAACCGAGAATTACCGTGAGATAATGCATCAAAATTCGTTTCAATGTGCTTTAATTCATAAAAGCTTAACAAAAGCAAAGGTTAATGACTGTTGTTGGATTTCCATCTACTATTCTCTAAGAACGTAGTTTTTGTAGTAAAAATAGCTAAAGTAGTTTAAAAAATCAAAGGTTTCTAAACATCTAGAACATGCAAGTAGAAGTACTACAAACTAAATAAAAGAATCACCGAAATTGTCCGAAATCGTAAATTTCCCTTCCTTTTATGGCTGAAATGGGGGTCAGCTATGTCCTATTTAAGCTTTTCCATATGTGATTATTAACATTCTTAGCTTCTTGTATATGTATATATGCCTTCAATTGTTAATTTTGCTCTTAACTTCAAAAAGACCGCGAGCTGTCGTCCTTCTTTCCTCAGAGCCACGCGCGGCGAGCGAAACAGAAAGATTATGAAAAATTAATTCCTCGCGGCTTCGCCGCTAGCCCCTCACGCGTGCTCTCGAACTGTGACTCAAAAGAAAAATATGAGACTGTTCGCAGTATAAACTTCAAAAAATCTCTCAAAATGTTACATTTTCTTGCCACATTTTAAGCATTTTGGGAGATATCTGGGAAAAATAATCTGTTCCTCACGCCCAGAAAGACTGATGGAAGAGTTCCCAGCCAGCAAGGTGCACCTAAAACCTGCAACCTCGAAGTTTCCAAGCAGACGTATGTACAGACGTTGCTGGCCAGATTGGGTGTGGTCATAGGGCAAAATTCAGCCCTTCAGTGGGGTTTAGATAGAAAATTGGGTGTGTGGCCTAGGGAAGAAGTATTAACCGCTTCGGTGGTGGGGGTGAAGGTTTCCAACACTAAATCCCCTCAGACACCCTGAATTGTCTATTTCCCAGTAACACTTTTAACTTCCTTCCAGGGAAACAAAATTATTTCAAAATCGCCCAGCCAGCAAAAATTTGCCTGAAGAACAGACATTTTGAGGAACAGATGCATTGGGTGCCCCTGGATACTCCTGCTATGTCTATGTTTGTCTTTATGTCGTTAACGTACAGTCATTTTATTTAATCTATTTGGGTTCTATTCCTATCGAATCTTTGTTTACATTTTTGCCTCATTAACATATGCCTTTCATTCTCTGATCAAGCTTAGGGACGGACCATCAGAAAACTTATTGGGGGCGGGCGAGGTACAAAAAAAATTTTCGCGCAAGGGAAAATTAAATGAAAAAAATTCTTGCACGCCAATTAATCCTAAAAAATATTCATGCTATGGCCTTAAAAAAAATTCATACAAGGAATTTGGTAACGAAAAACAAAACCTGCGGTTCGAAAAATCAAAGAATGTATAGGCTCATTAACGTTTTTGCCACCTTGCAATTTCGCAGTTTTCAATGGCTCCTGTCTGCTTTGTTATTGCTTGCAAAGAGCTGGAGATTACAAGAATTGTTCAAGTTAATTGACTTTTTAACTTTTGAATTTAATTTGTACATACGGTGACGCCTTCTATGGGTTAACTCGTATACTAATGAGCAAAAATGTAAACAATGACGTCAACAAAGACTCGCCTAAACTACGTAAAATAATAATGAATGATTGTCAATTCACAGTATAAACTCTAGGGTAAATAGTTTTCTCCTTTTTCAATTGTTCACTCTTTTTCCGTATCAGGGAAAATTCTCGCTTCCACGTCGAACTTTACTGCTAACTTAACTCCACCGCACAGTTTGAGTTTGGTCTTTTCTGTCTCCTTGATTGCTCCTGTAGAATACGATTGAATAAAGAATTTTGCATTGGAATACATAAGATAAGTTGTCAACAATCAAGTCAGGGCTAGAGATAAAAAATAGCATAAAGAACCGATCTTGGTGTTTCAAAAAACTAAGTGTTTGCTAATATGTTTCGTACCGTTGTGACATTTCTCCTCACTATTCGCCATTAGAGGCTTGTACGGATTCCTCATAGAACCAGGCACACCTATAAAATAAAACGCTTGCCAAATTACACGATTATTAAATGATTATGGTAAGAATGCTCAAGATTTGATAACTTCGGATTGGGTTGGGTTAAGTGGAAGTGGGAACAACCTGAGGTCACTTACGGCATGACTACCTAACAAGCAAATATGCATATCTTATAAAACGCTATTTGCCGGTGATCATGAATCTTTACAAAATGAAGCGTGACATTTCTTCACCGATGACGTCACAAAACAAGTTTTTATCAGCAAACGGGGAAGTAATCTCAGAAATCTTTCTTGCCAAAACATTACCAATCCACCGTACCGTAATCGCTAAACTTTCTCGGTAAGTTAGAAATAGTTTTTAATCCCAGTAGTTATTCAACTGTGTATTAGTGACAAGTCAAGTGACCGCTTTTTTTTTGTCAGTTACTCATTCCTATTACACATAACACAGAGCTAAGATGAATTTTTTAGAATTATCCCAACAGTCTCTGAAATGCACCAAGAAAGACTTGTTGCTCTTTCTTTTTCCTTTCGCCATTTTTCGGAAGGAATTTGAGTGTCAATATTCAATTATAAGTCATGTGACGAAATTCAATTCTCCATTGGCACTGCCTAAACTCGACTTAT